GAGGCGAGGCGAGGCGAGGCGAGGCGAGGCGAGGCGAGGCGAGGCGGAGGGCGGAGGGCGGAGGGCGGAGGGCGGAGGGCGGAGAACCGTACCTCTCGAACCATGGTGGCCGTCAGACCGAGCTTGACGTGCGCTCTGAACTCGGTCGTCACGCGCTTGAACGTCGTCGCCGGCGCCAAGTGCACTTCGTCCAGGATCATGAGGCCCCACGTCCTCTCCTTGCACTTCTCGATCATGCGAGTCGAGTGCTCAGCTCTAAAAAAATATCGTGTGTTGTATGTCGAGTCAAACATGTGACACACACACACACACACACACACACACACAAACACAGAGAGAGAGGTGAAACAGAACAGTGTGAAGAGAAAGGCCCGTACCGCTTCTCGGAGGTGAACATGTTGTAGGTGGTGATCAGGAGACCGCACGTGTGGTCCCATTCGCCCTTCTTCCGCGTGTCCGAAATGAACCTGCACACCAATGGCCGTCAATCAGTAGCGGCGCGAAGTCGCGGGGGAGGGGGAGGGGGACAGGGATAGGTTTGTACCGAGAGATGCGGCTGGGTTCGATGTCCGACCACTTGAGGAACTGCTCGCGCCACTGATTGACGGCCATCATCGACGTGCAGAACACAAGAATGCACTTCTTGATGATGCTCGACACCGTGATGCCCACCAACGTCTTGCCCGCACCGCACGGCAACACTAGAATCGACGAGTGCGCCTATTGCACCGCAGGCAACACACACACACACACACACACACACACACACACACACACACACACACACACACACACGTAGAGACTCTTCAGCCTCTGCTACCAAAGGTGGTCGCAGGCGAGGCATAGGTAGAGTACCTTGTTGTCCCAGAAGAGAGAGAATGCGGCACGCTTCTGGTACGGGCGCACCCCCGTGCCCTCCTTGAGGTTGATCGCCAGATTGGCGCACGCCTTTTCGCTCCACCGGTTGGTCAGAAAATCAAACTCCTGCGCCCCCACGCACGAACAACGCACAACGCACACGCGGTGAGCTATCGCGAGCACAGCTGTGCGGCCACCGCTCGAGAAAAGGGAGGGGGAGGCGTACCTCGATGAAGGGGTGGTTGTGGGCCAGGAGCAGCTTCTTGATCTCGGCCACTTCCTGCACGGTCGAGATCGGCAGCGCGTAGACCAGTACTTGAGCGCCCTGTCGACGCAGACACGCACGCGATTAGGCCCTCATGTCCAGGGGCAGCTCCTTTGCAAGGAGAAGGAGGAAGGCTACCGTTTCTTCGTCGGTGGTGCTGAAATTGCTCATCTCCACCTGGCCCAGGACACGCTGCTGGATGATGTTGAGGATTGACGGCGAATGGCTCTCCACGAAATATTCGCCGTCCTTGAGCACCAGCTTCACCGTGTAGTAGTTTTTCATCGTGCCGTCGGGGCCTGTGGGAACGTTTCGTGTGTTTAAACATGAAAAGTGGTAAATCGTCGTGGTCGGTCAGATCACTGTGACAGTGGCGCCTATCAGGGCCGAGAGAGGGAGAGGCCCGGTACCGGGCGAGCAAGCGGCCACGGTCTGCATGATGCTTCGCGGCAGCTCCTTGGCGTCCTTGAGCCCGGCCATGAAGGCCAGGCGCCTACATAGTGAATAGAGCAAGATCTTGTCAACACACACTGACGGGCCTCCGCAGAAGGCGAAAGAGAGGGGGGGGGGAGAGAGAGAGGAGCGGGTATGTACCGAGCGACTTCGATGGGTGTTATGCCCAGATGCTTCCAGGCCAGATAGAGGGATTGGTTGGTGACCTCGTACTCAAGCACCTATTCGCGTTTGTGGATACGCCCGCCGGACGAGTTGTGAATCAGATGTTTAGAGCGATAGAAACCCGGGTTCACCACACAACTGTGTGCGTGTGCGTGTGCGGAAACGGTGAGCGCACCTGCGAGTAATACCGGCGCAGCTCCGTAACGTGGCACAGGAAGTTGTGTGCCTCCTTGGTCGAATAGCTCCAGTCCCAGCCCACCTCCCGCAGCTCCCGGTGTTTCATCTCCGTGTCGATGCGGATTTCGTCCTGCGTGAAGCAAAGGGTCAGCGGGGCGGCGGGGCGGGTGGTAAACACAGTTGCACTCTTCCCGACACGAAAAAGGAGGAGGGCGGCAGTACCGCGGACATGGTCCGTTCCATCTTCAGCTTCCGCTCAACGTCGGCGCTCTCCTCCTTGGTGATGGATTCGAGCCTGGCCGCGGGCTCGGACTTGATCTCGCCCTTGATCATCACCTTGAGATGGGAGGGTAGCTCCGCCTCGGCCTCCGCCTCGTCCCTCTCCTGCTTCACTTGTACAAGGTCCATGCCGTCATCCGTCTTCGGCCGCTTCGACTCCTTCTCCTTGTCCTTCCTCTCGGCCGACGACGTCTTGCGCTTCTTCTTGTCCTTCCCGGACAGCAGGCTCTCTTCGTCGCCCATGAGGGCGGCCAGCACGGCCTCCTTTTTGGCCTCGCGCGCACGGGCCGTCGCGGGATCCTTCTTGATCCACGTCTTGTAGAGCACGGTCAACCAGATGCGACCGTCCCTGCGGCACCACCCACATCAGAAAGTGGTGAGATTGGTTGGTGTTACCCAAAGCCCTTTGGCGAAGTGAGCGGCCAAAGTGGTCACTGGTGCGCAGAAGGTACCTTGCGATTTGAATGGGTGTCGGGTGGTCGAAAGCCAGCTTCTCTTCGCCCTTGCGCACGAGCTCCATCGAGGGACCAGCCGGGCCATTGCCTGCAGGCCACGATGATGAGGGTTCCGCACAGAGTGAGCGGACGGGTAGCAGAGCGGGGCCGGCATGGATTAAATGCGCACCCTTTCCCTGGCCGTTCTCCAGCTTCACGGTGGTGGCTGTCGACGAGGAAGAAGACCCAGAAGCGGGTGTTCTAGGTGTTGCGGGACCACCTGAATGGGGGGGGGGAAGGGATCAACGCGGCCCGTGTGAGTGGTGACAGCAGATGAGGGACTGTGTGCTGAGGTGGAGGGCCTCTTCAATAGGATACCTCCTCGTTTCCTTTGCCTTGACGAGGGAAGTCGTCGGGACGCGGCAGAAGAATTCGCAAGCTCGGGCGTGTTGCCCATTGTAGACCCTGCATCAGGTGTTGTTCGATGAGAAGAGCGTAAGCGGGGGGAATAGGAATGGGCTGAGCTGGGAGTGTGTACCGGAGCGCAGAAGGATGGCGCGAATCTGGTCCTTGAGCTCTTCCAGCACGGGCCGCACGTTTGACCACTCGTCCTGCTTCTTGTTCGTCTCGGCGTTGATCAGCTGTATGTCAATGGCGATAGACAGGAGCCAGTCAGTATCGGAAATGCGGCGTGCAAAGCTGAGAGAGTGGTGTGGACCTCCGACTGACAGCCAAGACAGCTCTGTTGGCCGAAGAGCGAGCCCACATCTTCAATGCCGTATCTACATGACGGGAAGAAAGTCAAGTTCGCGATTAGCTTTTGTTGCTGCTGCTGCAGTGAGGGTTGGAGTTCTTGGCGTACTTCATGCCGCAGGCTTTGTTGGAGCAGAAGTAGAGGTAGTGGCTATCGTCCTTCGAGCTGCTGTCGATGATATCCAGCATCTGCAACATCAAAGACGGCAGAGTTAGACTTCATGGCACTTGCGGCGAGAATGAAAACGCAGGAAATCACGAAGCGCGGTGCCTTTAGGACGCGGTAGTTGGTGATGTCGAACAGGTCGTTGAAGGTAATGAGCCAGCACGAGTACTGCTTTGTCGCCCGAGTGCTGCAGGTACCCAACAGATGTAGATGCCATGTGACAATGAGGAGCTGGAAGAAAAAAAAAAGTCGTTAAGGAGAGCGGGGCGCAGAGGGTACCTCTCCGTTGAGGGTAGCGTAAAGATGCGCTCCCGCGCGAAGCACTGCGTTCTCAGTCGACCGAGGATCGTACGCAGAATGCGGGGCGTTAGGTGCAACTTATCCGCGAGGAGCAGTTCCTTTCGCTCGTTGATGCTCCTGTCGTGTGTATCGATGAGCCCTCATGTGAGTTACTACAGCCCCCCCCCACCAAACAGTTTAAATAATAATAATAGTGGAACGTACACAACATTGGCGTCCTGTGAGACCTCGCGCAGGAGGGCCTCGAATGCGATGATGGACTCGTCGTCGCAGAACGCTCGAATGGTCTTCTGCACAAAGTCGCAGATGTCATCTGTGAAGAACAACTGCGTGAGGCTGCGACCAAGGCGGACACGAGACGAAGGAGTGGGTGCTGGAGTAGTCCTACCTGGCACTTTAGGCATCTCCATGGCATGGCCCTTTTCGGACGTGAGTTCGATCACTTCGTCTTGCTCGCTCTTGAGCGTGAAGACGTCGGCTCCGTCGGTGGCGCCGGCCATGGTGAGCGAGAAGTTCATATCGGACAGCGTTTCGTTGACCTTCTTCTTCACGTTGGGTCCGACCGTGCGGCCCTTTCCCTTCCGCTTCTGCGCTTTGAGCTTTTCGTCCTGTGCCTTCCTCTCTTTCATCTGCTGCAGAAAGAAGAAGTCTTCGTCGAAGGGCAGCTGCGCCAGCGGAACCCTGTACTTGTGCTGCAGCTGCTGCCGAATGCCCACCATGTCCTGACCAAGAGCAAGTACAACAAGAGTGAGCGTCACAGCGCGCATGTGTAGCGCTCACAAGCAGACGGGAGAGAGCGTACGGAGGTGCCCTCGGTGAAGGTCTTTGCCCACAGCTGCATGACCTGCTCGTCCATGGGCTTGTACTGCGGGGCCTCGTTGATGAAGTAGATGGGCTTGTTCTTGCCCAGGTAGATCACAAACACTTGCTTCTCTCTGTTCATTTGCTGGGCGCGGACCAAGGTGTGGGATGAGTGAAGGGAGCGCCAATGAAGGCGTCACTGGTGGCACAGTACCTCGAGGTCGGACATAATGTCCTTGTAGCAGAGCTTGACCTCAGCATCGATCTCGAGCAGCTTGTGCTCCCGCAGGTAGGTCAGCAGGGTGTCTTTGGATGTAATGGGGTACTTGGACCGCCAACTCAGCATCACCACCTTCTTGCCTGCTCCATTACATGCACACAGATGCAAATAATGAGCTGTTGCTCCACGCAGGGCAAGAGATTTTTGTGGTGAATGGGCACTGCAGTGCATTTGGCGGTACCTGAGCTCACATCTTCGCTATAATTGATCGAGGGATTCTCCTTCAAATTTTGAAGCAACTGGGGCGAGGAGGAAATCTTGATTCCGGTGCCCTTCTCAACTTCCTCCAGTGGCAGTTCTTGCCCACGATTATCCTTGAGATAGGTAATAATCGTGTAGTTATTCATCTTGTTCTCCTCAAGCTCAGCGGCTCAGACACCGACCACCGACAACCGCGACTTCCTTGCGTGTGGTCGAGGCCGGACTCGCGACAAGAAAAAAGAACTGTGCCCTCTGCGCTTTTATAGCTTCTCGCCCCCACCCCCAGGAAATAAGCAGGAATGAAAAATGCGAATTTTCGCGAGCTGCGAAATTGATTCGGAATTGATTTGCGCAGTGGTCACTGGTTGCTGGTGGTGCTCTTGATCAATTCCCTTGGGCCATTGCCCACCCCAGAAGCAATCTGTTTCTGGAGGGTGTGCAGATGCTGGTGTTACAGCCCTGACAATCTGTACATGCTGCCAGATAGTTAGAGAAAAAGAAGCACTGACCCTTTTTTGTGAACACTTGGTTACAGCATAAGTGCACTGCTGACCAAGCACTGCATGAGGGCAAGAAGCATACCTTTCTGCATTGATGAAGCAAGGAGAGATGCAACCTAGAGCCAGCCAGAACTTGGAAGAATAGTCAGGTCCTGAAAGTAATTTGAAGGCAAAGATTGTAAGATGTCATCAGAGAAGTTGCCATGCATAGAGCTGTATGTACCCACCAGGCTGTTTCTGGTCTCAAAGTAGTGGTGGAGGTGGTCTGTCTCCCAGATGTGGTGGTTGCTTGAGTGCTTCTGTTTCACCACCCTTGAAAGGAAAAGCAGACCAAGTATGGTATGAACTGAAGATTGGTCAAACATTGTACATGACACAGTGCAGCCATGGGGGAAGAAGATGCATGTTGAGTCCTTGTCCATAACATCCTTTAACAATTCACCTGGCATAGGCAGGTCCCCTTTGTCAGAGATCTCACTGGGCACAGGTTTGAGGATAGTGGGTGGAGAACAGTGGATGAATGATTACTTCCTGTGGTGCACAAGTATGAGGTCAGCTTGGAATATGTGCATTGAATGAAGAACCTCCTCCATGCACTTGTGAAATTGTGGAACATGCTTCACACTCCCAAAGACCTTCAGCACTGTTGAACTTGAGGTAAGCAGAGTGGCTCTGGCAAGGGTGGTGTTCAAATTGATACTGTGGTTGATGTGGTAGAGCATGGAGCCCCAGAACAGGTGGATGGGAACTGTGCACTTCTTCTTCAATTGCTTTTCCATGTCCACTTCCTCACTGCACACCTGCAGGCCATGCAAATGTGCAAGTGAGACTGGGTTTGAGGCAGTGCTCAAGCTTGGCCTGGGCTGGCTGTACCTCATTCTGCATGTAGACAGTGGTCACCAATGTGATTGGGTAGAGCCTGCACAAGCTCAGGGACAACATCCTCAGGCTTGCCATGCCAAATGACAAGATCACTGCCCTTCACTCTGAGGGAGTGTCACAAGTCCACCAACACCTCCAGTGAAATCTAACATAAAACAGGAAGATGAGCCTAAACACCAGAGTATGTAAGTGTATGGACAGCATACTGTGCATGAGGTGGGCCAGCCTTCAGAAAGTTGAAGTAGTAGGTCATGCCAATGTGCCAAGGATCAAAGCAGTACAAGGGCACCACCTGATCCACCACTTGTGTGGCACAAAGCAGGACTTCATTATCATGCAGGCGCAAATCGTTGCATAGGAGCCAGATTATTGTGGTCTTCATTTGCTTCATTTCTTTTGCTCTACTGAGGTACGTGCGTTCTGTGTCTTGTGCGTTCTGTGCTCGCGCGTGCACAGTTATGCTGATTAGCTTTGCTTACTCTGCATTTCTCTTTTTGCGCCATTCGTTAGCAATCACGACGGTTGATTCTGCGTTCTTCGTCGGCTTGGTGGTCGTGCCTTATTTCCCGCCCGGGAGGAAAATAGAAGAACCACGAGATATATTCTCTTTTCCTTCCAATTTCTCAACACCGTAAATCTTTTATCAATTCAATCCCGCTTGCGAGATCGTGGGGAGCACAGAGAATGTTTGGCCTTTCGTCAGCGGAACGACAATTTTTGATTGATGGAGTGGAGCTCAACGTTCGAAATGACGGGCGCTCGCGGCTCGATTTCCGACATTTCACCATCGAAACGGGCATCATCGCCACCGCAAACGGCTCCGCTCGTCTCAAACTGGACAACACCGACGTAATGGTGGGCGTTCGGGTGGATTTGGCCGAGCCCAAGCTTGATCGACCCAATGAAGGTAAAATCTCGGCGGCGCAATGAGGTGGATTTCGCCCACCCTTGACCCTCTCTTCCCCTTAGGAACTATCACATTTGCCGTTGAATGCTCACCCTCCGCGAGCCCTGAATTTCAATCTAGAGGTGCGTATCACTCGTCTCCTACAAACGACTTTGTGAGTGCCGTGGCTAATCTTCTTGGCACATCCATGCTTTATGGTCATAACCAGGTGCTGAGGATTTGGCGATTTCCATCACACAAGTTCTGGCCCGTTCCTATAAGAACGCTTTGGATTGGACGTCGCTCTGCGTCATCCCGGGCAAGCTGGTGTGGGCCATTTACGTTGATGCTCTCGTACGTGCCCCTCCTGCAGAGAGAAGGCGGAGTGGAGCAAATGCGTGTGCGCATAATCATTCACTCCGCTGCCGCTGCTTCTGGCCGTGTGCAGGTTCTGGACTTCGAGGGCAACCCCTACGACGCTATCTCGATCGCTACTCGAGCAGCTCTGCACAATACAATGTACCGCCGTCCATACTTTAGGCCTATGTGATGGCGTTCAGGCTGCTAACACTTGCCGATGTGCCCAACAGGATTCCACGAATCACGCTGGAGGACGGAGAAGTCGAGGTAACGGACGACCCACAAGATTGCACGCGACTAGACGTGTCGAATGTGCCGGTCACCGTGACCCTCACCAAGGTGCGCACCTCCACGTCCACGCTCCTTTTCATTGCTCTCTTCTCTTGTTCCTACCGTCTATGGTCTTAGGGATTGGCTCAAGCCCTGCCCTTCTCAGTAAGGCTGGACGAATATCAAACCACCCATGGCTCATCTTCATTTGATGAGCCAGGGCTCATCGAGAGCTGCAGACCCCAAGATATGGGTCATGCAACGCTCGGCCGAGCATACACCTTTCGTTTCGTTTGTGCTTTTTGTTTACCTCATCCTCGCGTTTCGCGTGCTTGGTTGGCTGCGCTGATGCGTTTTTTGCAATCCACCACAGATTGGAACACGATTCCTGGTCGATGCTACTCTGGAGGAAGAGCAGTGCATGGGCGTGCGGGTGATCGTTGGCATCTCCCCCAAAGGTATCCATTGACCAGAGTTCGACGATCAAGTTGCCCTCGTCTGATGGCTGCTTCTCCCACCCTAGGCCATGTGTGTTCGATGCAAATGACCGGCCACGGTGCTGTCGAGCCGACTTCCCTTTATGAGATGATCCAGGTGCGCTCCTTTCTCCTCCTTCACGCTTTGCTTGTCGCTTGCATGTTGCTCAGCCTCATCCTCCTGTTCGCCGACCAGACTTCCCAAAAGCTGGGCCGAGAGCTCATCGAGGGCCTCGACAAGGCACTCGCCCAGGAGGCCAAGTCTGCGCTCCCCAAGACAAGCACCTCCGCTTACTTCAACTGAGTGCCCTTGTCCCCCCCCCCCATAAAGGCAAAGAGACGAGTGGCCTCGCCTGTTGTTCTGGCGACCACGACGAGCACGCAGATCGCCTCTTAGGGAACAGGGAAAAATCCGGGTTTCATGGGTTGTCTGGTTACAAGTCCGATTGGTTTGGTATTCGACGGGCGTTTGATTGCGGTTGGTCCCTTGGGTTGGCGAGGCCGGAGGCGACAAGGCTGTGTTTGCGCTTGCTCGACGAATTAATCGATCAATCAAGAAGAAGAGCTCCCTCGAGCACCCCTGCAGCCACTCGATTTTCTCGCCCCACCACTTCATACTCGTTTGTAGGGTGAGAGAAAGGACGTTTTCCACTGTATTATACAGTCGTCAGGCCAGCGGCTTCCGATACGTGCGATACTCTACGAAGAAGGATTGATTCGACAAGATGGAGGGACAAGATTCCAAATCAACGAGGAGGGAACTGGACTGGCAGTTCTGCCAGGTCTTCGGAGAGCCCCATTTCGAGGAGGTAACCGAGGTGGACATCGTCTCCACCGTCGAATTTGACTCAACTGGTGAGTACCTGGCCGCCGGAGACCGTGGTGGTCGAGTGGTCATCTTCCAGCGAGTGGAGGTACGGCAACCCCAAACGAATCTGCTCTTCTCCTCGCGTGGACCTCGCAAGCCCACATTCTCAAGGAGGGCTTTCGTTCTCCTCTCACTCCCACGTTGTGAGGGGCACACCCATCCCATTGGGAACTCCGCAACTTAGCCTTCATCAATCCCTGCTCTACTCTGCAATGCTGTGCATTTTTCCCTGCCCTTTTAACCCATTTTGTTCTTCGTTTGCTTCATTTAGAGTGAAGACACCCCTTGCGAGTACAAATTCTTCGCCGAGTTCCAAAGCCATGAGCCGGAGTTCGACTACTTGAAGGTAACCACTTCACTCTGCACTGTAGTGCCAATTTGTAGAATCATCGAGACGTCACAATGGAGTACTCAATCCGCTCTTATCTTTCGGCAGAGTCTTGAAATCGAAGAGAAGATCAACAAAATCAAATGGTGCCCCTCCAACAACAACTCTCACTTCCTCCTCACCACCAATGGTAAGCTTCGCCTTCGTCGTTCTGTTTCCCGTGGAGCAATTTCTTCCATTCCAGCCCTTCTCATTCCCGTTTCTTCATTTCCGCTCCGCCCACAATCTCACATCTGCAGACAAGACGATCAAGCTGTGGAAGGTGTACAACAAAACCGTGTTTGACCCACCCAAGGTCAACAAGCAGCGCAATGGCCTTTCCGTCCCCTTGCGTGCTCCCAGGAAGGTAATACTTTGGCGCACCGCCGGCCCCGTAGCGCCTGTTCAGAGCACCCGCTCGCTGATGTTCAGCGCTAACGCGCCCAACTGCTTCGCGCATTGGGCTGAACGCAGGAGGCGCAGAAGACGGCTGTGCCGAGGAAGATTTTCGCCAACGCCCATGCCTATCACATCAACTCTATCTCTCTCAACACCGACGGTGAGACCTACATCTCTGCCGACGACCTCAGGATCAACCTGTGGAACCTCGAAACGTCCGACCAAAGCTTCAGTACGCGCCCATTGTCCGCTACAGAGAAACTGATCGCATTTACCCACCCTAACACCGCGGTTGTTGGCCCACCCACTACAGACATTGTTGATATCAAGCCAGCAAACATGGAGGAGCTCACTGAAGTAATCACCGCCGCGGAGTTCCACCCCCAGTCTTGCAACTACCTCATGTACAGCAGCTCCAAGGTGAGTACAAAGTCTTGGGCTATACCCCCATCTATAGGATCCCGAGTGCCACAGACATGCCTAACGCCTCTCTGCGCATCATCTATTCAGGGTACTATCAAGTTGGGCGATCTCCGAGAGTCGGCCTTGTGCGACCAGCACGCCAAGAGTACGTGAAAGTGTGGAGGAGAAACGACCTTGGCGTCTTTTCCTTACCCTGTTCGCTCTTGCCCCTTCTCCGCGCAGAGTTTGAGGAAGAGGAGGACCCCGCCAACAAGTCCTTCTTCTCCGAGATCATCGCCTCCATTTCGGACATCAAGTTCTCCCGCGATGGCCGGTACATCCTCTCGCGCGACTACCTCTCGCTCAAGGAGTGGGATCTCCGCATGGAGAACAGGTACACAGCCCCCCGCTACCCCTTCTCTGCGTGTCGTGCGAGCGTGTGTCTGTGAGGTTCTCGCGCCATATACACTCAGAGCTTTTGGATGAGTTGGATTCCATTCGCTTGTTACAGTTATGGCGGAATGACTTGTTTTCGTCTGTCTCATCACACACTGCGCCCCATGCTGGGGAACGGTGTCGCGCACGACGAAAATACATGCGCTCCTTCTATTGCGCTATCGACACCACTGACCTTTCGCTTCCTTCGCGCCTCGTTGCACAGGCCGGTGAAGACCATTCGCATACACGACTTCCTCAAGGCCAAGCTGTGCGATTTGTACGAGAACGATTGCATCTTCGACAAGTTTGAGTGCAGCCTATCCGGAAGTGGAGAGTACGCTCGTCGCCGACCCCTTTCCCCTTCTGCAGCAGACGCTTGGCGTCATTGATGCGAGTGCTCTTGCTCACGACCTCTTTTCTCTTCCACCGCAGCCATCTCCTGACGGGGTCGTACCACAACTACTTCCACATCTACGACATCCAGAGCCCACGCACGAATGCCCTGCGCATGAAGCTCGGCCGCGGGCCATCCAAGAAGTCGGACGTCGAGCTCAACGCCGACGACATCGACTTCAACAAGAAGGTGCTGCACGTGGCGTGGCACCCACACGACGACATCGTTGCGGTGGCGGCCAACAACAACCTCTACCTCTACGCTGCGGACGACGACAAGGACGACTCGGACATCTAAAGAAGCCTGGCGCGTGCTGCTGGCCTCGTTCCGCGCCACTCGCTCGACTGAGTGGCGTGGGGGGAGGAAGACGGCGGAGACGACAACGACTCGAAGAAGGCGACGAGGACAAAGATGTGATGAGGAGCGACGAGGAGGACGAAGTCCGCGGTGAGCTGAGGACGCCGGAGGAGGTGATATTTGTTTCCATACAACGATCAAAAAAGAATAAAAGTGTGACATTAGGTACTGTCGTGGTTGGTGGTTGTGTCGATTTCCTATCTCTTCCACGCGAGCCAGATGCCAAGATGGGAGAACGTAGAGGGGGAAGAGGTGGCGGAAGAGGTGGATGGAACCGACACGGCTGACACGTACCGCGGAGGAGGCGATCACGCTGCTGGGATGGGAGAACGTAGATTGGGATGGGGTGGTGCGACAGATTGGCGAAACCATGAATCAAGAGGCTGGGGCGGAGGAGGTCGATTGGGACGAGGTGGTGCAAGATTAGAAAAACGAAAATGAACATGTCTCTAAAGGGCATGGCACGCCCTCTTTAGAGGTTCACCTGTGAAGCTGAACATAAAAATATGTGAAAAATACATAAATTGAGAAAGGGTACAACTTTTCTCTATTTGAGAACTGCAGTAGGCCAACGCGTTGATGATGAAGTGCCGGCAGCCCCGGCACCTGCTTTCGGCCCGGTGCGCTTCTCCTGCTCCTGCCGCGGTGGTGCGCCCCGTACCGCGTCATAGGCACAGCCGCCTGCTGTCCACCAGCGCCGGCGGGGCCGGGGGCGGGTCCATCGTGATAGCGGGCGGGGGCGTGGTGGGCAGCTCTGTGGCCTACTTCGTGGCCCGCGCGCTCCGGTCGCGCGGCCAGACGCTCGCCTCGCCTCCGCCAGTCGGCCGCAGCAGCGAGTGGACGGTGACGGTGGTGGAGCGGGACCCCACCTATCGCTTCGCGAGCAGCACCCTGTCCGCGTCGTCCATCCGCCACCAGTTCTCCACCCCCGAGAACATCCTCATCGGCCAGTACACACCAACACCAACCCAGTCATTGGGCGACTCGACTCATTGCTAGCTGCGTGTGCGGTGGTGGCTGTGTGCGTGCGGCAGGTACGGCACAGAGTTCCTGCGCAACGCCGGTAAGTTGCTCTCGATCAGCGACGAAGACGAAGCTCGCCTGAGCGGCCGGCTGCAGGAGAAGCCACAGCAGCCGCAGCACCCGGCCCGTTGCGCCAACGAAGAAGCTGCGGCGGCCGCCGACGGCGGGGGGACGGGGGTGGACGTGCAGTTCCGGGAGAACGGGTACCTGTTCCTGGCCTCGCCGCAGGGCCGGCCAGTGCTCGAGTCCAACCACCAGCTGCAGCGGGACCTGGGCTCCGACATCCGATTTCTCGGCAGCCCGAGCGAGATCAAAGCCCAGTTCCCCTACCTTCACACCGACGTACGCGTCGTGTTGTGTGTGTGTGTGTGTGTGTGGGTGTGTGTGTGGTGTTGTGCGATATGAGAAGGCTCAAAGAGAGTTGACTGATGTGTCAGGACCTGTCGGCGGGCTGCTTCGGAGCGAGCGGGGAGGGCTGGTTCGACCCGGCCACGCTGCTCCACGGATTCAAGCGCAAGGCCGCCGCCCTGGGCGTCAACTTCGTCCACGGCGAGGTACGATTCGCACCCCCGGCCGACCAGGCCGCGAGGGAGCACCACGACTCAGTCTTGTTGGTGGGCTCTCGTAGGTGGTCGGAACCGAGTTGGAGGCCGATGGACCCAGGCAGCGGGTGTCGGGCGTGCAAGTCACGACCGCGGACGGCGTCGCGCACAAGCTGTCCTGCTCGCACCTGGTCAACGCCATGGGACCACAGGTAAAGCACGGCACGCCACTGCATTGTTCCTGACCGAACGTCGTGTCATGGCTCACATCATCATCCTCTTCATCATCTTCATCAACAACCCAGGCGGCCAGGTTGTCGCAGATGATGGGTCTCACGCTCCCTGTGGTGCCGAGGAAACGGTACTGGCTGCGCCCCTCTTTGTCGCTCGATATCTGTCTGTTGCCTGACGGATTGGAGGCAAACGTGGCAGATGCGTGTTCGTGCTGCGGTGTCGCGACGAGGAGGTCAACCAGGCCAAGATGCCACTCGTCATCGACCCGTCGGGGGTCTACTGGCGACCAGAGGGTTGCGGGTGCGCCGCCTCTTCTTGACGCCGCCCTCGCGCTCGCATTGATTCTTCAGAGAAGTTGAGCTTGAGCGCGTGTGATGGCCACGACAGCTTCATTGCCGGCGTCTCGCCCCTGGTGGACCCGGACGCGCACGGCGACTTCGAGGTGGACCACGACCTGTTTGAGGAGGTGATCTGGCCCGTGCTCGCGCATCGACTGCCAGCCTTCGAGGCAGTCAAGGGTACGCCACCCACCTCGCCTTTGGTCCACGCGTGTAGTGGTCAACAACAACAACACCTACACACATCACAGTGGTGGGCCACTGGGCGGGGCACTACGACTACAACACATTCGACCAGAACGCCATCCTCGGGACCCACCCGTCGGTGGGCAACTACTACCACGCCAACGGCTTCTCCGGCCACGGCCTACAACAGGTAACCCCAATCGAGACCTGTGCACAAACGTTCAACCAGTAGCTAGTAGCTGACAAGTAGCGGTCGCGTGTAAAACGTAGTCGCCTGCGGTGGGAAGGGCCGTGGCGGAGCTCTTGCTGGAGGGCGCGTACAAGACGCTGGACCTCTCCATGTTCCACTTCGAGCGCGTGCTGGAGAACAGGCCCATCATCGAGCTCAACGTCGTCTAGCTTTACCACCAGACCCAAGAGAGAGAGAGACATCAACCACGTCCAAGCAAAACTGTTGTTGTGGATAAAAGCCATAAAATCATTCTCTCGACACCCCTCGTGTACGATCTCTCTCCATGTCATAGGGTGTCCGCCCCAACGCATCCGCACCTCGCCTCTCAGAGCCTCCTGGCGCCGCCGATCCTCATCTTCTTCGCTCTTCGCTCTTCTACTACCATTACACGCGCGCACTAGTGCTGATGGCGCCCGGGCTTAGATGCTGGCGGTCTGCAGTTGGTTGAGCAGCTTCTTCCACTGGTCCAAGATCTTCACGGACGCAAGGCAAGAACGAAGAACGAAGGTGAGACCACGATGAGGCAGACAGCGGAAGAGATATAACGAAAGCGAAAACAAAAGCGAAAACGAAAGCTAAAGCGAAAGCGAAAGGTACCTGGACGGTGGTGTCCATGTTCTCCTTGGCGTAGTCCTTGAGGGACTTGGACATCTCCTTGCCCTTGGTCTTCTCGAACCTATCGAGCTCCTTGCGGAGGATCTCGCTGATCATCTCGAACTCCTCCTTGGCACTCTCCTGCTTTTGCCGAGCCTGTTGTGTGTGGAAGAGGACGATCACGACGACGACGCAGAGATGAATGAGCAAGGGGATCGCCTCCAGTGCGGTCCACTACTCCACCAAGTTGAACATGGCGCGTACCTCCTCGTACTCGGCCTCGGCGGCGCCAGCCTTGGGCGTACCGGCGATCTTCTCCTTCTTCTCCTGTAGAATGCGAGGAATGTGTGTGTGTGTGTGTGTGTGTGTGTGACGTCAGGCTCGAGGCTTGCGACTCGCTCAAGCGCACTGGAGGCTCGGAGGCGCGCCCGCGAACCTTCTTGGTGTTGGCGATCTTCTCGGCGTGCTGGAACTCGGCGAGGGCCGTCAGGCGGGCCTCCATGGCCTGCTTGGCCGAGGCGATGACGCGTCGGTAGTCGTGGGCCACCTCCTCGAAACGGATCTCCTGGCTGGAGACGGCCTCCTGCTTGAGCACTCGGACCTGCTCGCACAGATCGCCGAACTTGAGCCAGTGCTTGCTGAGCGTGGGGTCGACCTCGGCCTCGGCCTTGCCCACCGCCGACGCGCCCAGCCCGAACTCATACAGCGCGCCCACAAGCTCTGTCATCACCACCACCACCACCACCGTCATCAAACATTGACGCATTAGTAACGGAAACTGTCAAGTTCGTTGCGCGGGCGCGCGCGAGGCGGCCGGCGCCGTGAACAGACCTTTCTCCTTGACCAGGACGGTGCCCGAGGTCTTGAGGCAGGCCTCGAGGGCCGACTCCAAGTCCTGAAGGTACTGCTTCTTGTCGCCGAACCACGTGTCGACTTCCTGCAGATGGGGCGATGAACGCGCGGGTGTGCCGGCAGTGGCGGGTGAATGGGTGAAGAGCACAAGGCGCACGGGGGGTGGAGAGAGAGTGGTCGGTCGAATTGGAGGCTCAATGCAGAGAGAGCACGTACGACGGCGGGGGAGAGCTGCTGGGTGACGGTGGAGGACATCCACGAGAAGACCTTCTTGGTGACGGTGGCCGGCGGCTTCTTGGTCTTGGCGGCGGAGAACTCCTGCGATAGGTCGAGTTTATTATAAACGTCGAGCGTCGGCCAATCGGGCAACTCGCAGCAAGCTTCGAAGCCAAGCCAAAGCCACCCAGGGTGTGTGTACCTCGGCATCGGACTCGAGGAAGGTCTGGAGCACCTCGGAGGCGGCGAGGACCGGGTGGTCGGCCAGACGGGTGAGGAACTTGCCCAGCTCACGGCGGCGGGCCTCGATGAACTGCGGGTCGAAGCGGTCTGTTCACCACCACCACCGCACCGCAAGAGAAGACACGAAAAATGAAGAATGAGCGAACGACCGGAGGAGGAGAAGACGATGAAGATGACGAAGAATGAGAAAAGTACTCTGGATGATGGTCTTGTCGGGGAGGGGAGGGATGATGTAGCCCTTGAAGCTCTCCTTCATCTTGTCGAAGAGCCAGACGAAGTCGTTATATCGCCTGTCCGTTGTGAACTCGCTCTTGTGGTACTGAACCAAGTTGGTCTTTGACGCGGAGAGAGAGAGAGAGTCAGCAATCGTGTCGAAGCACACAGTATCGGGGCAAATGGGGTGAGGTGCGCACCTTGACGTTAACCTTGTAAGACACGAAGGAGCCCATGCCCTCGCCGTGCTTGGTGTACTCGCCCACGGTCATCATCAGCGACGAGGGCTTGTCCTTCTCCTCCTGCGGCGGCGGCGGCCAATTCGGAGTTGGTGAGCAGTTCGACACATTACACGTAACACACACGAGGCAGCAGCAGCAGCAGAAGAAGAAGGAGAAGACATGATGAACGAGCGCGACAGAATGAGCGTACGGTAGTGGTGCGTACCTCGTCGTCGGTGGTGAGCGAAACGTCCCGGGTGGGTTCCCGGCTGACGGGCTCGCTGTGGACCTCGGTGAAGCCACTCTCCTGCTTACTCGGCTCCTTCTCCTCGGGCAGGATCCATCCCTGCTCCTCCTTGCTCTCGGTCTCGGTCTCGCCCTGTGGGGCGACAACAATCAATCAATCAATTCAATTCAAGAATGGTCGATGGCGTTTTCGCCACCGGTAAATCGCGTCTACAAATGAACAGTGATGATCAAACATGTGAGGCAGTGGAGGCAGCGTACCTCATCATCAATGTGAACGTCCTCAGTGGGCGTGGTGTCAGCCTCGAAGCCGTCGTTCCCTTGCTCGATGAAATTCATGGTCGGCTGGTGGTTTGTGGTTTTTGCGGATTAGCGCGAAACGCAACAAGGCCGTGAAAGGAACCAGTGGCAGCTGCAACAATTAATAATTATTAATTGATATATTTTGATTTATCGAGCGTTTGCGACCAAATGGCGACAGGCGCGCGTTTCGCCGCGATTTGCGATGCGTGTGTGTGTCCAAAATGTCGGCAGCGAGAACGGCGAACGCCATATCCGAAGGAAATAGGATAAATAATAAAAGTAAATAATGGAGATGGAATGATATATATCTAAATAGATAGATCGGTCAAGAATGGCGAGCAAACACAGAGAGAAGCGCATGTTACCTGGTCCGTCTGTCTCTTCCGCAATTCCTCGACGGAGGCACCAGATTCCCAGCCAGGGGGGATGAGATCGTAGAGGCTCGCCCCAGCACTCTGCTTTCGAGATTCGGAGGGACTGTCGCCGAAGGGGTTACCGTAGGGGTTAGACATGTCACTTGTGCGGGCAAGATTTGAGATGGACAGGGACAGAGTTGAACACGTGAAAGAAGAAGAACCGCTTGGTCATTGCGGCTTTGTCGACACCCTCAAAAATAGGAGGAAATTATGATTTTCTTTTTCGATTCAGCATTTAGCCCTTGATCTGAGATGGGGAAGCGATTCTGGCGAGCGGCCCGGCAATTCGGGTTGGAGAAGGGCATGCCGAAGCCCAAGACCCCTGGTAAGCAGCTGCTTACTTCCGAACGAGGCGCGAGCGATTGTCTGGCGGAATTAGACTCCTGATTTTCAACGATATTGATTTTGATTCTGTGCGTACAGAGGATTGGAATCGGCTTTATCTGAAGCATCAGGTATATTTGCACGGCATCAAAAGTCTCGAGCTGCAGATGGTCAAGACGGGTGCTGGCAAGACGGGGGCGAGGTACGCCATCACCTATCGTCAATTAATCGCCGTACGTGCCACCCACTGGCATGCATCGCCTAATCACTCCGGTGCTTGTGCACAGACACTTCCACTACTGGAAGGTGCCTCCGATCCGCTGGTGGAATCCCGACGTCAAGTACGTGCACCGCGCTTGCACCCTCTCCGCAACCCAACACCCTGCTGCTTGCTCCTCGCTCTGGTCTGACCTTGTTGCCACCCGCGCCTGTCTTCTTCCCTTGCTCATGGACAGCATTCACGAGCAGAAGCTGCTTGCCGGTGAGTCCAAACTCATCATCGAGAAAGGTACTTTCGCCCAACCCACTTTCAGTGTGCAATGCCGCCCTCTGCTTTTCATCGTCTTCTCCTTGCGATGGCTTGCGTTGATGGTGATGAATGATATGCTGACGGTGCGGCCCTGCTTGTGATGCTTCAGTGGACGGCAAGAAGATCGAATTGGTCGTGGACGGCATGAAGGACGAGGAGATCTACAACGCGCTGCTCTCACATTCTGATGCCGCTCCCGTTGCCAGCAAGGAGGCGAGTGTGCAGTAGTGCCTGTCGTGCATCTCTTTCTCTTGGTCTTGGATGTAGAGTTCGTACAGAAGAAGACACTCACACATCCCCTCGTGTAGCTGAAAGCGTGCATCAGTCGCGACGAGACGTTGTTTTCTTGTGGACTGTTCATTTCGCGCCAATTTTTGATCAACGTTTCCGTTTGCCTGGAAGGATTTGATTGCAATCCAACGAATCCTTGCTCGGGCTTGTGACCGTAGGCCGAACGTCGTTGAATCAATGCAGACTTCCTTGTCGTACGCACAAATCTACAGCTCGTTCACTCTTTGCGTTGTCGGATTAATTTGTAAAATTGCCATTTGTGATTTGAAACAGAACGTTCTTCAAGAAGCAGGGCACGGACACGAAGCCTGCCGTTCCTGCCTCCCGTAAAAGGTGCCCCGGAGAGCTCTGCACAGCGCTTCTAAATCCGACTCACTCAAGTTGCTCCTGCAGAGCGCGAGAGGAACCAGCAGAGCCGGTGCAGGATGAGCTGGACCGGGTGCTGGACGAAGAGGCCAACGAGGAGACCAAGCCTCAGACCACCACTCACCAGACGGGTACCACCATCCTAGCGTTTGTATGTTGGCTGTTGCCCAAGCTGGAGGCGCTCATTCTGTTCTGCTAGGGGCAAGCACGCCGCGAAAGCGACTCAGGAAGATGAAAGAAAAGGAAGAGATGAAGGAAGAGGCTCCAGAGGGAGAGGAGCCCGTAGGGTTGCAAGCGACTGAAGCGGAGGAGAGGGCCGAAGCAGGTAGCGTCGAGAACGCAGCGCCTGAGAAGGAAGACGTCATGGACGAGCAAGTCAAGAGAGAAGGCGCAGAAGAGGAGGAAGAACACAACAACCTGAATGAAGAGGAGGAAGCCGAAGAGGAAGTAGACTCAGACTTTGATGAAAAGGAAGAGGGTGTGGAGGAGCAACCTACCATCAAGACCACAATCGCCAAGGCAGCAGCCACAAAGGGAAAGACCGTCAAGGGGAAGTCGAAGTACGTGGCTCATCTCTCATCCTTGATGGAGGAGCAGCCCATCGAGCCCGCTGCGCCTCTTGCTCACCTATGCATGGCGTCTTGCAACACCAGGGAGGTCACAAAGGGAATGCTGGCGCTACTGAGTTCCTCTGTTGACTACGACCCGGTTGCAAGTGCCATCTGGAAGAAGGGGGAGAAGTACGTTTATAACCCACAACCCCTCTCCGCCCTCGCGCATGTCTAATAGTGCTCACTGTGCGTCACACAGAGTCCCCTACCTGTGGCTGGCGCGCACGTTTGTAGAAATCGAGCAGTATACGGCACGGACGGAGATCATTCGACTCCTCACCAACATGTTCAGATCTGTCGTGGAGCTCTCGCCGAACGATCTTCTCGCCTGTGTCTATCTCACCATCAACAAGGTTTGGGCTTTCCTTTCCTCCCCGCGGTTCGGTTCGTGTTCTCACTCGGCTGGTGACCGACTCGGCTAGATCGCGCCGTCCTACGAGGGACTCGAACTGGGGGTCGGTGAATCGATCCTCATCAAGGCCGTGGCTTCGGCGACCGGCAAGAAGGATTCCGTCATCAAGGCTGAGTATGAGAAGCTGGGTGATCTGGGACTCGTCGCAGCTGCTGCCCGAAACACCCAAAAGTACAGCAACTCCACACTTTGCCCGGACACAACCAAATAGTTGCTAACCCTCTTTCATTTCACTCCACAGGACCATGTTCCCGCCACCGCCCCTGACGGTCTCCTTTGTGTTCAACACCCTCAACCAGATAGCCAAGGCGGCCGGGCGCGCTGTACACCTCCCCTCTTGGTTGGCCAATCAAGTCTGCTGTTCTATTTCCTTTCAATCTCACCATGACCACCTGCAGTCGCAAGACAAGAAGAAAGGGCTCATTCAGCAGCTGCTCGTGGGAGCCAGGGAGGGAGAGGTTCGTACACAACGTGAAGGAAAAGTGTCTGTGCTGCCTGCGGACCAGGTTGCTGACTATGTTGCAGGCGCAATGGCTCATCCGGTCCCTGGAAGGAAAGCTGCGCATCGGTCTCGCGGAGAAGACCGTTCAGGTGGCGCTGGCCCACGCCATCGTCCTCACCCGCACTGATCTCCAAGGTGCCTTGCCTGGCGGTTGGTGGGGAGTCTTCTTCACAGCTGCTGATGCCCTTCTTCTCCCGCGCGCAGACAAGCGAGCGCGGCTGGGCCTCGAGGAACGCATGCGTGTGGCCGCCGAAACGTTGAAGGAAGTATTCAACGAGCTGCCCAACTACAACATCCTCATCCCTGTCATCTTGAAGGAGGTACAAACCTTCCGCACCCCCCCCCCCCAAGCCCAGACCGCTAATCTGGGCACTCTGCTGTCACCTTCTTTAGGAGCCGGAGAAGTGGTCCGAAAGCTGCCATCTCACGCCAGGCATTCCTGTCCACCCCATGTTGGCTCACCCCACGAAGGGAATCGACGAAGTATGGCACACCCCTCTGCACCACCCACTCCCGTACCACGCTACTGGAGAGGCCTTTGCTAACTCTCTTTCTCTCTGTCTTCTGCGTCCCGGCGCGGTCAGGTGCTGCAACGCTGCGCCGATGCCGCGTTCACCTGCGAGTGGAAGTACGACGGGGAGCGAGCGCAGGTGCACTTCACCGATGATGGCGGCGTCCACGTGTACAGCAGGAACCTGGAAGACAACACCACCAAGTATCCCGACATCAAGCAAAACCTGCCCAAGGCCATGAAGCCGGACACGCATTCGTTCATTCTGGACTGCGAAGTGGTGGCCTACGATCGGGAGAAGAAGCAGATCCTGCCCTTCCAGGTCTTGTCGACCCGTGCCCGGAAGGTACGGTCCTGCATTCACTGAACGGCCGCCGAGCGTTGGCAGAGCAATACTGACCCCCCCTCAAATCAACAATTCCAGGACGCGGACATGTCTGAGATCAAGGTACAGATCTGCCTGTTCGGCTTCGATCTGTTGTATTTCAACGGCCAGGTAAGTGTCTCTCCGCATCAAGTCCGTATAGATGTGTCACCCAAAACGCTGACTTCGGCACTCCTGACGGTCGCAGTCCCTTGTACGCGAGCCATTCCGCAAGAGGCGGGAGCTGCTGCACAATGCTTTCGTCGAGGTGGACGACGAGTTCAAGTTTGCCCGTTATTCTGATGCGAACACGACCGATGTACGAGTCACCGCTCGCTCATATATATGGAGTCTCGCTTTTTCGCTGTATAACAACATGCCGTGGGAGCTGGCGTCTTACCTCCCTGTGTCCCTCTGCCAGGAAATCGCCAACTCCCTGCACGAATCGGTGGCCGGCAACTGCGAGGGTCTCATGATCAAGCGCCTGGACGAGGACGCCACCTACCAGCCCTCGAAGCGCTCCTATTCGTGGCTCAAGGTTGGTTCCACCCCAACCCTTTAATCCAAAAACGTTTCCGTTGCACTAACCACCACCCGCCCATGATCTGTGTAACAGGTGAAGAAGGACTACCTGACCGGCATGACCGACTCAGTCGATCTCGTCCCTATCGGGGTTCGTTCGCACGCCCACGGCGCTTCTTTTACACCAGCCACGACTGCTGCCTCCGTTTGACTGTGACTCTGGGCTCACCTCACCTCGCCCATCTGTGCGCGTATGCAATGACAGGCGTACTATGGCAAGGGCAAGCGTACGGGAGTGTACGGCGCCTTCCTGCTGGCCTGCTACGACCCCAACGCCGAGGAATTCCAGAACGTCTGCAAGGTACACACCTTGCTCGTACTCGTGATTGATTGCGCTCTCCTTACGCTCCTTTCTCATTCACTCAACAGATCGGCACGGGCTTCTCCGACGAAGACTTGGAGAAGTTTGCCGAGTTCTTCAAGGACAAGATCATCTCCAAGCCCCGGCCCTACTACCGCTACAGCGACCAAGTCGAGCCGGACGTCTGGGTACGAATTAATGAACTCGTTGCAGCACCCTCCGCCCTCCCTTCGCTCCTTCGTATGCTGACTAGTGCGCCGCAAACGTTTCGCAGTTTGACGCAAGTGTCGTGTGGGAGGTCAAGGCCGCCGACTTGTCGCTCAGCCCGCACTACAAAGCTGCGCTTGGACTCGTACGCCCCCCCCCTCCCTCCCTCTGCGGTTGTCGGCTGGGCTTGCGTGGTTTGCACTCGGATGGGGACCTAACATTATTTGGTGCCCAAACATGCCACAGGTTTCGGAGAGCAAGGGCATCTCGCTTCGCTTCCCTCGATACCTTCGCACGAGGGACGACAAAAAGCCCGAGGACGCCACCAACGGTGAACAGGTACACACGGAACACACTCCTCTCTCCGCACACGCATGGCCTGAGCAGCTGAGTTGACTCAGCACATCACCAACTGACTCTGTTGTCACGCGCAGATCGCCGAGATGTACCAGCAGCAGTTCGCGAACGCGCCGCCGGCCAACCCTCGCTACGGCGCTCCCCACTAATTTCCCTCTCTCTCTCTCTTTCATTCATTCATTCGTGTTTCGTATCCTTCTCGCCCTTGCCCGGTGTGTTGGGACATTTGTGGTTCAACTCAGCTCTCTTTCTTTCGTTTTTTCCCTCTTCATGTTCAAGTGTGTACTCATCATCTCGTTGTCGTCGCAGCGCTTCATCCCACCCTCGGCGGCGTGCGTGGTGAGTCTGGCCGTTCTTGTTCGTTTTCTTCCTCCCTCTTCGTTCTTCCGCCTTCTCTCTATCTCTCTCTTTCTCTCTCCTCGCCTTCTCTTTATTTCCAGATGCCGTTCAGGTAGTTGCCGGTGAGGGTGTCGCCGCCGTTGACGGTGTTGTTGAGGAAGGCGTCGCCGAGCGTGGGCGGGTCGTACTGCGGGTCGAAGATGTTCACGCCGTCGTTGCACTCGAGCACCTCGAACCAGTTGTTGAGGGCGGCGCGCTTCCTCTTCGACCCCTCGGCGCACACGCACGGGTACACGTTGCAGAACACGTCCAGGTTGCACGAGGCCTCCGTTCGGCCGGCGTTCAGCAGACCCAGGTCGTCGTCGCCCGTGCCGTACGTGTACGTCATGCCTCCGTACTTGAATGAGATCTTCTCTCTCACGTCGTCTTCCCTCGACGAGCTACACCACACATGAGTGTTGGTGTGTGCGGTGTGTGCGTGTGCGAGTGCGTGTGCGGTGGGACCTGCAGAGAGAGAGAGAGAGAGAGTGCAAGAGGGGACGCCTACCGAGGCAGGGAGAGATGCCACTCGGTGATGATGGCGGGCATGATGGTGATGAAGAGCTTATCAGTCCCGGAGGCGAGCCGCAGCAGCGGAATCTCCAGCACCAGGTACACCACCGGCGGGCAGGAGTCCTCGGCTGCGTGCAACGAACGTTTTTTTAGGTGTATGGGTCAGTACCGATGTGTACCGAGGGACAAGCGTGCGGGTGGACGTACTGTAGAGGCCCTCATTGTCGGCCGCGAGCTGCATGAGCTGCGCGGAAGAGCTATCGGGCTTCTTGGTGATGGTGAGCGAGCCGAAGCCGATGGTGCCCAGCATGTTGTCGAGATAGCCCTGCAGCCACCATACCGCAATCCGATCAACACAAGCTCACTCACCCTAGTTCCACACAGTTGGTTGGTTGAGCACCTTGCCGTTGCCCTGGGAGGGGAACTGGACGTCACGCTTCTTCAGGGCCTGGGGCACAGCCACGTCCCTCCCTGGCCAATCGATACCAACAATGTACCATCAGGAGGACAGCCCAATAGAGACTACGGATCGAGGAGCAGCCTCGTACCGTCACCGTAAACCGAGTCGGGCAGTCGTGAGTTGAACTCGAAGTCCATTGACTCGAACTCGATCCTGCCATCACTTTGATGCAGGGTGAGAAAGGCGACATATAAAAAACGGTGTTGGGTATAGTTTAGCAGGGGGGGGGTTTACGCCATATCTCCCGTGATTTGGGCACCAGCGGAGCAGAGGCCCTTCGCAAAGGCTGGGACTGATCGCGTGGCTGGGATCTCAGGGCAGGTCTCGATGTGCATCGCACCTGGACGCAGCCAATCCTTCAGCGATTGAGAAAAATCATCTGAGCTATGAACTGTTGGCGGTACCCCGGTAGACTGTTCCATGGTTGTGATGTACAAGCCCCAAAGTGAAGAGCAGCCCCACGAAGAGGCGGATCCATGGCATCTTCACAGCAGAAGATACACCTCAGAAAGAAATCTGTCTGCGGTTATTTCCTTTCTCAGCCTAGCTCCCCTTTTAAGACATGAAGGGAAATATGAAGGAAATGTTGTGAGTATAATGCCGGTGTTTGGTTGGCCTGTGCTTTTGGCAGGCCTAGGCTAAAGCGACGAAATTTCAGACTTAAATCTGAGTGGCCAGCGGTGCTGGTGTGCACCACTCAACTTGAGTGCAACACAAGACACGACGAGAAGTGGATGGTGCGTGACCAGTGGCTCTACGGTTCGTAACTTCTCGTTTCCGCTTTCTCGCCCCATCCTTCCAAGCAACTCTTGATCTAGCAAGATGCATTCATCTCACAACACGAGCCCTTTCATCTTCGTGGTGCTAGTCGCAGTGCACTTGTGCGGACTCGCCCTGTTTTTCCTCTATCTACTCACCTACTCGCCCGACCTAGACTTCCAAACTCCGCCCCCACAACTGACCACCTCGTCCGGTCTTGCCGCCGTCCTCCTCTCCGCCTCTTCTTCTTCTTCTGCCTCGCCCCGCCCCCTCGCCATCTCCCCCGTCGCCGCTCTCGCCAACACAGTGTACCCTCCCCTCCATCGCTTTCGTTCTTTTAAATTGTTTTTTAACATTCAGAGAGAATAAATGAGAAAATGCCACCAAGAAATTAATTAATATTTTTTACCAGCAGGCACGAGATTAAAGAGGCACGGCCACAGACGGCACATGAGCCGCCCGATGAGATCAGGGCTGACGAACCTGCAGACGAGGAGCGTGGGAAGGAGACGCAGGCCGAGGAAGAGGGCAGGGCACAAGAAGCTCTTGCCGAGCGCGACATTGCAGAGCTGGCGATGTACGACGTGCAGGATCTGCGCTCGTTCTACAAGCGGAGCGACAAGGTGGCGATCGCCGTGCTGCCCCAATTCGATCATCGGCTGGGCACGGTCGTGCTCAACGCGCTGGCCAATCTCCCCGCTGAGTGGAAGATCCAAATCTTTCACAGGTACCACCGCCACCCAAGCACACAGCACACAGCACACAGCACACAGCACACAGCACACAGCACACAGCACACAGCACACAGCACACAGCACACAGCACACAGCACACAGCACACAGCACACAGCACACACCTCCTCGGTCGCAGCGATCGCTAACTACCCCTGCGGCAGCCCAGAGATTGCACACAACGTGACCAGCCTGGCGTCGCTGATGCAGTATCACCGGATCGGTAGGCTCACGCTGACGCCCACCATCAACGGCTCCATGTCCTACGAAGACTACAGCGACCTGATGAAAAACGTTAACTTTTGGGAGCAAGTGCAAGGTGGGCGCTGTCTCTTCGCCATCGGCGTTGTGGTTGTGGTTATTGTGGTTATGGTTGTGGTTGTTTGCTGACTCGGCCTCTCGGTGGCAGGCGAGCATGTGCTCACGATCCAGACAGACGCGGTGCTCTGCTCCAATTCGCCCTACTCCATCAACGACTTCCTCGAGTACGACTGGGTCGGCGCACCCTGGAAGAAGTGGCCCCACCTCCTCGCCGGTAACGGAGGTATCTCTCTTCTTGGTGTGTCGTGTCGTGTCGTGTCGTGTCGTGTCGTGTCGTGTCGTGTCGTGTCGTGTGTTGCATTTCTCAAATTTGGCTGCGCGCAGGTCTCTCGCTGCGACGCAAGTCAAAGCTGATCGAGACTATCAAGAAGTGCGTGGTCGAGAAGCCGCGCGTGGAGGACATGTGGTATGCCTACTGCTTTCGGCAGCTGCCCCACATGGGCCGCAGCTTCAGCGTCAAGCTCGCGCCGCAGGATGTCTCCCAGCACTTCGCCGTCGAAACGCTGTACTCGCCCACCCCGCTGGGCGTGCACAAGCCCTGGGCCTGGCTTCCCTACGACGAGGCACGTATCAGGTCGCCTCTGTCTTTTGCTTGACATGATGAGCTGAGTGGCATTGCGTGCGGTGCGTGCGGTGTGTGCGTGTGCGTGTGCGTGCGTGTGTGTGTGTGTGTCACAGCTGGAGAAGCTGATCAAGTTTTGCCCCGAGCTGTTGTCGGTGGCGCCAGAGGGCGCCATCCGCGAGGCCCAGCAGCTGTCGTCGTCCAGCACGACCGCGAAGCCCAGCAGCAACAACAAACACCTACCCAGCCCGATCATCAACAAGAAGTCCAATAAACCCATCAAACCCTCGTGTCGTGCTGTCCGTTTCGTCTGGCTCGTCCACTTCTTTGAGACGTGCAAGATCTTCAGTGGTTGTTAGCCAAGACTGGCGAACTGGAACCATGTCCGAGGAGCTCAACCAATAGTTTGACAGGGGGGTGTACGCAACACAGTGCTTTGTACATTAGGCCACCTGCCGTGGTACGTGATGACAGTTTTCCACCACTGCTGCAGTGATCGATTACTGGTTCTGCATTTGGAGAGTTTGCGTGCTTGTCCTTTCGGCCGCGAGCTTCAGCGCGCTTACGTACTCGCCCGCCGAGATGCGTTTCTCCCTCACGAACAGCGCATGGGCTTTATAGCAAGAGTACGAGGGGATGAGATAAGTCTTCGACGACGAGGATGACAACAGCTGTGGGTGATGTACCAAGGAAGGGCAGCTTTCGAAGGACGCGGCCGCTGAAGCCTTGGCAGAGATACGCCACCTCGAGCAGGCGAACGCTCAGACAGTTGAGCGTGCTCTGGTCCTTGCCAAGCAAAAGGATGGACTGGTGCGTGAGGAGGCATTGCCTCGGGGCGACAATGCCGACGCGCATCAGCTCCTCAACGGCGCCACGTAGAATCTCGTAGCAAGCTGAATGCAGTCACCAACAACTTAGAGACTAGTTGCGAGGTTGGCGTGGTGTCGTACCTGAAGCGGATGGGAGACCGACATACAGCTTCAGGTCGGCGCGATCCATGAAGGCGTCGTCGATGGCAGCGGTCAGGTTGGATGTGGCAAGCACGAGCACGTTGCTGTAGCTCTGGAGAGTGTCAAGCTGCGTAAGGAGTGCGTTGACCACCCTGATTGCATCCGAAGGCTCGCTTCCGTGCATTGCGGCCTTTCGTGCTGCTGACAGGCTTTCGACTGCACCCAAGAGTCAGACCAGCTTCGTCACCACTTCCACGTTTCATATCTGCCAAGTACCTTCGTCGATCAGCACGACCACGAACGAGTTGCGTTCTTCCAAGAGCTCTCTGATCTTGCCGAACACGCCGGACACCAGCTTACCACTCTGCAGGTGCAGAAGAGATAAGATGAGCACGCGGTACAAGAGCTCCTTGCTTGCGGAACTTACCTCAGAGAAGAATTTGCTCATCAGAGAGTGGGCGTTGATCTCGACCAGCTGACCGTACTCGAATCGGTCCGAGAGGCGAATGGCAAGCTTATGCGCGAGAGCCTTACTGATGCTGGTCTTTCCCGTTCCAGGTGGTCCTGCGAACGATGTGGTTATGAGAGGACTTGGGTAGACTTGGCGAGAGTTGAGTACCGTAGAAGAGGATCATGCGGTTCCAGGAGATGATCTGCGGCGATATGTTGGCCTCGGCGAAGGTCATTCCAGTCTCTACGTAGTCTAGAAGCTCGTCTTTGACCGGAGCTTCAAAGATGAGGCTGCACGACGCAAAAAGTTCAGCTCCACTCTCGGGAGTACACTGTTATGGAGACTACGCACTTCTCCCACAGCTTGTGGAGACCCCTGGATGGTAGAAGAAGAGATTTGTAGGGCACCCCGCTACTCTCCTCGTCGTCTCCGATGTCAGGCGACAGCTCTTCGTCGGCATCGTACAGCTTAAACAGCGACACGTCGAACTTCTCTTCACCTGACACGTTCAAACCTTATCATAGGCTTCTACACGAACGAGTGGCGGGGAGGGGTTGAGACGTACCGGTAAGCTTCGTGCACGCAGTTGAATTGCCCACTCGCATGTTCAACCTCACGTACTCGAAGAGCTCGGAGAAGGGAGACTCGAGTACGACGTGATAGGGCTGGGCTTGAAGGGAAATGGCGCCGGCTCTGGCCTTGGCCACCAGGCTTGCTTCGAGCACCTGCTTGAGCTCGGCTACTCGATGGGCCAGCTCGGTTGAGTCCGTGAAATCGCTACGCTTCAGGCAAGCCTCCACCAAGACCACCCTCGACGCTCCCTCTACCTCCGAAAACACCGCATACTGATTCCCAACACAAGGACCTTCCACGTCCATCTTCTACACTTCTTGCCGTTTGAACGAAGCCACTTTGTCGTTTTGGCGGACGCCTGCCTGTCGGAAGAGAAAAGAAAGAGCAAAATGGAGAAACGTAAGGAAAATAAGAAAACTTACTCCAGATGGACGCGCAGAGCACGAAGGCCAAGGCTTCCCGGTGCCGCCCCTTGACCTGGCAGCCTGGTTCATAGCATATGGTGCGGCACTCACGTGGACATGTTTTTCCCCACATCACAGGCTACTGAACAACTTGGCCAAGCACAACCTGGACCAGGTTGCCCCCAAGCTCCTCCGCTTGGCGCAGTGCGAGGGCGGCACAAGCGCCTCCTGCTGGAACCTGGAAACTGCGCCAGTTGTGCTGTCTCGCTCGTTTGACACCGCGCTCGCACACTTGTCAGCCGATCAATTCGCGCAGTACCTGGCTCTGTGGCAGCTCTTCATCGACTACGAGGAGGCCCACTGGAAGCTGCACCACAAGAAGACGGGCACGACAGAGGTGTGGCAGGTGCAGCAGTGGCTGGTGGAGGAATGTCAGGCCTACTGGGCGGACATGGTGGACGACATGAGCAGGCATGCGGTGCCGCCGCTGGTGGAGCTGTGCGGCCGCTTCTTGGCCGGCGCGACTGGAGGCCAGCGGATCAACATCTCTGCGGCACCGCTACCAGAGGAGCTCAAGCAGCGTCTCGCTCTCCAGTACGCTCCACCCAAAGTGCAATGTGTTGTAGGCGCACTGGTTGTGATTTTGACACTTGGCTCTCCAGGCCTTGGAGGTTGCAGGCGCTCACGGTGCGAGAGGAGAGATTGGCGCAGGACGAGCTGTTTGGTCGCCGCTGGTTGGTAAGCCTACTGCCTGTGTGCCGCACTCTTTATAGGCCCGGGCCGAGCGTCAATTTGACTCTCCTGTGTAACACGTCACAGTGGAACCGACAGCACAGGCGCTTGGAATGGGTGGACTTGTGCGGAAGGATGGCCAAACTCGGTATAGTGCCGGTGCGACTCAGCGTTGACGCGCTTCGTTCGCTGCTGCTGGCCATCAGACACCTTCACGAGCTGCTCCTCCGTGCCAAGGGTCGAGAGGCCTCTGCCGTAGCCACGCCGACCGACGACGAGGGCGGCCTGCCCGGGCGGGGAGAGGTCGAGGTCAGGATTCAGCGGATCGAAGAGGAGACGCTTGACCTCGTGCTCGTGCTCCTCGCCCTCCACCGGGGCCACGTCGCCGCGTGGAAACACCTCATGACCACCAACCGGCCCGATCAAGCGGGAGAAACGAGACGATCGCTCGAGGCGAGCCTGAGGTATATGACGACGTTGGCCCAGGATCCACGTTTCTGCGACAGGGCACAACCCGTCCTCGTCGAGGCCACCCAACTCAGCTCGCCGCTGCTGGCCACCGTTCAGCCCCACAAGCAGTAAAGAAATTTGTTTTAAATTATATGTTTATTATTGTTCGATGGCGGCTGAGCACAACAGGGCGCTTCGGTACGGGATGGTGGGGGGCGGGCCTCCTGGATGGATCGGCGAAGCACACCGACGTGCCGCAGCACTGGCGGGTCGCCTTCAGGTACGCTTGAGAGCTCACACCCTTTGTAATCTTAATCTAAAGCGCCAATTAATTGGCATTAATTGGCGCCCTGTGTGCAGTTGGTTGCTGGTGCGTTCTCTTCGCGTGTGGAGGTGAGCCGCACCTTTGGTGCCAGCCTGGGCCTGGAGTCGGGTCGTGTCTACACGTCCTACCAGGAGATGGCCAGCCAGGAACAGCGCCTCCGAGAAGAGGGCACCGGTGCGTCCGCCCCATGTGCGCATGCGGTGGTTCGTGCGATCGCCACTACTCACACACCTCACCTTGCGTGATGCAGAAGGCGCGCTCGACTTCGTAGTGGTGGTCACCCCAAACCCGCTCCACTATGACGTCTCACGCACATTCCTAGAGGCATGTTTCTGCATTCATCACTCAGCCTCTTGCTGAAGCTACAGGGCTCTCTACAGTCTCTAAAGTCTTGTCCTCCTCTGCCAGGCTGGCTTTCCGGTCCTCTCTGACAAGCCGCTCGCAGAGAACTTTGCCGATGCGGCCAAGCTGCTGGCCCTGGTCGAGCGGACCGGCCTGCCCTTCGGCCTCACCCACAACTACTCGGGCTACCCCATGGCACGTCGACTACATTGATTGTCAGTGTACCACGTGAGCTCTTACAGAAGAAGTAACCATCGCGATCTGCTCAGGTCAAGGAGGCCCGAGAGCTTGTCAAGGCGGGCAAGCTGGGCCGATTGCGCAAGGTGGTGGTGACCTATGCGCAAGGCTGGCTCACCGCCGATGGCAGCAGCATCACCCGCACCTCCGGCCTCTCTTCCCTCGGTACGTAACACACATCATACACTTTGTGAGCCCAGCTTACCCTCTCTCTCTCGCGCGCGCCAGTTGATGTGGGCACCCACGCCGAGCACTTGTTGGTGCGTCTTGTCGAACAACATGGATGGCGCTCTGATGGTGGTTTCAACTCACATGTTAAAAATATGTTCCTCTTGGCTCAGCGATACATCACCGGGCTTGAACTGTCGGAGCTCTGTGCGGACATCACCACCTTCGTCGGTGGAGGTACGTGCTTAGGGTCCGTGCTGTAGATATCAGCTCACAATTCCCTTGTTCTTACCAAACCAACCAGTGCGCGAGCCGGACGACTTCAACGTGCTGCTTCGCTTCAAGTGCGGGGCCAAGGGAGTGCTCATTGCCTCACAGGTTGTTCACCTCCGCTCCCCGCCACCCCGCGCCAAGGCACTGTATGGACCACTAACGACGTGCTGCCTGCTTGTCGTCGTCGTCGTCTAGACCTCGACGGGTAAAGGGAACGGCCTCAAGATCGAGGTCTACGGTAGCGAGGCTTCGCTGGAGTGGGCGCAGGAGGAACCCACGCTTCTCACCGTGCGTCCCAGAGACGCGCCTGAACAGCTGCACAAGGCGGGCAACCCGTACCTGTCCAAGGCGGCCAAGCTTCACGCGCGTCTGCCGCCCGGGCACCCCGAGGCATCCCTCCCCTCTACTTACCGACTGGCCCGACTGGCCAGGGCCTGCTGCGTGGTGCTGACACCATTCAACCAACCAACCAATCACTCACAACCAGGGCTACTTGGAAGGCTTTGCCAACGTCTACCTCAACTTTGCTAACACTCTGCGCAAGACCATCTTAAAGGTACGGCCGCGCATCAACTGACTCGCTTGATGATGGACGGCTGGCAGAGTAATTGACGACGATCGTACGCTTCCTGTTGTTAGGAGGAGTTAGGCGCCGACCAGCCCTCGGGCGATTATCCGACTGTAGTGGCATGTTTGCCCCATGAACGCTCCACATTCACAGCATTCGCTGGCCTACTCATCTTCATCTTCGTCTTCATCTTTTCTATCAGGACGGCTGGAAGGGGATCCACTTTGTGGAGAAGGTGTTCGAGAGCGGCAAGCAAGGAACATGGGTCAAGCTCGACGACGCCGTCACCGGCCGTCGTCCTCCCATGTAGCGTGTTTTCATGCGATCAACACACGGGCTGTGCTTGGGCGGAGCAGACAAATGCATTGTCAAGCCGACTCAAGGGCTGATCTCGGTGAGGGCGTCCTTCTGGAGCTCGGGGAAGTTGGCCAGCACCTTGTTGAGAATGTACCGGCCGTACAGGATCGGCTCGCGGGGCTCGGCCGCCACTATGCGTGTCGTGTGTTGTGTGTGTGTTGTGTGTGTGTGTGTTGTGTGTGTGTGTTGTGTGTGTGTTGTGTGTGGTCATGCGTCAGGCCAATCACACCACACATTATCATAATGGGTGTGTTGCGCCGCAAGTACCCTGCCCCTTGGCTTCGAGTTCGCGCCGGCAGTGCTCGAGCGGCGACACGAGGCACTTGAAGTTGGGGTCGAAGAAGAACGGCGCCGAGAGCCGGTCAACGGCGCTGCTGTTCTTCACCCGATGCGGCGTCGCCTTGTACAATCCTGCACGATTGAAATCGTGTGAGTGTGCGTGTGCGGTGATGCGTGCGTGAGTGTGCGTTGAGTTAGTACCGCAGGTCCAGGTCTCCAGCATGTCACCAATATTGACGACGAAGGTGCCGGGAATGGGCGGAGCTGCGATCCACTGGCCGTCCTTCGTCAGCACCTCGAGTCCGCCCACGTCGTCCTGGCCCAGGATCGTCAGCACGCCGTAATCTGTCGTCGCGACCGCAACCGCAACGTTGGGTTCATATCCATGAGTCCCTTTGGCCACGCCCCTTTTTCAACGGTCGGTGCATTGTGTGCGGGGGGGTACCTGTGTGTTGGCCGACGCCCCACTGTTCCTCCCTGGGCAAGGGGTCGGCCGGGTAGTAGAACAGGCGGAAGGGCGTGAACGGCGACGACGTAAACTGCTCTCTGTACGTTGACAACAAACAACGTTGTACAGGTGAGGGTGATGAGGAAGATGAAGATGATGGTGATGCTAAGGGACAATGAACCTGAAGTAGTTCTCGCTCAAATTGAGGGACAGCGCAATGCCCCGCATCACCTGATGTCCCAGCTCTGGGTGGGCGTGGAGGCCGAGTGAGCGTTGAAAGAGAGGCCTAGAGAGAGAGAGAGAGAGAGAGTTGAGAATGTACCCGTGAGAGCGTCCATGTAGTCGATGATGAGCTTGTCGAAGCCCGGGAACAGCTCCGGGTCAGGCCACTGGTTTCGTCCATGCATCGGCAACTGTGTGGAAACATGTCAGTGTCAGTGTAGCTGTCACCACCAACCGTCCAATTCTCATCTTTATTGATCAAGACCTCGCTCACGTACCTTGGCTTTCACCTCCTCAGCGTCATCGCCCAGCTCGGCACCAAAGTAGAGTCCCTCCTGCACGTGGTGATGCCCCAAAAAGAAGAAGGTTCTGTGGACGTACGTGGCAACACAAAGATGGACCGACCGAAAAGAAGAGCACAACCTACCTTGAAATCCTTCTTCTTGGAGGTGTACTCGCCCTGCAGCTCGAACCAGCCCCGAAACACGGCGTTGTTGCGCATGTGGATGCTCTCCTTCTTGTCGTGAGGGCACTCGCCGAAGAATCGCTTGCCCTCGGCGAACAACCTCGCGATGAGATTTTCGTCAATTCCATGATTTTTGATGTAGAAGAAGCCGAATCGGAGGCACGCCTCTCGCAGCTCATCCACCACCTTCTGGAGGGCCGCCGCTTCAGCATCCGCGCTTGAAGATGAAGATTTGGTGAGTGGCGAAATGTCGATCACCGGAAGCGTGGCCGGCACCACGGGGACCGTAACGTTGGTGCTTTCCATCTCCTACTTCGTCTGTAAAGGCTCTTCTTTGTTGAGTTGGTGTTGGCCAATACAGCAATAATTAAATGCCAATCGGCGAGACGTGCAGTTGGGCTGCAGGGACCTACTCCTACGACACGACACGACACGCCCGACACGACACGACACGACACGACACACGGCAAACGACGTGATGTGTGTAGTTTTAGGAAATGGTTTCAGGAGGGTGGTGAAGACGAAGGCACATCGGTGGCAGAGGCAGAGAGAGCGCCGAGGGTGAAGGGCTTGATCTGCTTGATCTGGTGATTGCAGCTCGGGCACGCATAGCTCCGATCGACCATCATCGCCGTCTTGATGCAGTAGTAGCAGAACAGGTGCCCGCAATCTAACACGAAACACACGACACACACCACACCAGACGCGACAATCAGGCATGAGATCGCATGAGTTGTTCGAGAGCGAACGCGAACCTGACAGGTAAGGTGAGTGCGCAGGGTCTGCTTGACACACTCCACACCTGATCACACACACACCACACCACACACACACGGTCAGTGTGCGCGTGCTCAAGAGTTCAAGACGGCGCGATGAGGTGTACCCGGCATTGCCCAGCGAGGGACTCAGTTTGTTGCGGAACTTGAAGAGGCGGTAGATGGTTCGTTTGATTCGGTCGGCGTTGATGAGGGGCGTCAAGAACATGAGGAACTCCTGATTGGTAGCCATTGGCCCGCCGTACGATGATGAGCACCTCCACAAAACACCAAACGACGTGTGTGTTATGTGTGTGTGTGTGTGTGTGTGTGTGTGTGTGTGTGTGTGTGTTGTGTGTGTGGTGTGTTTTGGAATCATGTAAAGCCACGAACAAACGCGCACCGAAAAGCCGTGCCACACGAGCTGCCTGTTCATGAACTCGAAGTTGACAAAGCGGGCGACCGATGGACGTGCATAGACGAGGCGCATGCCCAGGAGCCTGTCGACCGGGCTCATGTACCTGGTGGTACACCCAAAGCAAAATAATAATCAATCAGAAAAGTCTGATGAAAAAAGAATCGTTGTAGGTCGGTGAAGATGGCGGGCGTACTTTCCGTTGTAGAGGAAGGCCACAAAGTTGAGCAGCGTGAGTGCCTTCCACGCGACCTCCAGGTAGTTCAGTACTTTCCACAGCGTTTTGTAGACGTCGTCTTCGTCTCGTTCGGCCCATGTTCGATCCGATGCCAGACGATTGAGCCTGCGCTCACATGAATTCGTGGTAAAAAAAGAGGTCAATCAACACGGTGAGCAGAGAGAGGGCCGATATCAACCTTGCCCAAGCCCATGCGCCTCCAATGTGCAGCACGCCCCACATAATCTTCTGCAGTGTTGAGGGTGGGATGATCCGCTGGGTCGCTGCGTTGGTCGGCATCGACGTGCACGACACCGGTGAGTGTGAGCAAGAGGTCCTTTTTTATATTAATTCGCGATGTTGTGTTGTGGTGAACCTTGTAGGTAGTCCTGTCGCTCATCTCGATAGGTGAGATTCTGCAATCGTTGACCGTACGTTGATCCCGTGGCGTAGAGTGAGAGTCTGGTTGAACGCTGAGTGTGAGAAGCGTGCAGTGCGCCGCTTGTGTGTGTCTGTGTGTGGCCTGGGAGGCGACGGTACCTGTACATAATGAAGTAGAGGAAGGCATCGAGCTCGGGCGTAAATCTGTCGATGAGCGATGGCTGCAAACGACATAAGAATGGTGAGCAATCAGCGGAAAGCCCTCACAATGCGAAGCTTGGGTGCTGTACTCGGAAGAGGGAGAATATTTTGGTGAAGGAGGTCTTGATGATGGAGGTGAGTTCGTTATCGAGGAGCGATGCATCCAGCTGATTGACTCGCAGCACTCTCAGCGGCACCGGCGCTAGTTCGCTGGCGCAATTATTGAAATGATTATTAATAAATAAATGATTGATAATATAAATAAAAAAGGAGACTCACCTCAGCTTAGCGGCGAAGGTGTGGAGGAGAGGTGCGGCTCGCTCCCATTCTTTTTCCCAAGGCCGCCCCTGGTGCGGCGCCATCTTTAATCACATGCAGGCGATTCATCTTTGAGAGTTTTCCACGTACCTGAGGTCCAGTGGATGCGTCTTCCAGTGGAGCTGCACCCGGGTCCAGGCTTGGAGAAGTTGAGGCATCTGCAGGGCTCTCCGTCGATTCCATCCTCTTGGTACGAGCGGGGCGATTGGGGTTCCCTTTTCTTTTGATTTTTATATTCTTTTTCGTTTTATTTCATTTTATTTTGCTTCATGCGGCGACTGCTGTCCCTCCCGAAGCACCGGTGCCTCCCACACAGCTCGTTGAGCTCCACCGCCTCGTCGATTGCCGTGATGCGAAGAGATTATGTGCATAATCCTAATCAAGCCGCAAGCGGAGAGAAATCGAGCGAGGTGCGGCACCTGTTCGCATACGGTACTCTGCGGCCGGACGACGTCAAGGGGGCGCCCTGGACCAAGCGCTTCCGGGAGGGCATGGTGTGGCAGCGCGCTCGTGTGCCCAGCGCTCGCCTGTTCGCCGACCGCTACCCCTTCGTCGTCCTCTCGCCCCCTGTACGTGACGCAACCTGCGTGGATGAGCTTCATAATGGAGGCCAGACTGACTGCTCATGACGACGCCTCAGGGGCAGGAGGAGACCACTAAGACCACGATGAAGCATGCGGACTACGTGGTCGGGTACGTCATGTGCTGCGATGACCAGGCGAGCTTCCAGGCCAAGCTGGAGGAGGCCGACGAGATCGAGGGCCACCCGCACTACTACCAGCGCTCTGTCGTTGAGGCCATCATCGAAGATGATCAGGAGGACGTTGTTGTCGATCACCGCCCAGAGCCAGCGACTGGTGAGAAGAAGAAGGTCAAGTGCTTCATCTACCACCGGCAGGCGAGCCTTTCGGCGTACCCCGTGTGGTGTGGGGATTGGGCCTTCGTCGGGCTGCAGTACCCCACCACGCCGACCGACCGCTTCTTCCAGACCAACGCCGATCGAACCACCAAGACCAAGTAGGGCCCACCGCCGCCAGCGGCGTCTTCCAGCCTCGTCGTCTGCCAGCCCGCGGGAGCTGCGTGGAATTCCAAGCATTCCAACATATTTTCGGCGGAAGTCGACCAGTTTTCGATTGGGCAGCGAAACGCTCTTGTCGGTTCCCCTTCCTTTCTCCTTCACTTTCCGATCTCTTCCTCGGGGCCTCCGGTCGGGCGAGCCCCGGACCGCTCCGATTGTTCTCCCTCTCGCTGCCGCTCGTCTCGCCTGCAGTCTTTTCTTCTCAAAGTTTCCTCAGACCAGAAGAACAACACCACCTGCAACCTACGCGAGGCCACCCGTCCCACGAAGTACGTATCCACGTCTCTCTTCGAGGTTTTGGCTTACAAGATGCTGCATCATCTTATCTCGCTAATCTTGTCTGTTTTGTTGTGTTTTGTAGATGGAGTACCCACATCAACAGTACATGCAGTACCGGCAGCAGCAGCAGCCGCAGCACCCAACATCTCAACAACAACAGCAGCGAGGACCGGTGTACGTTCGCCCATACGAAGCAGCAGGGGGAGACCCACGAGGAACTCGGCCGACACAGACCCTGCATGTCGGCACGGCCGACAACGAACTACCGATGACGGCGCCGTCCGGTCGTGAAGCTGCGGTAGCGAGCCTCCAAGCACTGGCCCAGTGCGGCCGAGAGGAGGCCCTCTACTACCTTGCGGTACGCCCAAGCGTCAATTGATGAAGATATCTGCATGTGGGGACCACGTCTGCTAACATTTCATCCACACACACAGGAGCACAACTACGACGTACACAGGGCGATGGCTGCTCGGACGGCAGATGTGCGATGGGAGCTGCAGCGCGGCTGCGCACTGCCGCGCCCCGCTCCAGAACAGCCACAGATACCACAAGAGACAGTTGTACAAGTTGGTCCTTCCCTTCAGGCTCAGCTGGAAGAGGCTCGTCAGCGTCTACGCACTCGCTACGAACGCGAAACTGGAGGTCCAACTCGCTTCTTTCTTTTACATTCCATTCATTCCTCACCCTCTGGCCCGGCGCTTCACAGACACGAGCAGTTCTCCAGGTGCCCTAGCGCTTCCCCTCCAACAGCCACAGCCCACTTTGGCAACGGCCCCTCCGGCTGCTCAGCCACCAGCAGCCCAGGCAGCTGCTTCCGCACCTCCGCTCGTGTACTTCCCTTCACCTGCTGCAGGGGCACCGCCCCAGTATGCGGCCCCGCACCTCCCAGCACAGCAGGCGCAGCCCTACACACCTACGACGCATTTACCTCCACCGGCGCAGACCTCTGCGCCTTCGTATCACTACCCTCAGCAACTGCAACAGCAACAACCTGTGCTCTATCCGCCGCCGGCGCCCACCACCTACGCGCCTCTGCAGCAGCCAGGGCACGGCTGGGAGGAAGCAAGTAGGGAGGAGGCCAACATCAACGCCGGTACAACGCGGCGAGAGAACCCCCTTACGCTCGCCGGTCAGACACTCGGCAAATGGATCTGGGGCGGTACGCACCACAAGGACAAGAGCGGTTCCTCCTCTTCCTCTGCCTCTTCATCCACCCCTACATCTGCATCTGCATCGTCTTCATCTACGACCATGGCCCCGCCCGCTCCTTTGCAATCGTCCGTCTCATCGTCGGCCTTCTACCCAACGTACGATCGTTGTCACCTCCCCTGCATCGCTTCCCCACTGCATGCCCTGATCACTTTTCTATTCGTGCGCTGTTGCGCAGAACAAGCACGGTACCGGTGGGAGAGGAAAGGCCGGGGCTCGGCATGGGCCGGCGGTACCAAAGCGACGACTCGCTCGAGATCAACGAGCTCGCGAGGGACCGGCGATCTTGCAATGGCCGGCGGGCCGAGGGCACGGCCAGGGACGAAGAGGCCAGCACGGAGGAGGGCGAGTCGCGCGGAGGCCTGCGACATCTGCTCTCTTCGGTCCGACACCGTGGCAGGGAGATCGTCGACCGCATCGGGCACCATCAGGCCACCCCCAGCGGCGGGGGCGGCGAGCCCCAGCAACTGACGCCGGCGTCCGAGGAGGAGGAACTGGAGAGTCGCCGCGGGCACCGGAGGCGGTCGTCGCACAGCGGCGGCGGAAGCAGCGCGGGCAAGAGGGACAAGCGCGCCTCGTTGGACGAGGGCTGGGTCTTGGTCGACAACACTTCTACGCGCTCCTCGACCTCCACCCACCCGCCCCAGCCGACGCTTGTCACCCAAGTGCCGCTCACCGACGAGCAATACGCTGCGCGCCTCTCTCGGTGCGAAGCATTCACAAACAATCTCTCTTTGAATCGGAGCTCCGGCCCTCTGACTTGACTTGTGCGTGTCTTAGGCAATTGGCGGAGGAGGAGGAACGACAACGTCGAAGGGACGAGGAACTCGCGCGCCGAATCCAGAGGCAGGAGGAGGAAGAGGTGCGACGTCGTGCGCGCGAGGCCGAGCAAGAAGCCGAACAAAGAGACAATACGCGCTCATCAGGACGAAGTCGGCGGCGATCGCACGGTCCTGTGCACGTCGTCGTGTCACGAGGCCCATTCGGTATGTCATCGACACTGCACAAAGAGGAACCTTTGCCTCATCTCTTACATGAGAATTCTTTTTGTTGTTGACTGTGCAGGCGAAGTGCTGGTCTCAGAGGGACTCTCGCCATCGACGCTCTATATCGATGAGCCCCGGGGCCGACGGCGGCGGACCGGAGGGTTGGTGGGCCTGCTAGAGATGATGCGCGAAATGCATGAGGTACTGCTGCACCGGTCATGTGTTCATCCGCTTGATCACCACCTTTGCTCAGCGTCAGCGTCTTCTTGATCAGATGAGCCTCGCGCAGAACATGTCCCAGGAGTCAGGGTATCCCTTCGTGCTGGCCCCGAACGCGTCCACTTCTTCGCGCCGACAGGACATGACCTACGAGGTACCTCTATGCTCTGTCTACTCTCTTCGTTCATTCTTCTTTCGCACAGTACTCACAAACCCGCAACACAGCAATTGTTGGGTCTGGCCGAGCGAGTGGGTAATGTCAATAGAGGCGTAAGCCACGCGGCCATGGATGCACTCCCCACGAGGACCTTTCAAGAGAAGGACAAGAAGGCCGACCAAGAAGACAACAAGTACGCCGCTTCGCCATAGTCATCTCGAGTTCGGCAGGGGCTCGACTCGAGATATAACTAACAGCTCATGCTCGCCTTTGGCAGATGCACTATTTGTCTGTGCGATTATGAGGAGGGCGACACCCTGCGGGCGCTCCCCTGCCTGCACTCGTACCACAAGTACCGTCGTCTCGCTATCTCTGCCCTCGAGGTCGAGTGCCTCCGCCGCTGGCAATTCACTCACCCACTCGCTCTCACACTTTTCAGGGACTGCATCGACCACTGGCTCAAGTCGCACAACACCTGCCCGGTGTGCAAGACGCAGATCAACATGTGATACTTAACGTATGACTTAAAAGAGGAACACGAACGTGGTTGAAACATGTTCTGCCTCATTGCCGGGAAGCTTACATGGTAACATGTGGTGTGACATTGCCAGTATTGCCCGATCTCAGGCCAGAGCCAATGAAAGGACCCCTTCGGTCACTTTATTGGGTAATACAGTTCATCATAATTCGATTACGGAAGCGTTTAGTTTTCTCTTTGGCGTGGCCACGGCAAATTGCGGGCGGCACTGCATCTTCGGTTCGATATAACAAATCAAGCAAGGAAAGTCAGCCCTATCGGACGATAAAACGAAGAGAAGATGAAGGGGTTCATGACGCTCCGTTCCAATTCATCGACACGGAATTTGGAGAAGAAAAAGAAGCGAGATGGCATCAATTTGCAAAGCGATTCTATCCTCGATCAAAGTCCTGTCCTCTCCTCCTCTGGCTCGACTCCAATCAATAACAACGACGCGGACAATGGTACCCCGTCGCCGGGATCTCTCAAGAAGACGCCACCTTCATCGTCTCTAGCCTCATCCCCATCCTCGTCTTCACAATCCTCTCCTTCCTCTTTCCTGCCTCGAGCATCCTCTTCTCCCTCGCTGCCCTCCCGCAAATCGATATCACCCCCCCATTCACCTTCTTCTTCATCTTCTGATCACCTTTCGTCTCGGGCCTCAACGGCGCGCTCGAATCGGTCAACGCGGCTCATCGGCAAGCTGGCCATCGAGGAGCCCAACGAGGCCGGCCACTTCCAGCTGGATGCCGACACCGACGTCAAGAACCGAGATGACCAGGTACGGCAGCTCAAGAGCCACCTCAAGAAGCTCGCCGCCGCCGTCCGCCGCCTCAACACCGACGCGCTACGTACGTAGACCCCAGTCATGCCCCTTCTTCTTTCGAGTATCGTACATGTCGTTGTGTAGGCGTCGCACGTAGTACCATGATGTTGTGTGAAAATGGTGGCTGATGGCTGTTGGTATTGTGTAGGCTACGTCAAGGCCAACAACGCCTTCGCACAGGATGCGATGGACAAGTTGCAGATCGCAGAGAAGAGATCCAACCCCGACTCGGTCTATGGTGAGCGTCGATCTGATCTGATCGAGCTGCAGTGTTGATTGTTGTTGACCGCGGCTGCCTTTCTCACACACTCTCTTGCTCTCGCCTTGCAGCTGAGGCGCTGACCAAGTTTGCCGAAGCCGAGAGAAACGTCGCCGCAAACGTGACCCAATTCGTACGTTCTTCTCTAGCGCTGTTCGTGGAGGTGTGGTGTTGATGACGTTCGTCGCAAGAGCTCACACCCACCTATCGGTTACGCAGCACCAAGTGCCGTCCGACCAGCTCATAGCGCGAATCCTCGAGTTTGTAGAGAAGGACATCTCCACCGAACTCAAGGTTGGCAGCCCTTCATCAGTTAGTCAACACCTCGAGCTTGATGATGTCCTGCTAATGCAGTTGGCCCCCGCGCCGTCGGTGTCCAACAGAACACCAAATCCAAGTATGAGAAGGCCAGGCGCGACTACGACGGCGCTGTGGACAAGGTCACCACTCTTCGCGGCAAGTCCAAGCCAGACGTCATCAAACTTTACAATGTACGCCTCGTCCAACACCAAACGTTAGACACTCTGTTAGACACTGAGCTAATGAATACCGTGTTCAATGATTGTAGGCCGAACGTGACCTGAAGCGACTAAAGAAGGCGTACGAGGACGCACTCGAAGAGGTCCACATCAAGCTTGAGGATATCGAACTGAAGAAGAGCTGCTCCCTGATCGAGTGGCTCATCCTCTACCTCCAACAAGAGCGGGTACGTACGACACGTAAATGACCGCGGCTCATTCGCGCACTCCACGCTGCTCACCTTGGCCTCTTGTATTCGCGGCCGCAGGACATGTACGGAGAAAGCTTCGTGATCGTTCAGCACCTCGAAGGCTACCTCGTACGCGTTTCTCGGCCCCAGCCACTCAGTTCTCTTGTTGTCAGGCCGAGGTGTGCGCTCACCACAATGGTCCACTCCCAACTGCGTGAACGATGCTGTGTTGTAGGACGAGCTCACGACATGGGCTGTCGAGATGAAGAGTTTCTTCCATGATGCGGTACAGAAGCGATCCGAAGAGGAGGTGCGTTATAGCATTGCCGTACAAGACACAACTCAACTTCGAGGCGGTGCCTACATACACGCTAACACGCACTTTGCCTTCGACGAACAGGCCGCCGCACTCCAAGTAGAACGAGACGCCATTTATGACCCGCTCATCCAGGTGCGTGTGTTGCATTTGCGTCCTGTGTGGCAATGAAGAGGCGGAAGACTAACCGCGCGATGGGACTTCTGGTCCGCCAGCTGGTGGACTCCAATCCGGGAGTGGTGGCCATTCTTCAGCGGATAATCTCCAGCGAGAGCAAGAACGTGACCGTTCCCTCCAAGGTACGCGCTTCTCTTCGTCTTCTTCGTCATCATGTCGATGAACCTGCATGATCCCTTCACCCACTAATCCGCGTCACCGTGTGCCGTATCACACGACGTGCAGGGCGACACCAAGGGGGTCGCCAACTTTCAGGCATTCATCAAGGACAACTACAACGACATCTGCCTGGAACTCATCGCCGCTGGCTACAGAGTACGCTGCTCTCTCCGTCCCCCTCACTCCCTTCATTGAGCTCATACAGTCGCTTACGGTCTCTTGTGACTCACAGGAGCAGATGAAGGAGCTGGCCTCTGCTATGGGCTTCCTCGAGAAGGCCCGGGAAGACATCGAACTGTAACAACCACAACTACGCAACACGCAACACGACACGCAACACGCTGTGTGGAGGAAAACTCCTACGGAGTGTGAAAACCCACACATTACTAGTGCAGATTTCGGCGTGGTGATTTCTGTGGGAGTTCCAGAGCCTCCCCCAACGGGGGAGCTGGTTGCTGTGTTTGGCGGAGGCAACCTCAGCTCACGATGTTCCGGGCCGGACAGCTAGCTTGCGCGCGACCAGAAGGAACTCGAAAGGAAGGGCGCGAGGTCGTTGCCGGGTGCGTACGAAGCTTCGAAAGATTGGCGAAGATGGAAGAAAAAGAAAAGCGAAGGGGAGACGAGCTGTTGATCCTCGTAGGTACGCAGACGGGGACGGCGGAAGAGTTGGGCGGACGCCTGGCCTTCGTGGCCCGCAAGCATGGCCTCACCGCCCGCCTCCTTCCCTTCGACCAATACGACGTGGTACTTGCACCCCTCATAAAAGATTTAAAATGATTAAAATTCTATTATTTTATTGTTCTTTATTTACACGTTGCCGTGCACCACAAATAGAACGAGCTGACGAAGGAGTCGCTGGTGGCCATCTGCTGCTCCACGTACGGCACGGGCACCTTCCCAGCCAACACGCAGGCACGCACTCCCACAATGCCCTCTTCTTACGTCCGATGGCTGGGGGCTGACGTCAGCTGAAAAAACGCGGCGTTGATGACGTGTGGGATTGCTTGTGTGGCACACGATCAGAGAGCGTGGGAGGAGCTGAATGGAATGCCCGAAGGCTCTTTGGCACAGCTGCGCTTTGGTGTGTTTGGACTGGGCAACAAGAACACGCGACACGACTTCAACAACGCTGCCAAGGTGCGGATGCGCCTCTCCACCGAATCGCCAGGCAGCTCAACTTCAACCTCAACTGCACACACACACGCGTTACCCCACCATACCGCACAAACACCACCACAGAAACTGCACGCAAAGCTGTTGGCACTCGGTGCCACGGACGTCCACAAGCTCGGTCTCGGCTGCGAACTCGATCCCGATGGGTGCGTACGCATTCAACGTTCACATCCAAATAATCGCTTGACGTGCATTCACACATGTGCGTGTGCGTGTGTGCGTGTGCGTGCGGTTTGCACCAGGCACTACACTGCGTTCGTGCCGTGGATGATTGGGTTTTTCTCGGGCATCGTTAGTGACGCGGAGAAGGAGGCGCTGGAGAAGAACCCCCTGCACATCTCCTCGGCCCTGTACAAGGTCACCGAGCAGCCCGCGCCCGAGCTCTCCGAAAGCATGTCCAGCTCGCGCCGCGTCGAACGCAAACGCGGCGCTCCGCCGGGCTACACCTACGTCAAGCTGAAGCGCAACAAGAAGGTCACGCCCGAGAACTACATACGTCGCATCTACCGAGCCGACATCTCCCTCAAGCACACCGATTTGAAGTATGCATCGCCTCAACCTTGGTTGGCTTGTGGCCACACAAGAGCCTGACTCCCCTTCTTTTCCCTCGATAGCTATGAGGTGGGCGATCACATCTCCATCTTGCCGCAGAACGACGTCGGTTCGGTCTCGGCCTTCATGCGATTCTACGATCTCGACCCCACGGCGTCGCTCACCATCACTCCGATCTTGGAAGGTGCGTACCTTCGTTTTCAGAGACTTGCGGCCCGCAACCAGGAGTTCACTCACGGTGGATTGAGCTTGCAGGCCTGCCGCCGCTGAAGATCACGCAGCCGCTGACCGTGAGCGAACTGTTGACAAAATACCTGGACCTGTTCGGGCGGCCCACCAAGCACCTGATCCGCTTCATCGCCCAGTCGCTCAGCCCGGCCGAGAAGCAGAAGCTTCAGCTGCTCATCGACGATCCCGTACGTTTGGCCGTCGGCTATCACTTTGCTTTGAGTGCTGGCCACTTGCATTGCTTCTGATCACCGAAACTCTGCAGGTTGCATGGGAGTCGTTCCAAGCCGAGTTCCCCTCGGCCTGCGACATCTTGCTGCGTTACTCGTCTGTCCGGTTGACCCTCGCCGAGCTGGTCACCTTCATCCCCCTGATTCGGCCCCGCCTCTACTCCATGATCAGCTGTCCTCAGGTACTCGTCAAACGCTCCCACATCACACTAACGCCACGAGTGTCAGAACTGCTAAAGCAGCTGTCTCTGTTCAGCTGCATCGGAGGCAGCTACGATTGATCTATCTTTGCCGCGAGTGGCGCGCGCCCGGCGGGAGGACAGTGAAAGGACTGGCCACCTCGTATCTTTCCCGCCTTAAACGCAAGCACGGTACGATCGCACCACACACGACACACGACACAACACACAGCACATAAAGCACAACACGCACGCTGATAACTAGATATGGAATGCAGACCTGTTGGCAGTGAAAATACAGAAGGGCGTGTTCCGGTACGACGAACAGAAGGCCAAAGCGCCGCTCATGTTCGTCGCTCTGGGCACGGGCGTGGCCACCGCCATCTCCCTGCTCCACCTCCGCAAGGCCATGCTCGATCAAGGTACCGCGTACCACCGCCCATGGGCGTGCCATTTTCATGTCGTGCGCCCACACCATCTCTCGTGTCTCGTGCGTCATGTGATCGTGTGTGACGTCAGGCGCCACGGTGGGCTCAATGGTCCTATTCTACGGCTGTCGACACAAGGACCAGGATTTTCTATTCCAGAAGGAGCTCGACCAGTTCGTCCAGACCGGTAAGTTAGTGACCGTACCGATTACAGGCAGGACATCGCGTTTTGTTGACTTCCCGGTCCACAGGGGTGCTCAACCAAGTCGTGTCGGCGTTCTCGCACGATCAAGAAGAGCGCGTATTCGTACAGGACAAGATTCGCGAGAAGAAGGAGCTGGTGGCCTCCTATGTGCAACACAAGGACGCCCTTTACTATTACTGCGGGTAACCCGCCCGGGCTATGAGTGATTGTTTTTGTTCCCCCCCCCCAATGGTTTAACTCCGATCACTGCATACAGGCTGGGCGGCGTAGTGCCATTCTTGGTCGAGGAGGCCATCGGCGAGGCGATCGTCACCATGGTTCATGATCTCCCCCTCCTCTCGATGCATGCGACCACCCACACCAACCGCCTCGTTGTTCCAGGGCAAGTCGCAGCACGAAGCCGAAGCGTTGATCACGGAGATGCGGTCCGAGCAGCGGTGGTTCGTCGAGGCCTACTCTGCGACTCTCACCAAAAACCTTGAGCTCGGTACCGATCATTTCAATTTTCGTTTCTCCATGGAAGAATGAGATGACACATTACGATTGGGCTGTGCAGAGGTGATAGAGAAGCACGACGTGGAGGAGGTGCGTGCGCCGGTGATCTTCTCGGAGAAGGGCAGCCTTCGCGCCGGATCCTTGGAGAAGGTCATCGAGTGGGTGTGCTCTAAGCCATTGACCGGCGACAACCGGAACGAGGTACCGGTTCACCTACTCTCCAACATCAGAGAGAAATGCGCATTTTGACCTTAATGGCGTGTGGCGGTGGTTCGACCAGATCTGGTCCGATAGAGATGCGTTCCTGTTGTGCTATCGCCAGTACTGCACGCCCGAGCAACTGCTCGAGAAGATCACCTCCCTGTACGTTTTTGCCCCGAGCCGGCACCCACCGCTAATCTCCAGCCTATGACCATCGCGCCCATTTACCACTAATCTTGGTTATGTACCTGCAACGAACGAACAGGGTGGCAATGTATTCGTTGCATTCGGGCGAAGAGAGCGTCTCCACGAAGGCGTTTGTCTCAAAGTACCGCATCATGACCACCTTTCTTACCTGTATCCTGGATGATGGTGACTGATGAACTATTCTTGTTTCGGGCCCGGGCGCGAAGTGTGCTGGACTTCATGCACCGGTGGGTGGAAGGCTGGGCGCTGCACGACTTTAGAGCTGAAACGCACGACATCGCGCTCACCTCCATTCCTGGTACTGCTGCTGCTTGTGGTAACTGTTCATTTGTTAAATGGCGAATGACTTGCTCATTATTCTTCTTATTTTAGAGGAGCATGACAGTGCGCACGATGAGCCATTGAGCTCAAAGCTGCTCAAGTTTGTATCGATAGTGGCCCACGACCAAGTGTCGAGCTTCACCGAATCTCTCGACAGGCTCAAGTGCGGAGCGGCGGCGGTATGCTCTCTTTATCTCCACTGGAACGTGAAACTTTTGGCGCCCCTAACCACTTTTCGTTCTTTGTTTTTCATTCATCCATTAAACCTGCAGGCTAGAAAAAAGAAACTGATGTACGTCCAACCTCACACACGCACACACACACACACACACACACACACACACAACACACACACACACACACACACAACACCACCTCACACGCACCAACGCACACACCGGCTCACGTTTGTTGCATCTGCAGTATGGTCGTCAAGGATTCGCGCGCCAACCACTCCTTCCCCACCCTTACGCGGTACTGCCAATCTCACCAATCAGCCTTTCACTGTTCGTGAAAGAACTCACGCCTTTCCGTCCCCCCTCACTGCAGGCAACAGTCCAGCTCACCGCGTGATCTCACCGATTCGGTCATTCTTCAACGGTTCCAGTACGTGCCCTCCCCGCGTGTTGCATGCGTGTCTCATGGCACTCAACCGACCGAGCTGTTCTGTCTTTTAGGAAGCGCAAGTCCGATCCGTCAGTGCTGAAGGACATGACCTGCAATTTGGTCTCAGGTCAGATCGGCTCGGTACTCGACTTCGAAGCCGAAGAGCTGGCCCTGCATCTCGCCTTCAAAGAACAACAGCGCTACAACAAGTGCGTAGCCTCTCTTTGCACCTTTCTTTCTCATTTTAGAGTCACTTTAGAGTGGTTATTATACTATATCTATATCTTTTATTTACTATGTATACTTATATATTAACACCTATTTCTGAATTAGAATTACTGCCTTGGATCTGTTGGTGAACATCAAGCGCCCGGTGGGCTTGATCACCGACTTTGCGAAGGCGTCGAACAAGATCAGCAGCTGGGTGGCGACGGAGATCGTGACGGCGCCTGACGAGAAGTCCCGCGTGGCGACCATCGAGGCGTTCATCAAGGTGGCGCAGTGCTGCTGGGAGCTCAACAGCTTCAACACAGCCATGGACATCATCTCGGGCCTCAACAGCTTCTCTATCTCACGACTCAAGCAAATTTGGGATGTATGCATCGCTACCCACACGCCACACACGACACACACGACACGCGACACACACGCCATACACGACACACAGCCTCACTGTGCATTCGGCAGTCGGTCTCCGCACGAGGGCACGAGGTATTGGACGGCCTGGTGTCGGGTATGGACCCAGCGGGCAACTTCCGTAACTATCGCAACCACGCCGAGACTTTGGCCCCGCCCATGACTCCCTACATCGGTACCGAGCCTTCATCCTTAAGCGCCGATCTCTGTTCCCCTCTCACCGGCTTGCGTGTGCGCACCCGCAGCTTTGGTGCTGCGTGACCTCACCTTTGCCAATGACGGCAATCCGAGCTTCCTCGAGGGGTACGGGCACCAATTCAGTTAATTCCTGAACGTTGATTCAACACTCACATCACACTCTTCTGTTTTCTTTAAAGCGACTTGATCAACTTTGAGCGGATGACGCTGTTCTTCTCCATTATCTCGGACATTCTCAAGTACCAGCTGTTGCCGCAGCATCAGATCCAAGTGAACGACACTGCGCTCTCATTCCTGAATGGTGTTGAGGTACTCCACGCTTCCTGAGAAAATGCGCTGCGTCGCGCTTGCTTTGATTCAATTCTCATCACACACCACGTTCATGTCGCGGTCATCAACACACCAGGTGTTTGATGAGGACCGTCTGTACAAGCGATCGCTCGAGATTCAGCCGTCGGCCAGGAAGGACGCGGGCCAAGCCACCAACGAGGGGAAGGAAGACGACATCGAACAAACGAAGCTCATTCGCATCGTGCACCGAGTTGTCGCCTGTCAGGACTTCAAAGCGCTCAAGGTACCCGCCACTTGACACGAACACATTACACACGGCATGCGGGCATTTACCGTGAACTCTCTCTAGGTGATCCTGGACGCCCAGCCGGACATTGTCAATATTGCGAACGACCGATTGAAGACGCCGCTACACTTGGCCTGCACCAGTATGACACGCACACGCACACTCACACTCACACAAGAGCACTCACGTTCTTCACTTTGTGGCCGCACAGTCGGAAACGCCAAGGTGGTGGCGCTCCTGCTGGAAGACAGACGAGGCGCTCAGACCGACTTGCGCGACATCAACGGCGACACCGCTCTTCACTTTGCCGCGTCTCACAACCACCTGAAGGTGCTTCCCCCTCTTCTCCTTTACACGTCCCTCACCAAGCCTCCGTTGGAGGCCTCACACATCACCATATGTATACATATGTGGTGTCCAGATCGTGAAAATGCTGCTGAAGAAGGGAGCCTCGCCCAACATTTTGAACGAAAAGAAGCTTTCGCCGTTGGATGTGGCCACGCCCAGCGTGCAGTCCTATCTCAAGGTGAGCCTGTTCAGGCCGATGTTCGAAAGCCTGAAGAAGGAGATCGTGTTCGATGACAAGAGGTACCTAGATCTACGCACTTATTCTTCAGTGAACGCTACGAGTGATCAGCTGGCTCAAGTCCTCTATGTTTGTGTGTAGTGGTGGCAAGAACCGTCCGTTGATGGTGTGGACCGATTCGCTGTCTGTTGGTGTGAAGAAGTTCGACAAGGCCCACCAGCGTCTCGTGGAGTACATCAACGTTCTCTTTGCCATCATTGGGTACCAGCCAATTCCCACCATACCCACACATGTTCTCCTGCTCACCATCGTCATCACACTCACCTTTTGTCCGACCAGAACGCAAGAGAAGGACAAGCGGAAGCAGCAGATCACCTCGCTGTTGCAGTGCCTGATTGACTACACTCAGTATCACTTTGCGCAGGAAGAGGAGCTCTTTACGCAGCTCAACTACCCCGATGAGGCCGGCCACGTCCGCAAACACAAGCACGTCTTTTCCCAGTATATCTTGTACGAGTGTTGCCAACATGATTGCTAACATGGCACCACCAACATCTCCAGGCGTTTGCTCGAGCAGGTAGAGCAGTTTTGCAAGTTGCACCAAAAGGGCAAGAGCATCAACTTGAGCAAGCTGGCCAAGTTCCTCCGCGAATGGCTGCTGCACCATATCATGGAAGACGACATGAAGTACAAGCCCTTCTTCCACCAGCACAACATTTACTGAGTTGGTGAATGTCCGCAAATAAATAAGATTGCCTTGATGTTTATTTTTTGCATTTGTATTAGTATTTTATTTTTTTATCAAAGAGCCAGTGTTGCTTCAGGATCTGCGAAGATGAAGTCCACAACAAGGGGCATGATCGGCGTGCGGGCAGTACGGCCCAACTTCTCCACCCTTGCATGGTTGGATCAATTGGCGATTCCTAGAATTGCTACCGGCACTGCGGCCCTACGGACCCGATCTGCGATCCCCTCGCCTGCTCTTCAGCTGAGAAGAAACATCTCACAGCTGCTCGCCCAGCGCCCCTCATCTTCCCTTCCAATTATCACCAATTCGCGATTTTCGATCCATTTTGCCGCCCGCCGCTACGCAAGCACCTCCACCGAGGAGGCCACCGCTTCATCAAGCGACGCGAAGCGGACCAACGTTGCTGAAGAAGATGCCAACAACACCACAACACAGACCCGCGCGACGGCCGGCGAGATGGAGCTGATCTACGACGCACCAAAGAAGGGGTGCGGCGTCTTTCATCTTGTTGTGCCCGCTGCCACTGAAGGCTGATGCTATGTTGTGCTCCACACCATAACAACGCCAGGATCCTGCGCGGGTTGAAGCTCTTCTCGCTGACGACGTGCCTGGCCTCGCTCGCCGGAACGCCCATCCTGGTCATGTTTGGCAACCCCGATGTGCCCCTGCTGGGCCGCTCGGCCTTGGGCATCACCGGTACACACCACATTGCTTTGCTTGCGCCCATCTCACACATGACCATTCACCACACGCGTTGTGTTCTGTTGCGTGCGTTGCACGTGCGGTCGCAGCTTTGTTCTTTGGTGTGAGCACGACGGCGCTGCTGAATCATCTCACGAAGGGCTATGTGACCAAGGCCTACCTCACCACGCCGACGGTGCTTGCTGATGACCACGCGCCTGAAGAGCAGCCGAAGCAGAAGCTGGTGCTGCACACCTACAATCTGCTCACGCGCACGCGGACGGAGGAGGTCGACGTGGACGACATCCAGGCACCGCAGACCATCATGCCCTACGTCACCTTCTACTCGGAGCGCAACCGCAAGAACTACTGCCTCGAGTACACCGCCTTTGAGGACAAGGACCTGTGGCACGACCTCTTCCCCTTTGCTGATCGTGAGTGAACAACTCTCAACCCAAAATAAAACAAAACGCTTTTTATTTGATTTTATTTGCAGTCGTCTGATTTATAATTTAGTTTATTCTTGATTTTATCGACAACAAGGAGAGGCGCTCCTTGAACTTTTCGTTGGCCTTTTCAAGGGCTCTCGTAGACGAGCGCGAGTGGCGGCGTTTTGTGGGTACGCGGGTGTGGGCAGGTTGGGCCGCGAACCTTCTTCTTTCTGTGTCGCCGCTGCGTTCGTTGACTTTTTCTTGTTCCTCGCCTCCTTCCTCGCCGCTTTCTGTGGGGCCACCTCCGCTTCGGCTCACGACTTCTTCCTCATTCGCCCCATCTGTGCCGTCACATGGAAGAAACGAAGATTGTAGTGGCTCGCATGGACGCGAGCTCTGAAAACGACGTAGCCTCCCCCACCGCTGCTACTTCTTTTTGGATTGATCATTTTTCTGACATATTTATTTATATTTATATTTATAATATAATAAATAATAATAAATAACAAATTTTGGTCGAATAAACACTACAGGGGAGGAGGGGCGGAAATGGGGAGCTGATCAGTACGGACTCGCAGACGCTGTTGCCGCCGGATACCACCAAATGGCCCAAGAGCATTGCCTTCATCATGGGCAACGAAGCCTGCGAACGGTTCACTTCTTCTTCTATTACTACTCTTCCACCACGCGCTGCTCCGCTGTGTGTCAACGCGTCGAGTGCGTGCGCGGTCATGTGTCGTGCGCTCATCACCGTGTGCCTTTTCTCGTGACCAGGTTCTCCTTCTACGGGCTCAAGGCCATCCTGGCCCTCTATCTGCACAAGTACCTGCTCTTCTCCGAAGATACCTCCACCATGGTCCGTTCCTCTCTTGCGTGCGTGTGGTGGCGCCTCATCAATCAGGCTATGGCTGGCAATGTCGGATCGCGGGTCGCTCAACAGCAACAAAAACAACCACCACCACCACCAGATCATCCACGCGTTCATCTTTGGCGCCTACTCGTGCGCTTTGTTCGGTGGCTACATCTCAGATTCTTTCCTCGGTACAACCTGCTCTACGCACGCGCGTGTGTGGATTGCGATTTTGCTCAGCTGGGTTCACCGTTGGTTCACACCTGTTGTGTTGTGTTGTGTTGTGTTGTGTGTGTCGTGTGCGGTGTGTGTGTGTGTGTGTGTGTGTGTGTGATGACGTACGTCAGGCAAGTTCAAGACGATCCTCTATCTGTCGTTCGTGTACGTGGCGGGCAGCATCGTGTTGTCGGTGACCTCCATTCCGGGCGCCACGGGCGACCCTCCGCATTGGTGGGGCGCCGCCGTCGGACTCACCCTCGGTATGCTCCTGAGCAGCTGCTTCGCATTCTTCGGAACGTGTGCGGTGCGGCGTGCCGCGCGTGGAGTGCTGACGTGTGCGGTACTGCGCGTGTTTGTGCTTTGTGTGACGCCACGCAGTCTCGCTGGGTACGGGTGGCATCAAGCCCTGCGTGTCCTCGTTCGTCGGTGACCAGTTCGTCAAGGGCCAGGAGGCGATGTTGGGCATGGTCTTCGCGATGTTCTACTTTTGCATCAACGCCGGCAGCCTCGCGTCGACCATCATCACGCCGCTGCTCCGCGAGCACACCACTGTACGTACAGTGTCGGGGTGTTGGTTGTCGCACCGCTCAACAGAGCACTTGGACGCGACTCATTGCGTTGTTCGGTGTTGGGGTCCAGTACTACATCGCGTTCGGCGTGCCCGCAGCGCTGTTGACCCTGGCCACGATCGTCTTCTGGGCCGGCCTCCCCACCTACCGCATCGTACGCCTCCACCTGTCCCCCGACGCGGTCACGAAACCATACAAACCTCACACATGTTTGGAATTCTGCAGGTGCCTCCCGGGGCCAACATGACCAACATCCTCTTTGGAGCCCTCGCCGTACGGACTCCATTGCCCAGTTGCGTGTTGCGTGTTGCGTGTTGCGTGTTGCGTGCTGCGTGCTGCGTGTTGAGGTGCGAATGTGGAATTTTTGCAGGCCGGGTTCAGGGGCAAGTTCAGATCGGGCGGACCCAAGAAGGGGTTCTGGGAGCACGCCGAGGACAAGTACGATCGCCAGACCATCAGCGACATCAAGGCGGCCCTCGGCGTCTACCGAGTGTTCATGTACCGACCGCGCTCTCCCCGCTACCGAGTTCACCGCACTCTCATCTCACCCCTCCTCGTGTGTGTGTGTGTCTCGTGTGTGTGTGTGTGTGTGTGTGTGTGTGTTGCGCGCGCTTGTCTGTGCATTCCAGTCCACTGCCCGTGTTCTGGTCGCTGTTCGACCAGCACGCCTCCCGCTGGGTATTCCAGGTACGGTGGCCTCGTCTGCTGTGTCACCCCGCCACCTTAAATAACACTAGCTCGCCTCAATTGACTGTGCGCGCTCTGGGCTTCCACTCAGGCGGACCTCATGGACCGCGAAATCTTTGGACTCACCATCCAGCCCGACCAAGTCCCCACCCTCAACCCCCTGATCATGCTCGTACGCCTCACCACACACAACACACACACCAACACACACACACACACCACGCACGCACCACGCACACATCACGCACCACGCACGCACCACGCATGCACCACGCACACGCCATTGTCTAGACGCTGCAAGTCACTTACCACCTTTGACGACAGACGCTCATTCCCATTTTCAACAAAGTGGTGTACCCCGGCCTCGAGAAAATCGGTGTACGGCCCCTTTCTCTGCGCGGCATGAACGGGCGCTTGATTGATGTATGTTTCTTTTTTTCTTTCTTTTTTCTTTTGGCGCTGTGTGTGCAATGCAGATCCGATTGAGACCGTTGATGCGCATGTCGATCGGCATGCTCTTCATTTCGCTTTCGTTCGTCGTGGCCGGCTTCATTGAGCTCTGGCTCGAGGAGGACCACCTCTTCATCGCCTGGCAGGTACACACAACTCTTCGTGCAACCTAGGTAGACCAAATAACCTAAAAATTTCTCACATACCGCACACACCGCCACACACCGCACACACCGCACACATGACACGCACGCACACCGCACACACCGCACACGATAACAGATCCCACAATATTTCCTGTTGGGATGCGGCGAGATCATGGTCTCGATCACGGGCCTCGAGTTCGCCTACAGCCAGGCGCCCCAGTCGATGAAGAGCGTGGTCATGGCCGGCTGGCTGCTGACCACGGCCGTGGGCAACGCCATCGTCGCCGTCATCGCCGAGTCCAAGATCTTCTCCGAGCGGTGGATCGAGTTCTTCTTCTTCGCCGGCCTCATGGTGGTCTTCATCGCCATCTTCATCGGCTTCACCTTCAACTACCGCTACGTCGAAGATGCCGCCGCCGCCGCTGACGACGGGCTGGCGGGTCTGGGCGGCCAGAGCGACGGCGACAGCTTCCACCAGGACGGCAAGCGCAAGTCGTCGTCGTCGAACAAGAAGGAGGAGCGACGACGGCTCATGCGCGATGATCGCTTCGAGGAGGGCGTCGTGATCGACCACGAGGACCCCTACCCGACCCTCCACCGCGGCAACCACAGCAGCAAGCGCGACACCTCCGGCTACGACCAGCTCGATGCCTAAATATTGTGAAGTAATCCCCGTACCATAAAAATACCACCATTCACCTAATTACGCATTATAAACAAGAAGTAATGTATAATTAAATAAATAATAATTAAATGTTGAATATAATATTTAGGTGGTCGACCCGGCCAGGTCCTCCATGGACTCTGAGCCCTTGGCCACTCGTTGTCGCTTGTGCGAAGCCGTCAGAGGCGGCGGTCGGGCGTCGGCCGCGCAGCGTGGCGAGCAGTAGACGCTCTCGAGCACGACGTCCTGCTCGGCGAGTCGATGCGGGTAGAGCCGGCGGGCGAAGCCCGAGCCGTAGTAGGGACCCGCGCAGCCGGCGCACAGGCGGGCCTCGCGTTTGAGCCGCGCCATCAGCTCGCGCGGCAGCGTGTCGCCCAGGCTGGACAAGTCGGGCACCGACGCCGCCACCTCGCTGCAGCACAGGTCGAGAAGCGACGACACGCTGCCAGGTGCCAGCTCGGCCTACACCGCACACGACACACTCATGAGCACGCAACACGACACGACACGACGACACGCGCGGATGCGAACCTGGGCGAGGTTGAAGAGGTTGTTGGCGACGGAGAAGGTGAAGGAGTGTCGGGTGCAGGGGAGGGTGGTGATGCTGGCCGGGAGCGAGGTGAGCCGGTTGTTGTCGACGAAGAGGATCTGGAGCGAGGTCAGTCGGTGGATGGTGGGCGGCAACGACGTCAGCTGGTTGTCGCTGCAGTACAGCTGCGCGAGCGATGGTAGATTGCCTGCCATTCTCAATCATCATCAGCCATGACACATCAAACGACACAACACGACACACCGACACGACACACGCGGTGTGTACCGATGGTGTGCGGGAGGGTGGTGAGTCGGTTGGAGGAGAGCTGGAGGATGCGGAGGGCCGAGAGGTGGGAGACGGAGAGCGGGAGGGCGGCGAGAGACGTCTTCATTATGCTCAGGCTCTGCAGGCGCGTCAGGTGCGAGAAGAGGAGCGGCGGCAGACCCGCCAGCATGGCCTCGTTCGTCAGCACCAGGCCCTCGAGGCACGGAAAGGTCTGGCCAATGTCTGCACCACAAAGAACTCGCATACCTCAGTTGTCTCACCTTGAACCGCCAGTTTGGTATGTCATACGATCTCCAGTTGTTGTTGTAGTTGTAGTATCCGTGTTAACCTCCATAATCTCCCAATTGCATTAAAATGTATAATACTGGATTGTTGGGTATTTGGTGTAGGTTCAGCCGAAATAAAACCACACAAAATACGCTTCAGTGTGCTGCGTGTGTGTGAGACACAGACAGTGGGCGGTCACGTGGGTGTTGAGCGTAAAAACGAAAGCGTAGGTACCGTCGGGGATGGAGGGCAGGTGGTTGGCATCGAGCAGCAGGTGGCGCACACACGCGAACGCTCTCCGCCCGAGTCCCTCGAAGGACGGGAAGCGCCGCAGCCGCCGGTGCCTGCGACGTTGCTGTTGTTGTTGTTGTTCGCCTTCACCATCGACTCCGCCCATGACCCGCACCTCCTCTTCTCCGCCCGCTGCGTTGTTTGGGTGCATTCTGCGTCGCTGGGCTTCCGCAATGGCGGCCAACACGACCTCGACCTCATCTTTTTCATCTTCTTCTGTGTCTTCATCTTCGTCGTCGCCTCCCGCCGCGAGCTTCTCCTTGCCCTTGACTTCTCTCTTCTTCGTTTCCTCTGGCTCTGTGTCGCCTTCAGTGTCACTGTCACGTTGCATGCGGTTTTCGTGTGGCTGCTCCCTTGTCGTGTTGTGTGTTATGTTGTGGTTATGTGTCGGCGTAGTTTGTTGTTTGCTTCCCCGCATTCCGCCCGCGCCGGAAAAGGCCCCAGCCGCGCTTCATTTCCGTCCCGCATGCCCTTCGCTTTCGCACTTCGTTCTTTGTCGCTTTCGCGCTTCGTTCTTTGGAGGGAGCACCGTCGCTCGCTGCGGTGGCGTTCTTGGGGGAGCCTCGCCGCTCACAACACCTGGGGTGCGGTCCGGACAGCCAAAAGCTTGCAACACGCTGAATACTGATTTCACCAGGTGATTTTCTTTTTGCCTATTGGTGCCAGGGCTGGAGCAGGTTCGAATTGTTTTCCCACGACCACTGCAGCAACAGGCCCTTTCGGCCCGGCGTGCTGAAGACCACAAGCCTATGCGAGTCGCCTGAACCACGAACAAGTGTGCGGTGGACGACAATCCGTCAACACAACAGGGTGGTGGTGGTCGTGGTGGTGGCGAACGTCGTGACGTACCTCCGCCGAACCCGTAGTCGGCATCCTCCCAGATGCCCTCGATCTCACCGCCCAGCATGGCGCGCATCTCCTTGATGAACTGCGAACCGAACGAAGAGGCCGCGATCGGGTGAGATAAGAGTTATGATTGACGTTCGCGTGTGTGTGTGGGTCAGCGTACGGTGAGTGTGGTGGCTCTCTGTTTCTGGGTGTCCCTGTCGTCGCCCTTGACCGAGAAGACGATCTCGAGCAGACTGTCTCCGCCTCGCACCTCTCGCAGCCGCCCGAAGTGGAGCCACTCCTGGGCCAGGACACAACAATCAACACGACTTGAGCGAAATGCGAACACTCCACACAACACGACACGACACGCACGCCACACGACACGACACACGTGCTCTTTCCGACTAAAAGGCAAGTGCACACACGAGTGGTTGTACCTCGTTCGGCGGAAGGTTGCCGGGCCGGTTCTGTGCGTCCTCGTCAAAGGCGTCGAACGGATTGCGCAGCGAGAACAGGCGCTTGTTGTTCTCGAACACCTTCGACACGATCGACTGAAACGGACTCTCGTCGAGGCCATTCGTGGCGGTCACCGACCCTCGCCTGGCCCGAGGCGACGTGGCGGGCCTCGGCTTGCTGCCGTCGCGCGCCGCCGCCGCCGCCGCGGTCTCCTTGGCCAGAAGCCACTTGAGCGGGAGCGGGAACACGGCAGCCTGGAGCGAGAGGTTGGTGCCCGGCCGCGCGAGCAGCTTGTGGAGCGCGCCGCGCTTGCGGGCCGACACGTCCTTCTTCTTGCGGTTGAGCGCCTGGATCTCGAGCTCGCGGAAGCAGTGCTTCCAGTAGAAGGCGTGGGCGCGCTCGTCGTGGGCCTCGCGACGGGCCACCCGGTCGAGCAGCCGGCGCCACTCGCGCTGCATGTCGTGCACCATCTTCTCCCGCTCGCGTCGCTCGCCGTCGCTCTCCTCGCGCGCCATCGCCTGCACGCGGTGCGGCGGCGCCGGGTTGCTGTACAGATTGTCCGCTGCGGAGTCAAACTCGAGTCCCTTGGGTCGCAGCCCGGTGGCGCCGCCGCCAATGATGATCGCACTGCCCTTGCGCTTGGTCGGCACGTCGGAGGCGGAGGTGTTGTTAAAGGCGGAGAAGGGCACGATCTTGCCGGAGTACGGCCCGGCCGGGCTGGAGTTGATCAACGCCGCCGCGGCACTCTTCGCTTTCGCTCTTGTCGCTTGCGTCTTCTTGATCGCCGGCCGCTTTTCTTCCTTCGTTCTTTTCACCGTTTTCGCTTTCGCTTTCGCTTTCGCTTTCTTGTTCGCGTTCGCTTTTCGCTTGGGGAGTCGGTTGGGCGTTCGGTTGCTGCCGATCTTGATCTTGGGCCGACGCTGCTCGTCGATTTCCATGTTGTCGTCTTCGCTTTCGCTCGCGTTCTGCTGCAGCTGCTCGTCGCTGTCATCATTCCCCACCTTCTCGTCTTCATCATCATCGTCTTCGTCCTCCTTCATCTCCTCATACTCCTTCTGCCCGCCACCATCCCCGTCATCGCTGCTACTTCTCTCCTTGTCCATGTCTTCGAGTTCGTCGCTGCTGTCGTCACCATCGTCACCATCGTCATCATCATCGTCACCGTCGTCGCCATCGTCGTCATCGTCGCTGGCCGCGAAGAGGAGCTCGCTGTCGCTCATGTAGACGCCAAAGGTGCGCACCTTGCGGCTCACAATCTCCCACTTGCGCTCCCACTCGTCGTAGAGGCCGCGCCAGAGCAGGTTGTCGCTGGCCAGCTCGTACAGGAAGGCGCAGGTCATCGACACCCGGCACAGGGAGACGGGGTCGAGCCGCCGCAGGATGTTGGAGACCAGCACCTCGCTGGGCAGACACACGAGCGGGCAGATGACGTGGAAGCCGTGGATCTTGCGCACCTCGTTGGTGGCCTTCGCCCGGGCGAGCACTTCCAACTCCATCACCGCACGGTCTGGACAGAACCTGACGTGGCAGCATAACAAATATTTATATATAATAAATAAACCGCTATTATTTGTTTATTATTTAATTGCACACAATTCGTAGGACCAATGACGCTGTGTATTATTTAATTTTAATTGTTCTCTCATACTAAATAAAATGAATATTAGGGAGGGTGGGTACCTGAGCATGGTCGAGGTGAAGCCCTTCTCGGCTTCGCGGAGTTGTGCCTCCAGGCGGGGAAACATGGAGGCCAGGCCGTGCAGGTCCTCCTCCCCCGCAAAGCTGCTCATCGATGCCAGCGACATCCTTCAAGTTCTTCTTTGCCTCCTTCCGCACAACCAACTCGTGGGTCTTCGCGACAAAGAAAGGGCGCCTGTGTTGTTGTGTTGTCTCGCGAAGGCCTTGTCTTCTTGCTTGCGCACGCGAGCAACCTTTCCACTGATTTTTTAGTTCCGCCCGAATTTCGGTTAGAGCGCTCCTTCGCCTCCTAAACATTTCCGAAACAACGAAACGAAAAGAAATAGAAAAGGCTACGAAGAAAATGAATTTGAAAAGAAAGAAACAGAAACAGAAAAGGTGGTGGAGATGGGGCAGTGGGTGAGCGTGGAGGAGGTGCGGGAGGCGGTGGAGGAGGACCTCGGCCTGAGCCTCTACTTTCCGGCTCACGGTGGTGCCCATGGGCTCGTCCCTCCCGAAGTCTGCAGCATGGTAGTCCCTCCATCTTCATTTTTTTAAAATCAATATTTAATCTTATTCATTATTCGATTACGTGTGCAGGTGGGCAGCGATGTAGAGAGCCTGCTGGATGATGGTGCCTTATTTGTACAGGGGGATGCTTTCCTCAAGGGCATGCGCGAGGGCAGGGCCGCCGAGGCCACTACACACCAGAACGCAGGTACACATGCCGGCACATGAAGCTGACGCGGCTGGCCTGCCAGTACTGATGCAAAAGGATGTGCGAATCGCTCTGTGCACAGAGGCAGCAGCGGCCGACGTCGGTCGTCCGGTGCTGGTCAAGGTGCTCCGCAAGCACACCACGCCAGTCACAACTGCCCAGGGGCCTGACGAAGCTGCCATTGACGACACGAACGACCAGGTGCGTGAGCGAGTTGATGTCTTCTTCAATAGCATTGCTGAGATTGACTAATCGGTTTGTGGTCGCATGTCGTAGGATGGTGACCATCAGGTCGACGCGTTCGGAATGAATGACCTAGGTCAGTCGCTTGAGGCCTACCTGGACGAGCTCGCCGGGAACGTGCCGGAGCGGAGCCTCATTTCCTTGCCTTTCGGCCCGGCGCCCCTCTCCGCCAACACGCACGTCTGGCCCGTGCAGTCCACCCGGGAATGCCTCGAGCACGTCGTATCCGCCTTGGTACAGCCCTCGTGTGTGTGGTGTGTCCTCGATGCCAAGCACTGACACTCATTGTGATATCTGGCGATGTCATGTAGCACGCCCAGGTCGTCCTGGAGGATTGCGAAGTCAACAAGCGGAAGTGCGCCAGTCCGCGCCTGAATGCACTCGTGCAGCAGCAGCAGGTCCGGCCAGGTGCACTGCACCCCAACCTGCCGCGAATCTTCAAGGTCGTTGAGACCGACAAGGCCTTCTATATGCTCATGGTACGCGCGCCTGCGATCGATGGAAATGGCAGGGCTCTCGTGCTGCGCGGTGATTCACTCAATGGTGCGGTACCAGGAATGGGGCGGGCACACGGTCGAAGGGCTGATCCGATTCAGCAGGCAGACGCTCGACGTAGGGGACACCAGAAAGTGGATCGCTTACCAGGTACGTACAGCACGAGCGCACCAGGCTTGTGGAGGGCAAGATCTAAAAATTGCTCCCATTCCTTGCCGCCGACCAGGTCCTGCACACGCTTCACCACTGTCACGCGCGCGGTGTCACGCACGGGTCGCTTCGCCCCGAGTTCATCACGCTCAGTCCCGATCTGTGGGTCACCCTCGCCGGATTCCACTGCGCATCGCCCAGGGAATCGCGACCACTCGCCGGCTCCAATTCGGAGGGCACCGTGGTCAAGTCCCTCGTCGAGCGCTGGATGGCACGCGAGCTCACCAATCTCGACTACCTGCTGGCGCTCAACGAGCTGGCGGGGCGGAGGGTGGGCGACCCCAACTTCCACCCGGTCGTGCCGTGGGTCGTGGAGTTCAATCAAGACCGAACGTGGCGTGACCTCAGGAGGTCCAAGTCTAGGTACCCCTGCCTGGCGCTTTCTGCTGCCACTGTCTGTGCTGATATATGGCACACACACATGGCACAGGTTGGCAAAAGGGGACGAGCAGCTGGACAGCACCTGGGGCGCTGGTGGGCTCGATTCGGGGCAGCCGCGGCACCACGTCACCGACCTTCTCTCCGAACTCTCTTACTACCTCTACCTGGCCCGCAAGGTATTCCTCTCATTTCTTCATTCTTTTTTGTCCATTAATTTGCTATATATCATCTGATGGCGGTGAGCAGACACCGGTGCCGGTGCTGCGGCAATTCGTGAGAGCGACTTACGTGCCCGAGGAGTACCCATCCACAGTTCAGAATCTGTATGACCAGACGCCGGACGAAGCCATCCCTGAGTTTGTACGTGTACACACCGAAACAGATCCATTGCTTTGTTGTATTTGAGCTTACGTTCATCATGTTGCGTCGTGTGTGTGTTTGATGACACATCAAGTACACGGACCCGTCGGTGTTCAGGTCCACGAATCCGGGAATGCCCCATCTCGCCGTGCCTGCGTGGGCGTCGAGCCCGGAGGACTTCATCGCAAAGCACCGCCAGTGTCTCGAGGGTGAAGAGGTGTCAACGCAGCTCCACCACTGGATTGATCTCACCTTCGGCTACCTGCTGTCTGGTCCTGCCGCACACGCCGCAAAAAACGTGGTATGTATCACGCACGACGCACAGGAGACACCAGAAACACACACACACACAAACACACACACCACACAAAAGCCTGATATCAACTGTACCAGGCCTTGATGGAGCATGCCTGGCCGCAGAGGCACGGCTACGTTCAACTCTTCTACCATCCTCATCCCCCGCGCAATGCGTCTGCCCAAGGGAGTGGGTACGCCCCCCCCCACACTGTACTCTCTGTACGCATGCGGTGGCGACGTGAGTGACCTGTCCTATCTCTCCTACACTCATCAGCATTCGCCGACCAGCGGACGACCTACGATCAGCTGAAACCTATCTCCACTTCGTGGAGGACTTTGACCGACTCTTTCCCGTTTATTCGTATTTGCTCCCTGCCCTGATCATTTTTTCGATCTCTGGGCTGATTGTTTTCCCAATTCATACATTTACACGAACTAATTTACTGAGTTGTGGTTGGTTGTGCCTTGGCAGGACGGGCGGCGAGCCGGCGGACCTGAAGGACGGGCAGGCCGAGGACGTGTTTGCTGCGGGGTGCATCATCGCAGAGATGTGCATGGAACGCCCGGCCTTCACACAGCGGTCGATGCAACAATTCATCAGCACCGGCCAACTCCCGGCCTTCCTCGGCGAGCTCCCCTCTGACGTACACGGTATTCGTGCGCACCTCGCTTTTGCTGTGTTGCCTGTTGTGTGCGTGTGCGTGTGCGTGTGCGTGTGCGTGAGCTGATGATCGCACACACAGATATGGTGCTGCGTATGTTGGAGAAGGATCCGGCCAAGCGACACACAGCCGCGTCTGCGCTGACGTCGTCCGTCTTCCCGGCCTACTTCTCGCCGCTCTACTCGTTCCTGGCCCGATTCAACTCCATCCCCGCTTCCGGCGGTCCGACCGCGCGTCTGAGCTTTGCGCTGGAGCACTTGCCCGCGCTCGTCGTCCGACTCCCGCCGGAGGGCCAGCGGGTGGCCATGCAGTCCGTGACACCGTTCCTCTCCGACCCGGCCGCCTGGAATGTCGCGGTCAACCTTCTGCCCACCGTAGCTCCTCTGCTCCACCCCGACGTAAGTTACATGACACACACACACACACACACACACACACACACAACTTTGCCACATTAACTCACACGATCGCGCACACGACAGATCGCGAGGCAAGCGCTGATGAAGCCGCTCAAGCGATTGTACCAGCAAGAGGACCTCAAGCTCTTGCACGAGCTGCTCCGAGCCGACGTCATAACGGTAGCCCACCGTAGCTCGCTGTTGTTCGTTTCTTCCCACGAAATAGCCGACTCATCTCTCTCTGCTTCTCGTGCCTTGCCAACAGGCGTCGTTGCGCGCCTTCGGCCAGCGCAATTTTGTCACACACATCCTCCCGCTCCTTCTCGACACCCTCCGCATGAAGGCCGAAACCCTTCCGTCCCTCACCGCCAACACCCTCATCCGCCTCGCGTACGACCGAAGCCAGCTTTTCTCTTTCATTTCTCTTCATTTTTCTTCTTACCTGGGTGTGCCGTGTGCGGTTCAGTTCGCAACTGGGCCCTGGCCTGGCGCTTCGGTTCATTGTGTGGCCGCTCCTCGAGCAATTGTCCAAGCCCGCGCCGTCACTGCATCTCGTCCACGCGCTCGTGCACATCGCCGCGGAGGTGGGCGAAGGCGTGACGCAGCGCCACTACCTGCCCGCCCTCCAGAACCTCCTGCAGCGAGCGCTCAAGCAAACCGCCGTCGGTGACTCTCGCCAGCTCCCGCCACTCTTCTCTCTCATCCAAGGGGTACGGCGTGTGTCATGCTTGTGCCATGTATGCCATGTGTCTGTCGCGTGTATGTGTAGCGTGTGCGGTGCGAGTCGTCAGTCAGACAGTCAGTGAACACAAACCAATCCTATCCCACGCAGCTGGTCGACCAAGTGTTGAGCGCGGACACGGTCATGCAAGAGTTCGTGGTCGGCGGCGGCTCGGTCCATCTCGCTGCCATCTTGTCGCTGCCTCAGGTCAATCTTTTATTATTTCTTGTTATAAATCATCTTTTATTTATTTATTTCTTATTATTAATCATGACTAACCCTGCGTGGACGAACAGGCGCAGTCACAAGCCGGAGAATGGGTGGCGAGCCCTCCGCCGTACCTCCGACCGCTCGTGGCTGCCTTGTGCTCCGTCGCCACTCGCATTGGTACACGCACGTACGCGCGAAACCGGCATCGTACACACAACACTGACGCGTGTGCGCATGTGATCAGGTGCGGGTGACACGGAGCGGCACGTGATGCGGTACGTGCAGCAATTTTTGAGCGCGTGCCACGACGGTTACCTTCGCAACAAGGCCGAGCGCGAGGCTGCCGGCGAGACCGCGGCCGCGATGTGGGGCGGCGAGATCGCCGACATTGTGCGCAGCCTGTGCAACTGCCTGGTGCTCATCGTCGGCACCGACGCTCTTCATCGACACTGCCCCCATGCGTGCGTTACGCGTGTGTCGCGTGCGTGTGGCGTGTGGCGTGTGTGTGTGCCATTGTGTAAGTACATTGATGCTGACAACTGGTTGTTGCAGGGCGGTGTTGGCCGAACTGAGCGCGCCAACGCCACGTACGCCGTCACCCCGCGCATCAGGACGCTACACCATGTCGGCGTCGGCATCGGCGTCCAGCGTGCAGACTCGGGCCGGCAGCCCCATCAAACCCAGCGAGGACCCGCTTGGGCTCGGTGCGCTCGGAGAAAGCGAGACCGCGTCTACCAACTGGCTGGAACGCCAACCCAGCAACTATCGTACCACCTCCCCTCACAACGCAAGCAAACAGCACACGCACCACACACCACACACACACACACACCACACACACTCACACAAAAACTTCATGTGACTCTCACCCTGTGCTACGTGTCTGAATGAAGAGGGCCATCGAGCGGGTGAAGGTCGATGGGCGCTGGCTGGTTCCGTGCTGCACACGTGGAAGGGCCACAGCAGCGGCGTTCTGTGCGCCGACATCCACCCGTCGGAGCTCACCTTTGCCACGGGAGGCAAGGACTGCCTGGTCAAGTGCTGGACCACCGACACCGCCAAGTGCAAGACCATCTACCGCGGCCATCGGTACTTTCCGACACAAAACTAAACGACACACACGACACACACGGCACACCTTGCTTACGGCGTGGCCAACTCCAGGAACGCGGTGAGGGACTGCTTCTTTGTGGGCGGGAGCGGCGAGGTGATGGCGTCCAACGACGGCGCGCTGCATGTGTGGGACCCGGATCCCGGGCAGCGTCTCCTCAACTTCGAGTCCGAGGCCAGCCCCTTCACCGCCTTCCGACCCCTGCCCAACCCGTTCACCCTCGCCGCCGCCACCCAAGAGTCCGTCTGGTACGCCGGCAATCATCGCCCCACAACTCAGTGAGTACATGGCCTCACAGACACGCGCGCGCGCACACACGATGCACGATGCACACGACACACACAACACACCGCCAGGATGATCGACGTCCGTGCTGGGGCGCAGGTGGCCGACTGGGGTCTGCCCTGTCTGCAGCCGCCACCGAGCGCTTTCGCCGCCAAACCCCTGCGCTCCGTACTTCCTCCCTCTCCTTTCGTTTCGGGTTCTAAATCCTGTCTATTTATGGATTGGTTCGTGGGCCTGGCTTCATTTTTAGGTCCGAGCGACGGTGGTCACGGTTGGTGGCGGAGATGGTGACGAGGGAAAGCCGTGGGTGGCGGTGGGCGACAGCGGCGGCGGCATGTGTGTGCTCGACGCGCGCATGGGCCTGGTCCTGTATCGATGGAAAGTCAACAGCGAATCCGGCGTGTCCCACGCCGAAACGGTCCCCGGCATGCCCCACATGCTGCTGACCGCCGCCGAGCGCACTCTGACGGGTAATTTCTTCAATCACCTGCCACTTCAATCATCGCCTCCTGTGCTGAAGATGGCGCTCACAACAACCACACGACACGACACCGCACGACACGCGAACAGTTTGGGATCTGTCGGGCAACGCGCCCGTGGCGTTGCGTTCGTTCCAGCCGCACGGTGCGGAGGCCATCACCGCGCTGGCACCCCATCCGCCTTACTTTGGCCTGTCAACGGCGGGCCACCGAGTAGCCGCCACGCCTCTGCCGCCCTATGACAGCACCGCCGACGAAGCCCAGGTGCGCTCTCATCCCTCATCAACGATTCCATCACCTCTCTCGCAATGGAAAGACCGATTGCACTCACTTGTTCCATTTCTTCTCACGTTCATGATGACGGCCGTGCTTGGCTCTGGTGCGTTCTCGTTCTGTGGGTTGTGTGCTGCGTCGCGTCGCGTTGCGTGCGTGATGGCGAATGACACCAAAACGCACGACGACGATCAGCCACGGGCAGTTCGCATAGCCGGCGACGCGGGCGGGGTGGGCGGCCCGGCGGCCAAGGGTCCCTTCGTGAAGCCCACGCAGGTATCCAACCTGGCCCTCCTCCCCCTACACCAGGTCGCCCTCGTCGGCTACGACGATGGCACCCTCAAGATATGCCACTAGCCTGGGTACTCATATGTGTGTTTGAACTTCCCTGGCAACATCCTGAGTGTAAACACAATTGACATCTTAACACTACGACCGCAACATTATGACCACCGCTCGCTCTCGAAAAGGTGGCGCGCACAGAACGCTTGCCAATCGGAGGCTCCACGGCCACTTTCTTTAATTGGCCCAATCAGGGCGCAGGAAAGTTCTAGGCGTTTCTCAGGTGTCCCGTACATCTGGCCAAGATCTGAGCTGGTCGATGGAACCACTTGTCAAACCCTCATCACGGCTTGGGCGCCTCGCGTGCTTTGGGTATCTGGCACACGCTATGATTCTATTCTCTTCTCTTCTCAGCCCAACTCCATCTTCTGTTGTTGTCCTCCTCAACACGCAACGCGCGGCACCACCATAACACACGTGAGCCATGAGTTTGGCTTCAGCATCAGCTCCGTTCCCGCCTTCTTCACCACCATCTTCGAGTTCCCCTTCATTAGCCACCATCTCTACTACTTCAACAAGAACTCCTCGATCTCGAGAAGAGGGCAACGAACATGTTGTCGAGGAAGAGGAGTTGGTGAAGTGGTCCATCGGAACCTGCCTCATCGGCTCCCTGGCCCTTCTCAGCTTCACCCTCTTCGACTCCGCAACCTATTTCGCGTCCTCTACCACGATTTCAATCTTCTTCGCCCTCTTCGGCTTCATCTTCTTCAGACTTTTCTTTCTCCACCCCGCCAGATGGGCGAGCATGCCCCTCGGCGTGGGAGTCCTCGACCTCCTGCTGACTCTCGTGGTCCTGACCGACCGCAACCCGCGCGACCTCTACTACTGGTTCATGTGCATACCACCGCTCATGCTCCACGCCCGAGGCCTGGGCAGCTGCGCTGCGGCCCTCGTCCTGGTGCTCCTCCAGACTTCGGCCCTCCGCTACATCGTTTCTTCTTCCACCGTCTCCTTGAACGGATTTCGACACACGCTACTCGGTACGTGGTGAAGAGGAAAGAGAAGAAGAAGAAGAAGACGAAGTTCTTTTGATGCTAACAAGCTGTGTGGGTTGGGTATGGCTCAGGTGCGTCGATGTCGGACGGCTGGCTGCTGGTCGTGGTGACGGTGTGCGCGGTGGGCACCCGCTACTCGCGCGATGCGGTGCTTCGGGGACAGCTGCGCAAGGCCCTCGACGAAGCGGCCCGGGCCAAGAGCGACTTCCTCGCCAACATCAGCCATGGTACAACAATATCAATATCAACACCATCAACATCATGTCGATCAATCGCCCTTCTTCCTCATCAACTGTCGGTAAACGGAGACTGACCGGTTGGTGTCGCGACATGTTCAGAACTGCGCACGCCGATGCACGGTATCATTGCAATGAGCAGCGAGCTGCAATCAACCCTGGCACCGAACACTAAGGCGAGCCAAGCCGTGGCGATCATCGCAGGTACCCCCACACACGTTGTGCGACCGCACACGCTCGCTCACGCACGCCTGACGCACGATTGTATCTCTCTTTGCGGCGCCAGACTGTGCGGACCACTTGCTGTCGATGGTCAACGACCTGCTCGACGTGGCGCGCATCGAGGCGCATCAGCTGGAGCTCGCGCACATCCCGTTCTCGGTCGTCAGCGAGACGCACAAGGTCATCGACATGCTGCGCTCTCCCGCAGGTACGTGTGGAAACATGTTTCACCACGACAAGCACACACGACCGTAGACCAACACTTTCGCTAACATTTCGTTTGGGGCGCCGTGGTACAGACAAGAAACATTTAGAAATGACTGCGATGGTCGACGTGGCCAGCCCGCAGCACGTCGGCGACCCCGTCAGGTACAGCTGATACCAGAACCCTTCCTCGTTGCTCTTGGTCCCCCATCTGACCGACCTAGGAGATTTCTGCGAGCATATTTATGATTGGCCGTGATTATTGTGTTATCTCCAAACTCCGTGATAAAATTTTATTTTTAATTTCCATTTTTTTCTCTCCTTCCCTGACAGTGGTTGGTGTGTTGTTATGGCCTCCCCAGGTTCAGGCAGATCGTGTACAGCCTCCTCTCGAATGCCATCAAGTTCACACCGGAGAAGGGCGCTGTCTCGGTCACACTGACTAGTCGCAGCGACTCGGGTCTCATTGAGCTGACCGTACGCGACACCGGCATTGGCATCTCCGAGGACCACATTGCCAACCTCTTCTCGGTACACACACACACAAACCACACACCTCTTCTTCTTCGCCATCACCGTCGTGCTGACGCTTGATTAAATTTGTCATCACAGTGCTTCACGCAGGTGGATGCGTCGGTCAGCCGCCGATACGGCGGATCGGGCCTGGGCCTGGCCATCAGCAAGCGCCTGTGCGACGCCATGGGTGGGACCATCGGAGTCACCAGCCAGCCGAGCCAGGGCTCGACCTTCACCGTGATCCTCCCGCTGCCCTGCGCAGCCGCAGAACCCGAGGCCGACACCGCCACCACCGGCGCCGCGGCGAGCGAGGAGTCTGTTTTTGGTGCCGACCACAACCGCAAGCAGGAGAGGGAGATGAAGGAGGAGCAGGACGAGGACGTGGGCGGCGCTGCGGGAGGGGCGTTCGCGGGACTCGAGGTGCTGCTGGTTGAAGACAACCCCATCAACCAGCTGGTGGGCAAGCGCATGCTCCACAGCCTCGGTTGCAATGTGACCGTACGTGCTGCGCTCCACAACTCTGACCATTCGATGGCCCAAGGCTGACCACTCCATGTACTTGTGTCGCGGTGCGGGTGGGTGCAGGTGGTGGCGAATGGCCTGGAGTGTGTGCAGATGCTGGCGCGGGGTAGTGATGAGGTGGAGGGAGAGAAGGCGTCGACGATGTACGACATCATTCTCATGGACTGCCAGATGCCGGTCATGGACGGCTTCAAGGCCACCCAACACATCCGCGCGCTCGAGATGAAAGCTGAAGGAGCGGCTCGCCACGGTTCGCCCTCTCTGCCCATCATCGCCCTCACCGCCTCCGCCACCAAGGTACACTTTCTTCTTGCAGACCTTGAGCAAGACCACGTTGATGATGGTGATGGTGATGATGGTGATGCGGTGACTCACCGAGCCTTGTTTCCCGACTCACAGGAATACAGCCGAAAGTGCGTGGAGGTGGGCATGTCGGACGTGCTGTTCAAGCCTCTGCGAAGGGAAATGCTGGCCGCCGCGCTCGCAAAGTGGGCGCCGACTGCTGGCGAGGCCCGGGGAAGGACTTCCACTACATCATCAACCACAACGCTGGCCTGTTCCTCATCATCTTCGCCATCTCCCTCTTCAACCACCACCGCGACAGCCACCACCGCACAGCACATCTCCCGGAGCAAGTCTCACAACTCGTCGTTCCCGATCGTTCATTCCTCTCCCCTGCCTCTCCACGACTCTTCAACTTCTCCCTCTTCATCATCGTCGTCGACGGCCGCTGGTGGTAGCTCGCGGAATCGGTCGCGAAGCCTCCCGATGCCCGTTCCACCACCCCGACCGTCCCTGGCGTCCTCCTCGTCGGCCTCTGCCGTCAAGAGCCTGCGCGATACCATCGGTAACCCCACCACACGGCGCGCGCTCCTCTTCACTCGCAAGGAGAGCACATGAACCACACCACCTCCACCACCACAATGACGATGACGTCGATTCTCATCGATCTTCATCGCCGTCGTTGCATCGTCGTCGCCATCGTCGTCTTCACCAAATGTACATACTTTACTTATCGTAAAGCGCTGGCTTGGTGCTGCGGGGGAGGGGGAGGGGGTGGCACTCGCCTCACTGGTCGACGTCGAAGACGAGCTTGACGAGCTGGTAGCGGATGCCGAAGGCGATGAGGGTGCAGAGGACCTGGAGGAGGAGCATGATCACGGTCAGGTTCCTCTCGTGGGTGGGTCCGACCAGCATCAGCACAAAGTTGATGATCGTCAGGTTGTTCATTTCGATCACCCCGTCCTTGCCTACATCACCCAACGCACGTAGCACCACATGATGGTGAGGAATGCGAGGAATGCAGCGTTAAATAATGATTGGGGGGGGGCTGGCGGGTGTGGTGTGTACCGATCTTGACGTGGGCGAGGCGGAACTTGGTGAGGAGGTTGTAGAAGACCTTGCCCAGGGTGGAGAGCTCTTCGTACTTGAACACCGTGCGGGACATCTCCAGCTTGTCGGTCTTGCGGTTGTACCTGTTTGGCCCGAGCAGTCGCCAGCATCATCACCATTCACCACGTCAGCATCAATGACCAGACGCCCAACAAGTACAAGGAGAGATCAGCAGCAGTTGGTTGGCACGCACTTGGGCAAGCGGTGGCGAGGGCAGGGAATGAAGTGGAAGAGCTGCGGCACCGAGTAGAGGAAGTTCAAGACCTGACCGAAGCCACCACCACCACGCGAGAGATTGGTCAGCTTTGGGCCTGGGGCCAAACAGTCGCTCCCATGAAAGTGAACATCATCATCACCATCACCATCACCATCGCTAAAGGGTACCTGCGGGATGAAGAAGAGGAGCATGGTCTTGCTGAAGTGGCCCAGGATGCCGACCACGGCAAAGGTCATGCCGGCAAAGTAGCAGAAGGTGTCGCCCACGAAGACGCGCGACGGGTACCAGTTGTGCTTGAGCAAGGCGGCGGTCACGGCGATGAAGGGGATGATCAAGTACAGCGAAAAGTAGTGGGCATCGGCTGTAGAAAAATAAAATAAAATGTAAAGCATGTAAATAACAATACAATACAATAAAATACAATAATCGTTAAAATGGTTCAGCGCGACGTGGTGTGAGCCGTACGGTTGCCTTCGCCGAGGTGAAGCTGGAGGAGGTTGTGCGCGAGGATCGACACGCCAATCACCAACGACTGGCCGGCCTGTAATCGAATAAATAATAAATAATAAATAACATAATTAAATAAAAACAAATAATAACAATAAATAATACGAGGTTAGCGGGCGGGTGTGTGAGACGAAGGCGGCCAGAAGAGATTCGCGTACCTCGATGCCGTTGATGCCCGCCAGGATGTTGATGGCGTTGGTGCAGAACACGGCCAACATGCCCATGTAGATGTAGTACAGCACGCCTGGCAATAAGACGCCGTCAATGCGCGCGACGTGTGCGGTGTTAAGAAGAAGAAGGAGGAGGCTTTGGTACCAAGGTCGATGACCTTGCCGATGAAGGGCCTCAGCTGGATGGGCACCAGAATGAAGGTGGAGTTCAGATTGGCCATGTACACCATCAACAGGGGCAGCGTGGCCTATGGTCATCCCAGATAGCGCGCAGGGTCCAGTCTTGAGTTAGTGAGGAAGGAGCGTGTGTGGTGTGGTGTGTGTGGTGTGTGTGGTGTGTTGGAGGGGAAGATGCAGGAGGGGCACCATGGTGGGCAGGATGAGCTTGTGGCGCCAGCGGAGGTTGAGGACGTCGTCGGCGAAGCCCAGGAAGATCATGCAGCAGATGGACAGCAGCGCCGACATGAACTCCTCGAACTGGAACCACCATCATCCATTGTCCATCATCATCAACAACAACCCCAAAAGATGAGAAAAGAAGTACAAGATACCTTGTGATGAGGGAAGTCGCTGTTGAACCACCAGTGGCGGAAAGGGAATGGGATGAAGAGGAACATCACGCCCATGTACACCGCGCTCACGATCACACCCATGCTCTCCGCCCTTCGACGTGGCACACACACACACGCCGCACACGACACACACGACACACACCAGAGACGAGTGCGAAGTGAGCGTGCATGGCAAAGGGTGTGCATGAAAAAAAAATAAAAAAGAAGAAGTGGCCATACACTTTGACGTCGGTGGTGCTCTTGCTCAGGTCGATGCCGTAGAGGCGCGCGTTGATGAAGAGCTGCGCGGCGGCAGGGATGAGGAGGTAGGTCAGCAGGCCGGCCACCACCGACATCGCCACGCTCACGTAGACCGGCGGCACGTCATAGTAGTAGGCAGCGCCAGTCCCTGCCAGGAGGGCCACACACAACAGCTCGCTGCTCCCCATCTGTGTGGAAGATGAAGAAAAGAGAGAAGAACCTCAATTGTTAACGCACCTTAATGTTAACGAAAGAGATTGGCATATCAACTCACGTGCCGTGACTTGGCTTGTGACGCACACACGGGTTAAGATTGGAGGGAGCAGAAGAACGAATTCGAAAATAATAAATAATCTGAATTTTATGACTCAGATTTTCTTGCGATTGTGAGTGTGGCTTGGAAAACGATCTGCTGAAGAAGGCACGTACGCGAACCGGTGTACAGCTCAGTGCAGCAGTTATAAATCAATAAACCCGCAGCAACCCAACAACAACCCAAGCCGTGACGTGTTACGTCTGGCCAGAGAGGCTGGCGAACGCCAGTTCGAGTCCCACGGCAGCTTGGTATTTAAGGAATTCGGACATAGCAGTCTGCCAGCGACGGGGTTACGGAGGTGAAAAAATGGCGTTCAGCGATGCCTTGGCAATCATCAAAGGCTCGCGAGAACGAGTAAATCACACATTTGATTCAATGGAGGCTCCATCTGGTGGTAGCGGCCCGAGCAGCGCGCTCTCGAGAATGCTCGAATCGGACGGCAACTTTGCTGACAAAATGTCGCTCGAGGAGAGAGATGGAGAAGAAGAGGAGACGACCAGTGTCTCTGCGGCCCCGCCGGGCATGTGCATTGAATGCGAAGATCAACCACAAGAGGTTCTGTGCGAAGCCTGTGGCGATGTGTTCTGCGAGGTGTGCTTCGGTGCACTCCATCGCCGCGGCAAGCGGAGACTGCATGTGCACAAGAAGCTCACCGATGGCACCAAGGCCTCCACTTCGTCTTTGCCACAAGCACCACAGAAGAAAGCCCGATTGGTGCGTCGTCTTCTCATCACCTCACTCACAAGATGAGCGGCAATCGCGAAGAACCTCACGGTTCAGGTGGGAGAAATCGCAGCAACGCAATTTTGAATCTACACGTGCTAAGCCTCTACGTTTTGATTGATCTCAGACCGAAGAGAAGGAAGAAGAGATCGATGGAGATGACGATGGGGACGCTGTGGCGCCAGTGCCCACCACGACCCCGGTTTCGGTCGAAGCCATGGGCGAGTGGTTCACTGAGAGGTACTACTTCTTTCCAGCTGTTGGCGTAGCGTGACGCAGTGGCTTACATGTACCACTACCGCTGCAGGGCCAAGTACATCCCGGTGCGGTTGAACCTGAAGGAGCGGAAGCTGCTGAGGCTGCTCGAAGCCGCGCTTCAGGTCTCCGAGTACACCGACAAGGTTGATATCATCTCCTTCAAGGGCAAGGTACACCGAAGTCCTCACCACCATCATCCTCCTTCTCAGCCCACGCAGCCTCCGTGCGTGCCGCGGAACCAATGTGCGGCCTGCCGTGGGCGATGTCACGTTGATGTTGATGTTGATGTTCTTGTTTCTTTAGGCCAAGCGCATCTATGAGCAGCTGCAGGACATCTGTGCCATTTTGTCGGGTCTCGTCGTCGCCAACGACTACAAGGTAAGCCAACCAACAACATCGTTTCCTTCTCCTGCTTCGTCTCTGTGTGAACGCCATTGTCCAGTTTCCAGACCTCTGACATGGACACTGTCTTTCTACTTCTTCTTCATCAGGCCGGGCAGCAGCTCATCAAAGACCACAACTTCAAGGACAACGAGAAGTTCTTTCAAACAATCTTCGAGGTCGGAAGGCGATACAAGATCATGAACCCTGGTACATGCTCTCTCTATTGGGATCATCCCTTCAACAACACCGATTCTGCCTCCCAGGTGTACTCACCGCTGCTTCTTCGCCTTCTTCGCCACCGCAACAACCGTAGAGAAGATGCGGTCGACGTACGGCAAACTGGTTTATTTATTGCAAGACAGCGTCAACTCTGAGATCCAGGAGCTCCTGCAGTTCTCCTGCAAGAAGAGCATCAAGACGGTCTTCACCGGTAACGCTGCGCCGTTGCGCCCGTTTGTTGGTGTCTCCGGAGTACTGATGTACGCGTGTCGTGTGCGTGTGCGTGTGCGGTGCAGTTCTCACGGAACACGATGCTCTTGCGCTGCTCAAGGATCCGCACATCATGACGGCCACGAGAGAGGTCAGCCCCGACGGCAAGTCCCGAGGGCAGATCAGACAGGAGATCAAGGAGAAGGAGAGGGCCGTGAAGTACCTCAGCGAGCGCTACGCTACCGCCAGCCTCGCCAAGGAAGACATCGAAACCCTGCTCTACTCGATCGGCGACAACAACTCGTACCTCACCTTCAACAGAGATCCAGTACGCGCTTTCCACTCCACCACCACCACCACACACGACACGATGCTGATGGCGTTTTGCGTCTGTAGGTCGACAAGATGATCGCTTTGCTCAAGCAGTACTTCAGCCCCACCAACATCGAGGAGGGCTACTCGCTGGCCATCAGCTACGGCCAGAAGGGCGCGCGCCTGACGCACAACCACGAGAGGCAGTACTACTACGCGCTTCAGTCGCTCACCCTGTGGCGAGAGATCGCCAACGACATGTTCAAGCTGTGGTACCTGAGCGAGGAGGACCTCCTCAGCACGGTCAGCCCCTACAGGCTGCGCGATACTGGCCAGGGCCTCAACCGCGTCCAGCAGGCCCCGCTCGTCAGGCGAGCCATGCACGCTCTCCTCTTCCACTGCCAGGAGAAGATCGGCCACTGGTATCCACCACTCGACCTCATGCACACTCACAACACGCACCACTGCACACGCACACGCGCCCCGCACGCACTCACTTTGGCGGTACGTCTGTGATGCAGGGTGGGTTCGAGCGTGATCCATTTGGGCGATCACAACGTGCCCAACGCGTTGATGTTCATCGACAAGTACACGCAGGTGTCGCGCATCCTCAACCCGATCGTCATCTGCATCCAGCAGATCGAGGAGCTGGTGCGGGACGACGGCCTGAAGCGGTACATCGATCACACCTTCGGCGGAGTCGACAAGCTCAGGAAGGACATCTTGCGCGACTTCTTCATGCATGGTATCGTGTCCCTTCTCGCCTGCTGCGTGTCGTGCGTGCGTCGATGTTGACCGGGCGTGTGTGTGTGTGTGTTAGCGTTCGATGGCAGCGGAGCGGATTTCTTTGACGCGGGAAGCTGCATCGATGGACGCCTGACCTCGGCGTGGAACTGGTGCTCCAAAATCGAGAAGAAGGCGTACTACCCCGTCTTCCTCCTTACCGGCTTCATCGGCTTCGACGGCGATTTCCAGAAGTAGAGTGAGGACCCACCATGTCTCTCTCTTTCCTGTACTCTCAGTCTTTGATCTCGCCAAAAAGACGATTGGATCATTTCCTTGCTTTCTTTATCGTCTTCTTCATGAGACGATGGTGGTGGACATGATCAGGCCTGTGCTTGGGCGGCGGTGACGTCAGCAAGGGCCTTGTCCAGCATGGTCTCGACGAGCCCGCGCAGGCGACCGAACCGCTCACGTCGTAGCACGGCCGGGTTGGCGTCGAGGCGCCCGATGATGGCGCGCCCGACGTGGCCCAGCTTGTCGGCGTGCTGCCGCACCACGGCAGGGTCCTGCGGCGGGTAGAGCGAAATCACCAGCTCGTCGGCGAACTCGGACAGCGCGCGCGCCTTCTCGACCAGCTCCTCGAGCCACTCGTGCTCGTCCTCCTCAATCTTCTCATCATCATCGTCCTGCGTTGCGTTGAAGTAGAGCACACTCAGTGAACACGACACGACACGACACGCACGACACGCACACGATGATAGTTTGAGGGGAGTGCTGACCTGGGGCTGTGCTTGCTTTTCGAGTTCTCGTTGCTTGTCCTTCCGTCGCTCGTCAAGGTCGAGCAGGGGCAGGCTGCCGTTGAGGAGCCCGAAGAGGGACTTGATGAGCAGCTGGCATCCGGGCACGACCTTGGCCTCCTCCTCCGACAAGGCCTCATCATCGTCGTCGTCATCCTCATCCCACTCATCTTCGTCCTCATCATCCTCGTCTTCGTCTTTCTTCTCCTCCTTCTTCTTCGTCTGCTCCTCCTCTCCTTCTTCCTTGGCCTTGGGTTTCTTTGCCGCAAGCTCGCCCAGCTCGGACATGGCGTCTAGATACCGAGAGAACAGAGAGTTGGTAAGTGGCTCACGTGTGTGTGTGTGTTTGTGTGTGTGTTTGTGTGTGTGTGTGTGTGTGTGTGTGGTACCCTTGATGGCACCCATCCAGTTCCGAATGGCGTTGCAGGCGACGGTGTTGTTGTCGAGCGGCACCTTCTCCACCGCCACGCACTTCTCCCACACCTTGGCCGTCAGCTGCGCGCTCTCGGCGTCCACTGCCCGCAACACCACCGCTAAAGGTCAGTCGTGCGTTGATTTGCGTTGCGGTCAGTCGTCACGTACCCTGGCCCTTCTTCCACTCGTAGAAGTGAACGAAGAGCGCCTCGACGGCATTCAGCACGCCCGCCACGGCTTCGCGCACGCCCTGCAGCACACGCTGACCCCATTTGTCTGTTCGTCGTGTGCATGGTGTGTGTGTATGGTGTTGTGTGTGTGTGTGTGTGGGGGGGGGACCCAAGGCAACCGTTGGCTGTTAGCGATCCACGTATGAATGAATGCAGATCGGCCCTCAAGCGAGTAGACGCACTTTCGTTGAGCGCGATGACGACGTTGGCGGCGACGACCAGGTTCTTGAGGTCCTGCTCGAGGCCCTCGGCGAAGGGCCTGCCGTCCTCGGCCGCCGACGACGTCTGACCGCCGGCGATGTCCTCCGCGATGTTCTTCCACGCCACCTGGACTGTCGAGAGGGCGATGCGACTGATGTCAGCCATGCATATGGCTCGTGGTGTGGGCTTGCGCGTTGGCGCGGGCGCGGGCGCTGAGTGTGTGGTGAGTGTAGATGGGGCGGGTACACTTGGTTGTGGCGTGGGCGACGCTGTGCGCGGTGGAGACGAGCGACTGCCGCAGCTCGGTGGCATTCATGGGCGCGAGCGCCTCCTTGGGCAACTGCTGCCAACGCAACGTTTTGAAAAAGAATTAAATTCGAGCAGATCCGTGAAATGAAATCTCATCTCTCGTGTGCTGAAGATGAGAGGGAGCGAACCTCGATGGTGAGATTGATGGAACCGATTTGTCGGAGGCTGTTGGCAAGCACCTCACGTGCAGGACCCGTGAATGCATAGGCTGTATGATAGATCATGTGGTATATCGTTTAAGTTAAATTAATCTCTTACGATTATTCGATTCAACATTTATATTAATGGAGCGAACCCGTTGCAGATTTTGTGACTTTGCCCTTTCCGTTGCTGGCACCAGCGTTCTTGTTCGATTGGGCACCTCCCTTCTTTCGTGTCATCTTCGCGCTTGTGTGGAACGAATTTGATTTTTGCAACTCCGTTTCGTAAAAAAGAAACAGAAAGCCTTCAGGCGCCTTTCTCTTCTTTCTTCTTCTTCGTGTCTGTCTTCTCCTTCTTCTCTTTCTTCTTTTCCTTTCTCTTCTTCTTCGTCTCCTTCGTCTTAGTCTTCTCCTTCGCCTTTGTCTTCTCCGCTGTCTCTCCGTCCTTCTCATGAGGAAGAGCAGCTGCCTGCAGAGCGGCATTGCTCTCGGCGTGAGTGGTGAGGATCCGCTTCCACCACGTACGCTTGGCCTCGACCGACGGATGGTCCACGATCTTGAAGGTGAACGGCCCCTCATGCAGTGTTCTGTGCGAGACGATGACGTCAGAGTAGAGCAGAGCAGAGCCAAGCAAAGCGAGCATGCGTGAGTGTGAAGCCCGGAGTGGTACTGTCGATGAAGCTTCCAGTTGAATAGCGCCGAGTCGGTGTATTCGTCAAACGGATTGAGCTCGACGATGGTCACCGGCAGTAGTTCGCCCTCGGCCAGGTCTCCGCGGTGCGGAAGCACTGTGAAATCGATCACGTAGCTGTCGTAGGGCGGCTTCCCTTTCACCTGATGAACACAGTTGGCAAGACTGAGACGGAAGGGAGATGTACAATGGAGGGTTCGACACTACGTGCCTCGTTCTCCCAGTAGTGCTGGACGCTGGCGGCGATGAGGTCCTTCCGCTGGGCCACGACATCAAAGTAGCAGTCGTAGTAGTACTGCGAGAGGGCCGTGAACTGGTTGTTGCACACGAACCCGCGAAGCTCGTAGGCGATGTCAAAGTCCACCCACTGTCGGATGACGAGCTTGAGCTCCCACAGCTTGTCCTGGTAGTTGAGCCTGATCTGCACGTCCTCCAGCGTGCGGAAGCTGAGGCGTGCGGTCCAGAAGAACCGTCAGTTGGGGCGCGATGGTGATTGATCAAGCTCTGCTAGCGAGTCACTAACCTGATGAGCAGGAGCTTCAGCGCTTCACGACCGCTCTTGACCTTGAGCGAACCCATCATTGCACGGTAAACGGCGGGCAGGCCTACAGCGTTGCTAGACAGTTCAAGAGCTCCTCCTCCTTTCGCTTCAGGCAGCTCCAGGAACTTGTAGATGCGTCCGCGCTCTGTCGCGGCGTCCTTCGGGCTCCGGTCGGAGAGCTTCACGAACGCACCACCGCCTTCCTGTGTACATCTGCACTGTTATTGAAGGTTGCTGATGGCTGCAGTCAGTGCTAGCCGGACGGAACCTTCACATATTGCTCGATGATGGGGTTCATTCGCTGCTCGAGGCCCATCAGAAGCGGACAATCGTCATAGTCGGGTATATCCTGGCGTCGGGGGCCACCGATGCAGAGAGCGCGGCATCGTTGACCAGACTGGCCAACAGCCTCTCCTGGTACGCCACACACGCTCTAGCCTCCTCTACGCTTACCCTGGGTTGCGCCACCCAAACCCCTTCTGCCTGAGCCACAACCCACGCCAGCGGGGCTCGGCCAAGCTGCGGGGGGGGGCGTACGAGAGAAAGCTCGACGGGAAGGTAAGCTCCTGTAGTGGCTCGTACCACACATGCACGGAGAACGAGTTCCAGTACCGCAGCTCCTCCTCCCTCTTCGCATCCATCACAAACATAACCAACCAAGCCAGCTTGCTTCAGTGCACATCTCCATTGTCCAACAGGATTGTCGCTCTGATATCATTCTTTGATTTATAATACCAAAATATAGCGCATGTTTCGCATTCTTCATCATTTCCTTTTCTGGCATGAATTGCCGGCGCAAGAGCAAGGGGAAATCATTTTCTTTTGACCAGAGACGAGGAAGAGCCGTTTGGCCACGGGCTGAGGGGCAACGCGTAGGACAAGGGCACCGCGATGAAGCAGAAGAGGAAATCGCAAGGGAGGGGCGGGGTGGCTGCGAAGGTCCGTGTGGAGGGTGCCTCGTCTTCAACAACAGTAAGTCGGGCGGCCGAGGCTCTAGGGCGCAAGAGACGAGGCAAAGCGGCCAAGGCGAACAGGAAGACAGGCACGTCGCAGGCTAGCTCCAAGGCAGGCTGCCGCAAGAAGAAGGTCAAGAAGCAGAGTACGTCAAGCACCGTCCCCGTCTCTGCCGCAACCGAGCCCGCACCGCATGAAGCCGCGAAAGCCAACTCTCAAGCACCATGCCCGAGCAAAGCCTCGCCATCACGAGAGAAGCTGAGTTCACAAGCCGCTACGTTCTCTCCCTCGAAAGCCGTTCTTTCCCCATCGCGAGCTGCTCTCCTCGCCTCGCCTTCGAAGGCAGCCACAAGCTCCCCTCGAACGCCTAGCAGGTCGCCCAGGGCAGTAGAGATGCGAGTAGCGCGAGCAAAGTGGAGCCCCATCGTACGTTTGCCTTGCCTCGACTGTTAGCAGCTCGTTCTACGCTAACCGCCTCTTAGGAGGTGGCGGCGCTCAGGCATACGAAAAACGCCACAGAGCCTACCGACAAGTACTTCTGGTTCGAGGTCGCCAGCAAGGTGAGCCAAGACTGTGGCACCCACCGCACTGCACATGCTTGTGTTGAGAAGTATCATCAGCTCTGCACAAGTACGTGCTACCTCCTCCACTTCGGAGGTTCGAGTAGCGGCGCTAACAACTCTGCAGAAACCTCTGGCTGCGCAGACAGAAAACCACCTAGCACGCAGCGGGAGAAGAAGAAGAGCAAACCCAAGGCCTTATCCTTAAGTCTCGAAGGTACGCGCATATGATATGATCGCTGCTACGGAGAGCTCTTTAACTTGGTCACGTTTGATTGAGCCCAACACCGTGGACAGACCTCAACTTCGGGACGAACAAACGCAAGAGAGTACTGCGGAGCATGGTGAAGAAGGTACAAGAGAACTACGTAGACGATTACTTCGCCGACTCAGGCCCACCCGAAGACGATCTGATGCAGTCGTTCAGTTTCAGCGATGACGACGGTTTCGAGATAGAGGTACGCGGCATCTGTTCTGCAATCAGGGGGCTATCGCCGCTCTGTGTTCACCCATATGGACAGGGTCCGGTTGTCGAACTTGAATCACCTCCGTCATCAGCGCCCTCGAGTCCGGAGATCTTGCGACATGTGGACAGGTGCGGTCAGCTTAGTTTAAGACAGGTAGAAGGTCACTCACATGCGGTTACAGGGACGAGATCGATGGGTATATCACTCAGATCACAAAGAAGATCGCCAGGGGCAGGAGATCGAGGAGGAGCGATAACAAGCATAGTGAGGGCGACGACCTTGCACCGAAGAAGCAGCGCGCATCAGAGGAAGGTACCATTAACTCTGTCCCTGTCGGTCTCGTTGCTCTTCAGAACTGAGCTTCGCCGCCCCTTTTAGAATCAACAGACGGTGCTAAGGAGAAGACTGAAGTAGAGGAGTTGCCTTTACCCTGGGCGCTGGACAAGTCCCTGGAACTAGACAGCCAAGACGATGAAGAAGTCTCACTCTCTGAGGACGAGAACGACCTCTAGAGATCATAAGACTTTGTTGTACAGTTTCAGAAGAACATCGATGATCTTCTTGCTCAAGGTAAATGCCCCCTTCAGTCCTCTTCACTGTCCTCAGCGCGGTCGTCTTCTCCTCCTTCGGCGGCCGCCTCATCCTCGACCAAGCGTCGCAGCCTTCCGAGAATGTCCCACTCGCCCTGGGCCATCTCGATGTCCAGCGCAGCCTTGATCTGGTCGAGATCCAGAAGGGACGCTCCGTGGTTGCCCTGCGCCAGAGCAAGGCCGAACTCGAGCGCCTTGCGTCGACTGAGCTTCTCCTTCGCCACCTGCCCATCCCACAAGTGAGCCTCCGCTGCGCGTGCGTGCGTGAGTTGAGAGCTTTTGGTACGTACGCGAAGCAGGGCGACGTAGTCGGGCGCATACTGGAGTGAGTAGGCGAGCCGGATCACCGCCTGGAAATTGGCCGCCTCCACCAGGCTCACCATCACCTGCGCTCCTTACGTCAGCAGGAACACAGCACACAACACACGACATGATCCTCAACGGAGAGATCATGGCGGTACCTTGTCGAAGACGTGCGCACGCATGTAGATATCAGCGGCGATGAGCGGCTGGTTGTACTGTGCAATCAGGTCGCCCAGCTCCTCCGTGCAGGTCAACTGTCATCGATCACCTCGTCACCAGGATCGCTTCGTGGTGTGTGCGTGTGCGGTCGTGCGTGTGCGTGTGCGTTGTCTATATATACGAACGTACTCTGCCAGTAGCTGCGCTGAAGGCAATGAGGTGGAGATGCTGGGAGCCGAGGGCGCGAACAATCGCCAGCGTTTCGTGCTCATTGAGTCGCTTCTGGCGCTTGAGCGCGAGCTGCAGGTAGGTCTCGAGCACGCCCGCCTCGCTCCTCCCGCTGACCCTTCTCTTCACCTCCTGCGCCCACTTCGCGAGCCCTGTCTTGTTGGCGGTGCCGGCCTTCTCCGCTTCGTCGGCGTCCCAGAACCAGCCCACCACCTCCGCCGTCCGCACGTCCTCGTCCTGCAGGCGCGTGCGACACATCAACACATGCATCGCACACGTGTGCGCACACATACGACACGCGCACAGGCGGGCAATGGGGAACGCACGGCAGGGGAGTCCAATGCGGTGGTGATGGCCTCGGAGTACTTGCCCTCGAGGAGCAGCGTGCGAATGCGCTCCTTCCGCTGCTGAGCCCGTTGCGACGCGCCGATGGTGCCCTCCTTCTGCCGCTGCATCACCTCCCTGCACGCGTGGTTCATGGCTCTCTCAGAGTGTGTCGTGTGTCGTGTGTGTGTCGTGCGTGTCGTGTGTGTCAGTCGTACAGGAGCTGTCGGCATAGAAGGCTATCATCACTGTCGCCCTCGCGCTCTCGGTGGCGCAGCACGATCGACTTCAGCTCGTGTAGATCATCTGCACTTGAGGTGGTGTCATCAGCCGCCTCGGGCAGCTGGCGCTCATCATCATCGTCATCATCTTCTACAAAGTCGTCCTCGTCTTCGTCTTCGCCTTCGTCATCTTCGTCACTGTGCTCGGCAGGGATGTGGGCGGGTTTGGGCGGCGGCTTGCGTGGCTCGGGTGTCGGAGGGTCGATAAGCGACTTGTGGAAGCAGGACCGCGAGACCGCGAACCGCACCAGCGCCTCTGACAGCACCGGCTTGTCCAAACCCGCTGTGTTGTGTCCCCCCTCAATCGCATGAGCAAATGAACCCGACACGACACACGCGGGAGTGGTACCGATGGGGAGGCCGAGAGCGACCACCCGCTGGAGAACGGTGTAGTAAAGATCGTCGTCCGGCTGCGTCTGGACACGCCCGTACAAGTCCTGCGACCCGCGCCCGCCACAACAATTAGAGGGTCAGTGCACAGCAGGTGGCGGTGTGGGGGGGGGGCGTTTTTACGATTCGCAGGAAACCGCCGGCCACGAGCTCCGGCGCCAACTCGAACGTCTGCTCGACTGGCATGCCACCGAACGTGCGCCGTGTGAATGTGACGTCAGCTTTGCAGCGCGCGACACGGTCAGAAAAGAAGGGTGAGAAATAGAGTAAATGTACCAGCCGAGTTGTCGACGGGATAGACGGGCGAGGTGTAGTGCATGTCCTCCTTCTCCGGGCCGAAGCCCACCGACACCTGCAGGCTCTGCGGCCCGTACACCGGAATACTACGGCAAACCATGTAAAATCAATGAAAAACACACACACGACACGACACACGACACGCGACACGCGACACACACACACACACGACACGACACGCAGCTGCGATGTGGACGGGACGAACCCTTTCTGGTAGCCGGCACGGTAGATGGTGATGCTCACCGAGTGCACGATGCAAATGGGCTGCACCAACCGGTAGACGAGGAATTCGCTGCTCTGATCGTCGGCCGACCCCTTCGACGACCAGAACGTCTGCAGGCTCCTGCAGCAGCAGCAGCAGCAGCACCCACAACTCTTCGTGAGTCGCATCCATGACGCGGTGTGGTGCTTCCCTTCTCTGACTCACAAGTCTTGCGTGTGTCGTGTGTGTCGTGTGTGTCATGCGTGCGTGTGTCGTGTGTGTGTCGTGCGTGGTGTGGTGTGTTGTTAAGAGCGTGTGTGGTGTGTGTTGTTAAGTGCGCACGGGTTGAGGGTTTGGTGGATGCCCTGGGACGGGTGGTCGCTGGAGGATGCCCGCAGGCCCTGGCGCAGTAGCTTATACTCGAGGTGCCCCGTGCCCGCTCCCTTCATCGGGAACGTCGCTGCATAACACCGCACACGACACACACGACACACACGCACACGACACACAGGACACGCGGCTGGGTAAGTGAGCGGGAGGAGGGGAGGAGACTTGAGTGGATGCGCACAGAGTTCGCGGAAGAGGGGCTTCCACAGGGCGTTGTCGGCCGTCTTGAGGTTGCGCGTGAACAGCCGCGGCGCGTACCTCCTCCCCTTCTTCGTTGATGATGATGAACTCTCCAACGCAGCCTGGACTGCGGGTACCTCCCGGCACTTGGCTCGCCACACGCTCCCTGCACACCGCACACACCGCACACGTGTGGTGCACCATCAAACGCACAATAGATGAGGGAAAGAAAAAAAAAATAAGATGCAGGGATCTGCACGTGGCACAAACCATCGTCGGCAAGGCGAGCCCAGGCGGAGCACACGAGACGCACGCGCGCAAGTTCGTGCGGTGCATCGAGAAATGAAAACACGTGCACCCACACCCACTCGCCCCACGGCACCTCTCTCATCATCAATTCCTCCTCCATTCTGTCTCGCCTGCGCTCCATTTTTTGAACAATTTAACCATTTCTTACATCTTTTCCTCTTCGTCTTCTTAGAAAAAGTTGAAGAAATTACCATTCTCGGTTTTTTCTTTCTAGCAATCAGGGAAAAGGGCAGAAAGTCAAAATAAAATACTGGACCACTAAAATGCACACCAGCCAGCGCAACATGGACACACTTGTGGCCTCCACGGTACCGCCAGGCCCCATAGCTCCCCCAATCGTGCAGCTCACATTCTTGGCCGCCGGGGCAGGACTCGGCATCGCGCAAGCGCCGGCTCTTCGAGTCCTACCCGGTCGACGACGCGGTGGTGGCCGCCACCCTCAGTGCCGGCTGGCCCGGGGCCAAGCTGGGCGCCCGGCTCAAGAGCTCGCAGAACGTGACCTACTCGGGCGAGCTCGCCAACGGCCAGGCACGTGCCCTTGTCGTGTATGCGGTGTCGTGTGGTCGTGTTAGACTGACGTTGGCTGCTCGCTCTGAGCAGAAGGTGATCGTGCGCGCCACGGCCACGCCGGGCTGTCTGCCGCGCGTCACGGACGAGCTGGCCTTCCTGCGCTACGTGGCGGCTGCCGGCGTGCGCGCGTGCGGCCCGATCGAGCCCGGCCTGTGCGTGAGCGGCGACGACGGCGCCGGCGACACGGTGGTAGTGGTGACCCGCTTTGCCGAGGGTGCGCCAGTCAACTTCGTCGCCTGGATCTGGGCCACCGACGCCGCGCTCGTCGCCGAACAGGGCCGGTGGCTGGGCCAGCTGCACGCCGCCTCGAAGCGCTTCGCGCGCGACCACGCCGACGTCGCCGCGCGCATCCAGATGTGGGACCAGGTCCACGACTCGATCCTCGCCGGCGCACAGAACAAGCCACCGATCGAGGAGACCGCGGCCGACGGGTTCGGCGTGATCCACGGCGACGTCAACCCGAGCAACTTCTACGTCGACGACCAGGGCCGGCTCGATGTGTTCGACTTTGACCAGACCCAGCGCGCGTGGTTCCTCTACGACCTGGCCCAGCCGATCTGGGCCGTGCGGATGGCCTCGCGCGGCGGCGTGCCGGGGCTCACCGGCGACAACGCGCCGCGGCTCGACGAGGCGGCCTTCACCGCGGCCCTGTGCCGGGGCTACGGCGAGCCCGTCGACCGCGAGGCCCTCGAGGCCTGCGTGCTGCTGCGGCGCGAGATGTACGAGCGCTTCTGCCGGCGGGCCAAGGCCGAGGGCGACCTGCCGCCCGATATGGCCGCCTTCATCGAACACGTCGTCTCCGCTTTCGATGCCAACACGCTCTGATGATGTCGATGATGGCGACGACGACATAAAGTATCGTGTTATCGTTGAAGATTCATCACTGGAGGAGACAGCTGCGCTGGCCGCGGTCGGCAAGGAGATCGAGGGGCTCGTAGACGGCGAAGTTGGCGGCCAGCGCCATGGTGGCGTCCACGTTGTCGAACGTCTTGGCCGAACACTCGATGAAGGCCACGGCGCCCATCTCGAACGCCATCACCTGGGCCTGTTCGTGCGACACCACGCAACCCTGACGTTGTCGTACGTCGACGTTGTCGACATTGTGCTGCTCTTCTTCGCCGGCCGCTTCTTCGGCTACGGCCGCGCCACTGGCGTTGCTTTCCTCATTGATGACGCCATCGGAGACCAGGTCCTTCTTGCAGCCCACCAAAATGAACGGCTCGTTGGGGCAGTGGCGGCGCACCTCGGGCAGCCATCGCGACCTGAGATTCTGGAGGCTCTGCGGGTCTACGACAGAGTAGCACAAGAGAAAGATGTCGGCGCCGCCGTAGCCGAGCGGTCGCAGCTGGTCGTAGTCCGCAGACCCCGCTGATCATTCGCAGATTGGGGGTGTTAAGAGTGTCCCTCGGCGCAGACCGTGGTGAGTGGGTGGGTGGACGAACCTGTGTCCCAAGGCACGACCACCACCTTCTTCCCTTGGTCGATGGCCACATCACGCTGGTTGAAGCTGATGCAGGTCGGCAGGTAGTCTGGCCCGCCGAATGCGCCGTCAATTATACGAACAACACTCAGCATCACCACAGGTGCAGACCAGCAGCCTCCTTACCGCCAATGAATGTGTTCCACGACCAGGCGTAGAGCAGCGCTGTCTTGCCCACGCCGCTGTCGCCCACAGCGACCACCTTCGCCCCTGGCCCAGTGCGCTGGCCGTCGGCCCACACAACACAGACACACCCGGTTAGGCCGTAGCCATAAGAGAGAGAGAGAGAGAGTACAGAGAGGGAAGAGAGTGTAGTACTCGGAACCGAGGGCGGGCGGTGGTGGAGAGGCGTATTCGATTCTCCGCTGTGTAGCGCTCCCGGGCCTTGTTGAGCTTGTCGACCCTGTCCCGCTCCCACTCCAACGTGATCTTGATGGCCTCGATCACCTCCGCCCTGCACCATCCATGTGTGTGGTGTGCGTGGTGGTGTGTGCGTGGTCAACAATTGGGCGGTGTGGGTGCAGGAGCGTCCTTACCGAAGATCGATTGAGTTGATGGTGTCGGGCGGCCACACTTCGCAGCACGTCTCACGGTAGAACCCCTGCCAGAGCCTTGCAGGTCTGTTTAGTCCACGAATGCAAAAAATCAGATGCACAGATGATGGAAAGAGTACAAAGGATCGCTGGAAATGGCACGCCAGCTGCGGCAAACGCCACCTACGCGGCACAGATCGGCTGCATCAAGGTAGGCGAAGATGCGCCACCCCAGCTCGGGCGGCATAAGGTCCACAACCTCCTCTCGCTCTCGCTCTGCCGCAGTTTCTCCCTTTCCCTTCACTTCATCTCTCATGCTCTCCTTTTCCATCACTGCTGACTGCCCTACTCGCTACCAAGGTTGCTCTTGGCTCCTTTTTGTCGTTGAAAGCAGCCTTCAAAGAATACGTTGAAGGAAGGAGCTTCTCTTGTGCACGTCAGCAAACGTGGTTACAACACGTTACAACGTGCTTATTGGCAGTTGGGGTGAAGAGCCACTTCTGCAGGAGACCTCTATCGCTTGCCGTGCTGCGCGTGCTGGTCCTTGCACCAGCTCTCAGCTCTTGTGGCCTTGCGTTCTTCGGCTGGCGTCGTTGAAAAACAAATCTAATGAATACGAAAAATGAAATCTAAGAGAAATAGTGAGGTATGTGAACTATGTCGCCGGTTGCGGCCGTTTGGCGGCAAAAGAAAAAGAGTGCACACAGAAAACAAAATCCAATTCCACAAGATTGAGTGAAGAAGACAGATGATGGCGAGCAATGGAGGGGTCCCCGGCGGAGGGGAAGGGCAGGCGCCGAAGAGGCGCTCGCTGCAGCCCTCGAAGGACCCACTGAGGACGGGGGCGATTTTTCGGATTAAAGACCCCTCGGCGATGCGATCGCCCGTGCCCATCACGGTATTGCCTTCGCATCTGAAGAGACCGTCACCAGTTCCCTCTCCATCTACTTCGGCAAACGCTGCTGCCGGTGTCGCATCTTCGCCATACGTCCCCAGATCAACACCGTTCGCCACACCCAGCACGCCCAGCAGCAAATCGGCCATGAGCAGTAACGGCACAGAGTCTGCGGCTTCTGCATCGCTGGCGACTGCCACAACGCCATCACCTTTGGCCACAATCTCGGATGAGGAATTGGCAAGCCAATTTGATGCCCTTTATCACCGACAAAGCCCCACGCCAGCTCTCCTTCGCGTACGCTCCAGCTCTCCCCTTTGCGACCGATTATCATCATCCGATTATTGATTATTTTATTTTGTTTTTATTTTGTTTTTGTTTGCTGATTTATTGGTATGCACACAGGCTGGGGGACGAGGGAAGACAGTGCGGTACAGCCCGGTGCCCGCGGCGCTGATCCGCCAACGCACCACCACGACCGTGGTCGCGGTACAGTCGCCCGCGCGCAAGCAACAGCAGGACGACGAGCGCCAGCAGCGCGAAAGCGAAGAGACCGCCAGGCGCGAAAGCGAAGCGGCGGCGGACGAGGCACGAAAGACGAGGGAAGCACAAGAGGAGGAAGAGGAGAACAGGAGGAGGCAGGAGCGAGAGCAACAACAGCAACGGGAGGAGGAGGAGCGACGCGAGCAGCGCGAGGAGAAGGAGCGACGCGAGCGAGAGGAGGAGGAGGAGAAGCAGCAGCAGGAGCTGGCGCGCAAGGAGAAGGAGAGGCTGGCAGAGCGGGAACGACAGCGGCTGGAGGCCGAGGAGCTGGCGCGCAAGCTGAAAGCACAGAAGAAGGAGAACGCACGACTGGAGAAGGAGGAAAGAGAGAAGCGCGAAAAAGAGGAAAGAGAGAAGCGCGAAAGGGAAGAACGAGAGAAGCGCGAGAAGGAGGAAAGAGAGAAGCGCGAAAGGGAGGAACGAGAGGCGGAGGAAAAGAAACAGACGGAGCGGGAGCAGGAGAAGAAGCGACTGGACAGGGAGCGACAGGAAAACGAGGAAAGAGAGAAGCGCGAAAGGGAGAAGCGCGAAAGGGAGGAACGTGAAGCGGACGAAGAGAGGGAGCGGAAACGGCGGCAGATGGAGGCCGACGAGGAGGCGGCACGACAGCAGCAGCAACTACAGCTTAAGCTGGAGAACGAACGGAGGGAGAGGGAGCGTCAGGAGAGGGAGCGACAAGAGGAGCTGGAGCGAAGGGAGCGAGCGCAGCGCGAACAGCAGGAGAAGGAGGAGAAGGAGGAGAAGGAGCGGCAAAAGCGGCGGAAGGAGGAGGAGGAGCGACTGGAGAGAGAAAGACGCGAGGAGAAGGAGCGCAGGGAAAGGGAGCAACGGGAAAAAGAAGAGGAGAAGGAGAAGGAGCGCAAACGGCAGGCGGCAGAGGAAGAAAAACGATTAGAGAAGGAGCGGCGAGAGAGGGAGGAGCAGCAAGAGAGGGAGGAGCGACGCCTGCGCGAGGAGGAAGAGGCCCGCGAGAAACGAGAGGCGGAGGAGGCCGAAAGACAACGGGCAGCAAAAGAGGAGGTGAGGAAGAAGAAGAAGGAAGAAGAAGAAGAAGAAAGAAGAAGAGAGGAAGAAAAGGAAAGGAGCAGCGAACCAAAGGCGAAGGCGCCTGTGGCCGAGAAGGGTTCGGCGGAGGATCGAGCCAAGGTAGGAGTGTGTCGCACGCACGCACGCACGAACCCCACTCTTTGCCTATTTTGACTCTAACGCATTTGTTTGTGTACACGCTCGCCAGCTGGTGCCGGTGGTGACCGCTAAGCCGGCCAGGGTGCCGGTTGTGCTGCAGCGCTGGTATCTCAAGGTACATAGGGAGACAATGTGGGCTTGTTTTAATTGGCGTGTGCGTGTGCGATCGTGCTGTGTGTGCGGTGTGTGGTCGTGCATGGGCGCTGACTGTTAGCGCGTGTGTTATGTTGTCTTCTTCTCGTCCACAGCCATCCCGCGTGCGCGAGAATTCGGTCTTGGCAGTCGAAGGAACGCTCTTCAAGCCGGGCGCCGAATCCCACGGCCGAATCTGGCACTCCTCCAACATCCGCCGGCGCGCCGACGACAACCAGCACCTGCTCGAGGTACCAAACCTGCGCGTTTTCAGTAGACTCAGCACATGGTTTGACACACACCACACACACCACACACACCACACACACACCACACACACCACACACACACCACACACACCACACACACCACACACACCACACACACCACACACACCACACACACCACACACACACGGTTGCTTTGTCAGACCTCGAGCGGCAATCTCTACCTGCTCGAGGGTCCGCGGCACCCGAACCCGCCCGTCGACGTCGAACCGTTCGGCTACGCGCCGGACATCGTGGCCCAGTTCGCCGATGGCTTCCCCACGAACTGGCGCGAGCTGGTCAAGCAGTCGGGCCTGAACATGGACGCCGACGAGGCGCTCCACGCGCGGCTGCAGGGCATGACCTGCGTGCAGCTCCGCAAGGAGCTCGCCCAGCGCAACCGCCGGGACACCGCGCGCAGCAACAAGGCCGAGCTCGTCGCGCGGCTCAAGCTCGCCATCCAGAAGGAGGAGGGCCGTCGCGCGCGCACCGCCGAGGACGAGCTGCTCGACATGTCGCCCGAGCAGCTCCACGACCAGCTCGAGGCCCGCGGCCTCACCTCCCAGGTACTGCTCTCCCCCCGTGGTGGTGGCAGGTGGTCATGGTGGCGCACAGCGCAGAGGCGTCTAAAGTGGTGGTGGCGGCCTAACAACTGATGATGCGATTGCGATTGTGTGGGATCAGGTCGGGCTCGATCAGCGGGAGGTGGTGGCGGCGATCCTCAAGTACGACGCGGAGAAGCTCGCCAAGCAGGAGGCCCTCGAGAAGAAGCTGAAGGTTGAGGAGGAGGACGAAGACGAAGAAGACAGCGAAAGCGAGGACGAAGAAGAAAAAGAAAAAGAAGAAGAGGAGGAGGAAACGAAAGAAAACAACGAAGAGACGATGGACGCCGACGAAACAACCAAAGAGGCAGCAGACAATGAGGAGGAGGAGGAGGAAGCGCCGGGCGAAGAGGAGGCGGGCGTGACAGTGGACGCCGGAAAGGAAGAGGAAAAGGAGGAAGAAAAGGAGGGGGAGGTAGCGGAAGAAGAACGGGAGCACGCGCCACTGGAAGCAACGCCCGCGCAGCCGGCTGCCAAGGAGCTCGCGGAAGAAGATGACGCGACTCGACATTTTGATGAGCGTCAAGAAGCAGGCCTAGAGCAGGAAGCGGAGGAAGAGGAAGCGGCGAAGGGGACGCCGGAGGCGCACGCCACGGAGGAGAACGTAACGGTGGAAGCGTTAGAAAAGGCTGAGGAGGAGGAGGAGCTCAAGCGTAGGGAGGACGACACGGAGCACGCCAAGCCGAACGGAAGTGTGGACCAGGTCAGCGAGGACCAGGGGCACGAAGGCGAGCAGCCGGCGGCAGACACCGACGGAACGGCGCAGCTGCACGACGACGACGCCGGAGAAGATGAAGAAGAAGAGGGCGAAGCGGAGGAGGCGAGAACGGAAAAGAAGAGTGAGAAAGGAAAGGCGACTGTGGTGGAGAACGAGGAGGAAGAGGAGGAGATAGAAGTGGAGGTGCCTCCGAAGTACGCGTACCGCTCGATCACCGACGACTCGCTTATATTGGGCGACGTCGCCGAGCAGCACGAAGAAGAAGACGAAGCCAGAGACGAAGAAAAGAACGAAGCGGTGGACGATGACAAAGAGGAAGAGGAAGAGGACGAAGAAGAAAAAGAAGATGAGGAGTTCAACGAAGAGGAGGAGGAGGAGGAGGACGACAAAAAGAAGAGGAGAGGACCACCAGCAAAGAGTGACAAGGGCGGCAGCAGCGGGAAGGGAGCGAGCGGGGCGTCGCGGAAGCGGAAGGCGGACGAGAGCCTGCTCCTGGCCAAGCGCACATCGACCACCCCGGGGTCATCGTCGGCCAAGCGCGGACGCATGAGCTGGGGCACCGCACTGAGCAACCTCGTCGTGTCCTCCTTCAAGACCCCCTCGCCCGTCTCCCATCCGCTCATGTCCCCCAGGTTCGTATTATACCTCACTCGACCCGCAACCGCGCGCACCGTGTGTGTCGCGTGTCGCGTGTCGTGTGTCGTGTGTGCTGACGGCGGCGTCGCGTCTAGGGTGGCGGAGCATGCGGTGGGCACGACGAGAAGCGGGCGGAAGGTGATCGCGCCGCTGGCCTTCTGGCGTAACCAAGCCCCCGTCCGCGTGTACGCCTCCGCCCCCCATACATTCCTTTTGGCCACCCCAATGTGTTCACACACCGCACACTGCACACTGCACACGCACACGACACACAGTCACGGGCTGCTGGTGGACATTGCCGAAGACGCGGCGTCGCTGGTGGCCAACCCCAAGCAGCGGCTGGACCTGCGGCTCTCGCCGGGCTACGAGCAGCCGCTGCTGCGCAAGCGCCGACAAAGCCGCGGCGAGGAGGAGGAGGAGGAGGGCGAGGAGGGTGGTCTTGAGCCGGCGAAGCGGAGGCGAGTCGCCCAGAGTAAGGGCGAGCAGGAGTCGACCGACGTGAGCGAGGAGGAGGAGGAGGACGATTCGGACGATGGCGACGGTGGCGACGCGGTGGGCGATGATGGCGACTATAACGACGAAGAAGAAGAAGAAGAAGGAAGAGAAGACGAGAAGGCGGAAGAGGAGGAAGAGCGAACGACGTTGGTGCGACGGGGCACGCGGAAGCAGGTGACGGCGGCCACCGCGGCCGCCAAGTTTGCCAAGTTGCGGGCCAACAAGAATGCGGCGGGGGCGGCGGCGGCGAGATCGGCCAAGGCCAAGGCGGCGGCGGCCACGGGCAGGCGCGGAGGGGGAGGGGCGAAGACCAAGCCAAAGCCCACGGCCAAGGGCAAGGAGAAGGTCCTCACCGAAGACGACTACGACTACGACGACGAGAGGAAGACGAAGAAGACGAAGAAGAAGACGACGACGACGACGAAGAGAGCGAAAGGCCAAGGCAGAGGTCAATCAGAAGAAGAAGAGGGGCCGACCGCCCAGGCTAGCGCCAACGCGCGACCCAGAGGAGGACTATGTAGATGACGACGAGGAGGACGAAGAGGAGGAGTTGGAAACGAGGACGAAGATCGGTAAGAGGAAGCAGACGGCCGGCCGGGGCAGGGGCCGGGGCAGACCGTCCAAGCGGGTGCGATCGTCTTCACCCGAAGAGGAAAGCGACGACGACGAAGAAGAGGAGGAGGAAGAGGAAGAGGAGGTGAAGGGGAGGGGCGGGAGGAAGAAACCGACGGTGACGGCCAAGAAAAAGCCGACCAAGAAACAAGAGGAAAAGAAGAAGAAGACGACGACGAAAACAACGAAGAAGACGACGGCGAAGAAAAAGGACGACGAAGAGGTGGACGAAGAGGAGGAAACGAGGCCCGAGGAGGGCGTAGATACGAGCGTGTGGACAAAGAAGGTACGCCAGGCTTTGCTTGATGGCTAAGCTCAGCTCAGCTCAGCTCATGACGACTCACTCCTCGCTATCACGACAGCAAATCGAGTCCCTGCGCGCCGCACAGCGAGCGGTGCCGCCCACCCACCGACTGTTCTGGGAGGAGGTCGCCCGACGGGTAAGCCCCCCCCCCGTCGCGTCACATTCATTTCGTTCTTTGCTCTTTGTTTTCCCCTGACCTGGTGCGTGGTTGCAGGTGAGCGAGGCCGGCGGAGTAAAGCGGACCAGCGCTGAGTGCCTAGAAAAGTTCCACGAAATCAGCGCACGTATGCTCCGTGTCGCGTCGTGTCATGTCGTGCGTGTCGCGTCGCGTCGTGTGTCGTGTCGTGCGTGTGCATGGTGTGTGTGTGTTGTCTTCCTTGCGCTAATGTGGACACTCGTGGCTCGCGGTCCAGCCAAAACACGAACGCGAGCGACCGCCGCGGGCAAGGGCAAGAAGGCTGGGAAATCCGCCGAGGACGACTCTCCCGCGACGCTCGAAGGCTTCAACATGGGCACCAACAAGCGCAGGCGAAAGATGCGCCAGCTTCTCGAGAAGGTGAGTCCACTTGCGCGCGTGTGTTGTGTGGTGTATCATGCGAGCATCTTCTGACGTTGTATATGCAGGCGGAGACGGGATACACGGACGACGTGTTTCAGGCCAAGGGCAACGATACGAGCATGAGTTTTATAAACATCAGCGAAGACGAATGGCAGCCCACCAAGACCATCGTACGCTGCTCACCGCTCGTCGTCGTCGTCGTCATCATCATTATGGCCTCGAGCCCAGGCACTGACCGTGCATCGTTCGTAATTTTTTTGTCGCGCAGGCGACCCCGTCAAAGTCGCCGGTGGGCCAACTGCAAAGCGGGCTGCTGGAGAAAAGGGAACGAGACAAGTTTGACGCCTACATCGGACGATTCGCACGCAAACAGCGACGGTTCGTGTCCTTCCAACCACACACGCGCCCAACCACCGCACACGCACAGTTCTTATACTTCGTGTGTCGTGTGTCGTGTCGTGTCCGACATGCCAGACCGAAGAGACGGGGCAAAGCTGGAGGCGCCAGCGCCAGCGAAGACGAGGACAGCGAGGAGGCCAAGGACAGCGACCAGGATGCGGAGGAGGCAGCAGCGCCGGCGGCGGCGGCTCAGGATGCCGGTACACGCCCCGCCCCCAAATTCAGTCCAGTCCGACATGACTGCATTTCCACCCCTGTTGTTCACCTCTGTGCGTCGTGTGTCCACAGAGGGCGATGAAGAGGTCGAGTTGAGCGAGGAGGCCAGGGTCCGGCTCCGCAATCTGCGCAACAAGGTGGTGGTGGACGAGCCCCTCAACAAGCGGCAGAAGCGCATGCACCAGATGCAGGAGGTCGCCGGAAAGGGTAGACCTACTCCCCCCCCCAAACGCTGTTCTTCTTCGCACGTGTGCGGTCGCTGACTCGCGCGTGCGCGTGCGTGTGCGGTCTGAGCAGTGAAAGAGCTGTTGACGACCGAGACCCGCAAGGACGACGTCTTCAACGACGACGAGTCGATACTCGTCAACAACAACAGCACCAACAGTCTCGACGCCACCGCCGACGCCAGCGACTGACACAACGCGTGTCTGTCACGCCTCACAACAAACAAACAAATTTTGAAGCACGCGCACAATTTTTGATTGCTTTAGGTCTCTATTCTCGCATATCGCGCAGCCGCGAGCGCTGCCGCTTGGCGGGCTGGCCGGCGCCCTCGTCGCCCGGCTCTTCCCCGCGGGTCGCGGCCGCCGCTGCGGCGGCGTTGGCGCTGGCGCGGGCCTGCTTGCGCATGTGGACGCCGATCTCGCCGAGGAGGCCCAGGGCGCGCTTGCCCAGCTCGTCCTCGCGGCCCGGCCGGTAGGCCTCCTCCAGGTGCGCGCCGTCCATGAGGAGCCGCTCCTCCATGTGGACCTCTCGCAGCCGTCGCTCGGCGAACAGCGGCGCCTGGTCTCGGAAATGCAACGACCTTGATAAAAAAATAAATGACTGAGTGCGTGTCGTGCGTGTCGTGTTGTGTGCGTAGTGCGTGTGTCGTGCGAAGTGGAAGAGAGTACTTGGTGAAAGTGTTGGCGCCGTAGGGCTGGACGGCTTGCGAGTGCACCTGGCCGTGGGCGTCCCATCGCACGATCTGCACGTAGCCGTCACCCGAGTCGGCCACCACGCGGGCCTTCTTGATATCGACCGTACCCTGGACTGTTCATTCCCCTGAGTCAGCTCCACAAAGAAAGAGAACTAAAGCGAAAGCGAAAACGAAAACGAAAGCGAAAGCGGGAGCAAAGCGGCGTACTGGTGTGGAGGACGTCGGGTCCGCCGCTGAGGTCAAACTCCGCACGGCCGCGGATCAGTCGCTGCTGGTGGCTCCACTCGGGATCCATTCGCCCCGCGCCCCACTTTAGGTCGCGCCCCGCGTTCTCCACGTCATCGAGGAGGCGGCCGGGCGTGAGGCCCAGTTCATCGAGGGAGATGGCTTGGCCGTCGCCGTCGCCGTCTTCGCGATCGCCGCGGCGGGTGTAGAAGCGGTGGGCGATGGCGCCAGGCTCGGCCAGGTGGTGGCGGAATGCGAAGAAGGCGAGCGGGGCGGCGATGGAGTGGCCGCTCATGGCGAGGTCCCACGAACGGAGGAGCGCCATGGCCCGCACCAACATCGGGCGGTCCCTCCGCAGCTGCTCCTTCCCCACCTCCTCAACTCTTTTCCATTCACACGACACACGACACACGACACACGACACACGACACACGACACACGACACACGACACACGACACACGTGTGAGAAACGACGACCAGCGCGCAAAGCAGAGCAAGGAGTACGAACTGTTGGTCGTAGGCGGCGAGGGAGTGGTTGACGAGGTAGGCCATCAGCGACCCGCGCGCGTAGGTCTCGTCGAACTTGATCCGCACGAACTGGTCCGCATCCAATCCACCCTTGTCACCGGCACTGTCGACACTGTCGGTGTCGTTGCTGTTGTTGTCGACGAGGGCGGCGCTGAGCAGTTCGAGGGCGCGCAGGGCGCGGTTGGTCATGCGGCGCTCAATCATGCCCGACACGGCGGGCGCGCGGTCGGCGTCGAAGTCGGCCGGCGACGGGTTGTTGTCGCGGCCGCCCGACGTGACCCGGAACGGCGACGAGTTGCAGTTCTGTACGAAGCCCGACGACGGGTTGAGCACGCGGGGCAGCCGGTCCCACGGCACATACGTCGGAGGCCACACCGTACTCGACGTGTTCCCTATTGGACCGATTCTCAGCCTCAGTCAGTGTGTGCGGTGTGGCGTGTGCGGCGTGTGCGGTGTGGCGTGTGCGGTGTGAGCGGTGTGCGGTGGTGAGTGCAACGTGCCTGGTACGGGGGCGGACCAGTCGTGGTCGGCGGACGACCGGTTCTGGGGAAGCAGCGCGTTGTAGCCGTAGAAGATGTTGCCTGGCGGTGGTTAAGGTGGCGGGGCTGGTCAGCGTTTGTTGGTTAAGGTGGCGGGGTTGGTCAGCGTATGTTGGTTAAGTGTGGCAGTGGTGCCTTGGTGGTCGGCGTAGACAGCGTTGAGGAGGGGCATGGTCTGCCGGCCGAGGGCGGCCGACCACTCCTCGAAGGTGGTGGCCTTGGTCATCGCCAGCCACTGCTCCAGCTGATCGATCCTCTCGCTGCCGCAGTACCGAATCGCGTACGTGCCCTGGTGGTGTGCGCGGTGTGTGCGATTGTGGTGAGGTTGTGTGCGGTGGTTTGTATGTGATCGTGCGTGTGCGGTGGTGCGTGTGCGGTGGTGCGTGTGCGGTGGTGCTATGTCGCAGCGTGCGTACCCGAGGGTTCTGAATGACTGGCGCGTTGTGTGACGGCGACCACAGCACCTCGCGTTCCACCTCCCAGCTCCACCGCCCGAATATGTTCAACTGAGCCAATCACCAGAGGAGGATTAACCACAACCAATCCAATTCTTTTGCAAAAGATAAATATAAAAGAAATAGGAATTGAATTGCGTACCGACATGGGGACGATCTTGCTCTCCAGTGTGTGCCATTCGCCGTCGAAGAGGTAGCGGAGGCGGTGGTCCTTGTCCATCGTCAGTTCGTAGACGTCGACCACATCGGGGCTGTTTACCGTGTGCCCCCACCCGAGCTGAACGAACGGCCAAAGAGAGAGGAAGAGTTGTGAGTCATCAATGCAGTGGCGCGCGCGCATGTGTGTGTGCGTGTGTCGTGTGTGTCGTGTGTAAGTGTGTGTCGTGTTGTGTTGTGTCGTTCGTTACCTGGCGGTTGTGGCCCGACAGCGGAATGGGACAGCCCGGAAAGACTCCACCCACAAAATTCCAGCCTTCTTCGCTGTGCAGGTGCGCCTCATACCTAGACACGCACGCATACGCGACACGACACACGACACCACACACCACGCACGACACACCACACACACACACACACACACAGAGAGAGAGAGAGAAGGAGTGAGTAGATATTGGGAGACGAGGCGTTTGTAGTGGTGATGCGGTACGTACCAGCTGAAGGGTCCGGCCCATGGCTGGTGTGAGTTGATGGCGAGGAACGTGGACCCGTCCTTCGTCTTCCGCCCCGACACCGCGAACGCGTTCGACGCAAACGCTCGCTTGGCGAGCGGCGCCTCACCTTCATCGTCACCACCACGTTCCGCGCTCGCGTCGTCGCTGTAGGTCGACTCAACGTCTGCTGATTGCGCGTCGCCACCGTGTGCCTGGGCGGGTTCACCAGGCACCGCCGCAGCCTGCACGTCACCGACAGCAGTGGCGTTGGCTCCCGTTTGTGTGTATACGACGCCATCGATCTCCACGCCGCCGCCGCTGCCGCCAGCAGCAGCGGCCTCCTCAGTGACCACCCCAAACGCTTCGGGCTCGTGGTGCGCGTCGGTGGTGGCTAAGGTAGCGGTGGCAGTTAAGGTGGCTGCGGGCGCTGTGGTTAAGGTGGCGGCGGCCCGAGGCTCGGTCGCGACGACCACGCCGGCCTGCTCCGTGGGGAGAGAGTCGGCGAGGAGAGGCACGAGCGAGACCACGTAGCGCTGGAGCTGGGTCCACCGCCGCCCGAGCGTCTCGCGCATGTCGCTCTTCTGGGCCTCGAGGTTCATCAGCCGCTGGGCCTTGGTGTCCTTGCCCTCGCCCGCTAGCTTGCGCACCACCTCGTCGAGCTTGATGAACGAAGGAATCTTATTCACGAAGCACGCCACCACGTCTGCCCCAACCGTGATGACACGTCAGAACGTGTGTGCGGTGTGTGTGTGTGTGTGTGCGCGCGCGCGCGCGCGTGTGTGCGTGTGTGTGCGGTGCGTGTGTGTGCGTGTGTGTGCGTGTGTGTGCGTGTGTGTGCGGTGCGTGCGTGCGTGTGTAGTGTGCGTGCCTTGTGGTGAGATGGGAAAGAGGTCGGTGGCGATGACCCGGGTGGTGTGCCAGTAGGCGAAGAAGTTGAGTCCGTCGGCGTAGGCGCTGAGCACCTCGCGCATGTGGGGCGACAGCTGCTTATCGTACTCTGCGTCGACTCTCTCCCGCAATCGGAGCAGGTGCACCAGGTAGTCGTTCATGTACGCGGTCTTGCCTGATGCCGCGATCTCTCTGTGAACCACCGCACACACGACACACGCACGACACACAGCACACACACGGCACACGACACACGACACACGACACACGACACACGACACACGACACACGACACACGACACACGACACACGACACGCACAAGACTAACCTTCGATCGTGGCGAGTTGGCCTCGCGAGGCGAGCAGGGCCTTCTGGATGGTGGCGAAGTCGTCCTGGGCGTGGGCGTAGGCCAGCCCGAAGGCCACCTCCGCGTCCGTCTTTGCGAAGATGTGCGGAATGCCCCACGAGTCCCTGCAGCACGCGGCGTTGGTGATGATGGTGGCAATGATGATCATGATGAAGTGTGTGTTGTTGTGGTGGTTGTTATTGTTGGTGAAGGTGAGGTGTAAACCGTAGGATGCGGGTCGTGGGGTATTCGTCGGCGAGGGAGGCCATGTGCGGGTCGAACTGGACGAGCGGAGGGAAGGTGGTGTAGATGACGAGGGCCACCAGCACCACCACACCCACGGCCAGCAGACGTGCCCACCATGCCAACAGCCCGACCGCCTGCTCACAATGATGAAGCAAAAGAGCAATTAAATCACCTCCGAGATTAAATCATAACTTAATCCTACATAAATGCCGTTATTGATGTTTACTCTCGAGCGGCAAAGCAGATAGGCAGGTGTACCATTGGATGCAGTGACGTTTGCAGGTTATCTTTCAATTAATCCTCGCTGCCGTGGAAAAGTCGGCCTATTAGTATTTTTTTGTATTTTTTACTTATTACGTATTTTTGTATATTTTTTTTTTTACAAATTATTGTCTACGCCCATGCGCCACGGCTGAAGATGGACAGGCTCTCGACACATCGAAGCTTGGTCGCGGCAGCGGTGGCCCTTGTGCTGTTCTCTTGCGTGTCTGCTGCCGCCGCAACCAGCGGGACGGTCACCTACGGCTGCAGCCCGGTAAACCACAACGACACCTCGGCCTGGCTCTCCGTTTCGCGTGGCCTTTTCCGAGACAGCGTGTACCAATACTGGCTCTCCCAGTCCTACGCCTACCTGACCCACGTCCAGTATCCTCCCCCTCTTCGTTTTCGTTCTTTTTGCCTTCGTAACCCCGCCCTTTTTATGCCTCGGTGCGTGTGCGGTGTGGGCGCGTGCGTGCGGTCGGGCGTGTGCGGTCGGGCGTGTGCGGTCGGGTGCGTGCTGTGGTGTTGTTTGACATGTGCGGCAACAGACAAGATATTGTTGGTACGACGACGTGGCCACTGCCGCCGACAGTCGCTCCGATCAACGGGCTGGTGCTGTCGGTGAATTGGACCTCCCACGGCTTCTACGATTCGGTGCGCGTGCTGCTGCAAGACGCGCAGAACTGCGTCTACGACTACGACATCCCCACGCTCAAGCCGTGGGCCTACACCCTGCGGCACAGGCACTGCTACAACGCGTCGCTGCCGCTGTGGACCAAGATCGTGCCGGACAACATCAACGACGTGGACCAAGTCAAACATATCTACTTGGTCTCGCCCGACTACGTCGCCGCCCTCTCCTTCGACACCACCTTGCCCACCACTATCGTGAAGGTATGTGTTTGTGCCAGGCCGCGTGTGTCGTGTCGTGCTCGCCGTGTCGTGTCGCACGCTAAATCGGCCCTCGATTAGATACCACGCGGAGATGTACCGATGACATCGGTCGTGGGTGCGAGCTACCAGAGCAATGACGGCAACGACGACCAGCTCTACGTCATTCGCTCCAACGACTCGCCGAGCAAGCCCTCCGAGATTCTCAACTTCGTTGTCAGGACTGCAGAGCAGGGACCGGACCTGCGCTTCGGCCATGTGACCTACCTCGAGGGCGAGTCCGACACGCTGTTCACCAACGACAACTCGACGCAGCTTATGTGGACGCAGGTGGTGCCCAACTGGCAGAACACGGGCACGACGCAGGGCGTTCTGTTCGACTACAGCCTGCAGGCCCCGCGCTTCTTCCGCCGCGGCGAGCTCGACTTCAGCGGATCGCCCAACGTAACGACTCCCACGAGCTCACACGCACACGGATCACCGCACATGCACCACCGCACTCGCTGCACGCTCACGCGAGAGCTGACTATGGTGATTGAGTGACCGACAGGCGAAATGGGGGACGCACGCCTTCAGCCGGGTGCCAGGCGTCGAGGCGATGATGATCACCACGGCCAACCAGACCAACTCGGCAGGTGCAGTGGTTTGCTCAGTCATTTTGTGAGCGAGTGGTGTCTCATCAGCACTGAGTTAAATGTGTCGTTTATCGTGCAATATGCGTGCGCTGTGTTTCGCTTGTCCCAGGGTTCGATATACATGTGGTCTACCTCAATGCGGATCTGCCCAGCCTCTCCTTTGTCGATTCGCTCACCGTGACGGACTCCACACTGCCCTCGCTCGGCCAAGCCATCGGTACGCGTTTTCGTCTCCGTTAAACCACACGACACACACGACAGACGACAAACACGACCCACACCGCACACTCCGCACCGCATCACACGCGGCTGATCTGGCACTCGCCCGGCTATCAGAGTTCCGCGACAAGTGGGCCGACTTTGCGGCGATGATGGCCACGCACAGCGCCGATGGCTACACGTGCCTGCAGTTGTTCATCCACTGCATATCTGACCTGACCCTGTGCTACGGGACCATGCCGCACCCACTGTAGAGCTTCCACTTGTACAATTAATAAAAAGGATTTTGCTGACGTCACCTACGGTTGCAAACCACGTGATTGGACAGAGCCTGCTCTGCTGGGACGTCCCAGGGCAGCGGAAGAGGATCAACGGCGTATTGTGTCGGCAACAAATGAGGAAAGGATATGGAAGCGACCAACCAGCAGCCTAGTATGTGGGGGCACAGCTCACCGCTCCACCTACTAAAGGGCCCCCCCACCACCACCAGGCGTCATCTTCACCTTCTCTACCATCGACCACAGTAGTAGCACACTCAACAGCTCAACAACAACAAACGATGAAATCCTTCACCTTCGCCGCTCTCTTCGTGCTCGCCTGCCTGCTTGTGGCGTCAGCCCTTGCCGACTCAGGCGACAGCGAACGCCGCCCTGGTGGTTCCGGCGCTGGTGGCTCTCGCCCCGGGCCTCCAGGTGATGCTCCTGGTGGCGCTCCTGGTGGCACTGGTGGCTCGACCGTGGAGGAGGACGACATGGCCACCTTGTTCAACAGCATCAACGGAGCAAATGGCAGTACGTCCTTCCACCACGGCCTTATGGCGTGAGTGAATTCCTTCGCTCGCCTCATGCTTAGTGACTGACACACGCTCCTCCGGGTCAGTTCTGGGTCCGGACACGTTCTCCCAGCTCTCGGCAGCCACCAGCGGCCACAACGGGCTGGAGAAGCTCGAGATCAACCTGAACATCAAGGTCGTCCTCGTGAAGATCGGCGATAAGACCGTCAGGCTCTACTAAAATGAACACGCACTGTTTGCCAATGCCAATTCTCTCTCTCTCCTTCAACATCAGCAATAAAAACCACATTTCCACACTACTTATCTCTCTGTAATCCAAGTCCTTTGGGTGCTCCGGGCGTTATGGCGCCATACTGCACAATGATACAATGAAACAATTACATTTATGCAAGCTTCTTGCATGTCTCAGTTCCAGTTTGGAGGTCGTTGCCATGGCTAGTTCACGTGTGCCGGAAAACAATTGGGCGCCACGTAACCACGCACTCTTCGTTCGACTGTTCGCCGGTCGGCATGCGAGGAATGCCGCAAGAATGGAGGATCAGCGAATGCCCGAGAAAAAGAATGAAAGGGGCTGTCCAAAAGAACGAAAAACGACAGACGCAAGGTGGGGACGTGGTGGGCGACTTACGTGGTATAAAGGCAACCAGGTGAGGACCAGGCACAACTCACCAAAAGGCCAGAGAAACCAGCAAACTCGCTTTCTCACTCTCGGCTGAGCACATCAACACGCACACACACACTCGGTAGCCGGTCAAGCAAGCAAGCAAATCGATTCAGCTCTCCTCTCCGATCATCACTTTGCATTTTTGCCGATTTCCGTCAAGATGACGCTCGTTCTTTCGCGGCCCGCTACTCCTTCATCTCCTTCCCCGCTCCGCACTTCCCAATTCGCGGCCCAATTCAACCAGCGGCTGACGGCGATGCAGCTCTCCGCTGCGGCCGCGGCCACTGCTGCGGTGGAGGTCGCCTCCCACGGCGACGATGAGACGGCGCTGGTGGACCTGACGATGAACAAGATGACGCTCGATGAGGACCTCTCACCGCGCCGGAAGCGCAAGAGGTCCAATGCGGTGCTTGTTCGAGTGGAGCCACCCAAGAAGACGCCACGAGCGCATCGACGGAATCAGCATCGACCATCATCCCCGGTCATCGACGACGATGAGACGTCGACCGAAGTGGGAGATGAGAGCGCTACCACGACGTCTACCTCTCCTAGCAGCACCGTCGAGGAGCCGGTCTACTAATCGCAAGAGATTTTTGTGTAGAGCTACAAATCACCCCATTCACCATGTACACTACCGCCAGTGAGTTCCAGTGGGACTCACACTGAACAAATGTAAATACATCACAACCCCCCACCACTCGAGCATAGTGGCCTCTCATTTTGAAACACATCGCATTCCATTCAGTCAATCTTTCAACAATTTAAATTCCAGCATACTTTTCTTCGAACTGACTTGGCCATCGCAACGGTTGGTTGTCGGCCAGTGGCGATGCGCTGACGTCACCAATGGTTGCAGTGCGAACCACAAGAAGGACAGCCACAGAGGCGTACCGGGTGGCAGCGGCTATGGGAAGAGGATCATGCAGCGACGGCGTGGCCTTGATGAGTGTCGGCAACAAATGAGGAAAGGATATGGAAGCGACCAACCAGCAGCCTAGTATGTGGGGGCACAGCTCACCGCTCCACCTACTAAAGGATCCCCCACCCACCCCACCACAAGCTTACTATCTCCACCACCCAACAACCAGCATCAACACAGCACTGCTCGCCACAGAACATCACAATCAAGAGAATGAAGACTTCGCTCCTCGCCGCCCTGTTCCTCTTCGCCTTCCTCTTCTTCGCTTCGGCACTCGCCCAGCGTGGCCAAGAAGACGAAGGCGCCGCGGAAGTAGACCCTGAACTTGCCGAGCTCAACGCCTTCTTCAAGAACCTCATTCCCGGGGCCGACACCAGTACGCTGCCCCCTCCCCTGCTTCCCCCTGCCCTGGGAGGTGACTAAGACCTTTCCTTTCTCCGCTTCCTGTAGCGCTTGATGCAGATCAGTTGTCGCAGATCAACACTGCCCTCGGCCGCAGTGGTCCTCGCGGCGATGGCTCGAAGATCATCGAGGTCAACATCAACCTCAAGCTCCTCCTCATCAAGCTGGCCCACGGAGGCTTCGGCCTCTACAACAACAAGGACTGAGCCAGACGTCTGTGGACCGCACACGCACCTGACGAAAGTGATGAGTGTACACGTGCGTCCCATCAACAACATTAACAACATTTACATCAACATCAACAACAGCATTACAACGTCTCGCTTTCCACTCGCTCGGTCCTTCGTGGCCTCTCTATGGCGCTGGCGTGGTCGGCCGGGATGCAGGTAGGCGAACAGGAAAGAGCCAGGAAGGGCTCGGTCGTCAGTCCCTGCGACCAAGTCGCGTAGACCGTGTCCCAATAGGGCCTGCATGCGTCACATCGTTAGTAGAACCACACGGCGATTGCCAGAAGCACACGCACATCCCGCAGGGACACCTACCCGAGGCACACGGAGCACTGCTTTGCCGCGCGCAGGTAGTCGCGAAGCGTAGTGGGCAGGAGGACGTGATCAGCGTCGCCAGTGGGCAGGTTTCGCCTCAATATCGTTCGTCCAGCCAGCTCTTGCAACGTTGGCGGTCCTGCACACGCACATCGCACACACCGCACACGCCAGAGGTGAATGGCGATGAGCAAGGCGGGCATAAAGGGAACACGGGATCGGTGGATGCACCTGTTGGGAAGTGGGGCAGCGGAGGCAGCCCCGCGGGGAGCACCATCTCCTCGCCGGACGGGACGAGGGAGGTGTGGTGTATCTCGTAGGGAAGCCACCGCTGGCCGCACGGCGCGTACATGAAAGGCTCCAGCGAACGCAGCTTGCCCAGTCGTCCTATCTTGGGCGACAGACTTCGCAACTGTGTAGAGCGCAACCGTCAACCGTTAGATCGAGTGGTGCGTGTGTCGTGTGGTGTCGTGTGTGTCGTGTGTCGTGTGTCGTGTGTGGTGAGTGAGGGAAGTGCATGCTTTGGTGGCGTAGCATTCCAGGGAGACGAGGTTGGAGCACTTCCAAATGCCCTCAGGCAGTAAGGGCAAGTTGTAGTGAAGAAAGCTGGCCTTGACGATGCCGCGTGCGCACTGCCCAGCCCAACGGTTACGCTGTCCTCTTCTTCTCATTCTTGGGCAGACTCTGTGCGAGGTGGAGGGGAACCTGCTCGCGCTCTTCATCGACCATGGCCTCCGTTGTGTTCAAGAATCGTGCCCGCAGGCGATGCTCCACCTCTTGCTTGAACACCAGCATCCGACTGTGCCGCACCAGCTGAATCAAAAGAATTCAGATCATCCAGTCCAAAAGGTACGCGCAACAAGACGGTACATACGTCGAGGCGTTCGTCCTCTGTGAGTGGTGAGGCGGGTCGGTAGGGATTGCCCTCCGTCAGGTCCTCTTCCATGGTGCGATGAGATAAAATAATAATTTTAAATAATAATAAATAATAAATAATCAATAAACCAGCGAAATATTTTTTAATTTCTGACCGCGTCCGGGTCTAGGCCGTTCGGGCCTTCTTGGGCCGCTGCGAGTTGCCACCGGCTTGCTTGCCCTTGGGACCGCCACCGCCACCACCGGAGCGCTTGGGCTTGTGCTTGGCACCTCCGCTCTCCATCCGCTTTCGCTTCCGCTCCACGCGCAGCGCAGCGCCCTGCATGGACTGCATGCCCTGGTACGGCCGGCTGGTGGCTCCACCCTGACCCTGGTGGTAAACACACGCGCGTAAGTGACGAAAAAGGACGCGTGCGTTGGTGCGTGTGTGTGTGTCGTGGTGTTACCTTGAAATTGCCTTTGGTGGCGGGTCCTTTGAGGGCGCCCTGCTGTTGCTGGTGGTTGGAGGCCTTGAACACGCGGATCTGCCGACCCTGCAGCTCGCTCTCGTGGAGTGACAGCGCACCCAGCAGGTCGTCCTTGTTCTGTTGTTCGTCACCAGACAGACAGACAAACAAAAAACAGTCAATCCCTCTGGCACGACGTGCGACCGCACGCGCGTACGGGTGGCCTGGTGTGTGGTGCGTACCTCAAACTCGACAAAGCCAAAGCCTTTGCCCATGAAGGTGGCCGAGTCGCGCACGATACGAACGCGCTTGACCGTTCCGGCGGACTCGAAGTGACTTCGCAGCTCCTCGTCCCTGATCGCTGCACATCCGACACGTGTGAGCCAGTAAGCACCCAAGGCAACGACTGGGGCATGTCTGTCGTACAGAAAGGAAGGTTGCCGACAAAGGCCGCGCGGGCCATGTTCCACGTGGGCGCGTACGCCAAGTCGACACTGAGGTGAGCCACGCCGTCGCTGAGTTCAATCTAAAGGTGTGGTGCGTGGCGGCGTGAGTAGACGTAGGTGGAGGAACGCGGTAGCTACAGCGGCGGAGGAAGGAAATCTTGGAAGGAGCACCTTTGTGTTGTTGGCGGCGAGGGCCTTGAGGGCCGAGTCCTTCTCGGCGAACACGACGTAGACGTTGCACGTGTCGCGGTCGGGATGGAAGTGCTTGCCCAGGAAAGCAGCCTGATCACATCACAAGCATTTCAGTCTCCACACACGCACACACACGCACACACACGCACACACCTTCTTGTCGCCATTCTTACGCTTGGGGAAGGCGAAGGCGACCGATCGGAATCGGATGGACTGGATCTTGCCGTACGGGGCAAAGATTCGGCGCAACTCCTTCTTGGTCACGGTCACGGGCACGTTACCCACGAAGATGGTGCACTCCTTCTTCTTCTCGGCGTCCATTTCTCCTTCTCCATCCTCCTCCTCGTCTTCGTCTTCTTCGCTATCCTCCTCTGCCTCCACAGGCTCCTCCTTCTTTGTCTCCTCCACTTCTTCCTCTTTGTCGGTGTCGTCTTTCTTTGGCTTCTTGCTCTTCTTTTTGCTCGACTTGCTGGCCTCTTCTTTCTCCACCTTCTTGTTCTTGTTCTTGTCCTTGTCGTCTTCGTCCTTCTTTCGCTTACCGCTGGCATCTGCGGGCGAGCGATAAACAAACACAATTAATCAAATGCAGATTAAAGTAGTACAACTTGGACCTCGCTGGCCGTTCGATATCTGATTTAATTAAACATAATCTTGGGCGATGTGTAAACGATGTGGAGAAATGGGCGTACCAGCAGCGGCAGCAACGCGGGGTGAAGGAGGAGGCGGGGGCGGCGACTTCTTCTTCGCCGGAAGTGGCGGGGGTGCATTGAAGAGCGCAATGAGGGTCGGATTGACCGTCGATTCCTCCTTGGCGGCCTTTGTGGGCAGCTTCAGCTTGCTGCATGGTGGCCAAACAAAATTAATCGCGATCTATAAGCCAGATCTGAAGCGATTTTTTCTTGAAAAGAAGGCAAGAAAGAGAAAAGGCGATGTACCTTGACTTGGTGCTCTCCATTTTGTGTGATCGACGGCGTGCGTGTACGGAAGATGAAAATCTGGTGATTACCGCTTCCGTAAATTCCCTTCCTGGCGGAGTTGTAGTGCCACGTCAGCTGAGTTCACCCTTGTTTATTCTTTTTTAATCGATTAAAAAAAATCCAACACACAGATGTACTTCGCGAGTGGGTGGCCCAAGCGGTATCGCCACAGCCACGACGATGGACCGCTGCTCGCCCTTCAGCACAACGTGACGCGCACCCATTTTGTGGTGCTGTCGCCCCACTGCCTCTCCCTGTGGTCTGGCGGCCAAGTACGTGCTGCGCGATTCGATTTAATTTGCCTTTATTCGCGTATTTTACAGCACAAGCGATTAAATGGAGCTGAGATTAAAGAAAGGGCGATTTAAATATTTAACTTTAATCAAATTGTTTTAGGATTCGGTGTTGCTTGCGTCGGTGGCGCTGCCGGCTTCGCTGCGAACCAAGTACGGACTCAACCGGTCCGTCGAGTGGAGCGCGGACAGCAGCCTGATCGCCGTGCTCGTACATACATCCTCTTGTCACCCACACTTCTACGCAGGCACAAGGCTCACATCTTTCATCTCTCCCTCTGGCCGTGCAGCTGCAGAGTGGCCATATCTGCATGTATAACGTCGTGCTGGGCGAGCACAGTGTGCAGCTGCACGCCGACAGTTCGCTGTTGACCATCGGCTGTGCTGCCAGCCTCGGTACTTACCACTCACTCACACACACACCTGTTCATGTTCATCTGGTAAACTTGCGTTGTGTGTGTGTGTGTGTGTGTGTGGTGTTGTGTGTGTGTGTGTGTCGCGGGTGTGACAGAGTTACGCGCCTTGCTGCTCACACCTCACGGCGGAGCTGATTGCATGGCGCGCGGCAGTGGCGAGGTGCTCCTTCCCTCACACACGAACACCACCACTGGGCGCTTGTTGCCCCAATGGTTCGCATTCTCACTTTTGGTTGTCTTACTCCTCTTTGTGCAGAACGCCGGCACGCTGTTTGTGGTGACGAAGCAGGAGCACCTGTTGACCATCACCTGGTCGGGGCAGATCGTCAGCGACGTGCCCCTCTCCGGAGTCCCGTTCATCGAAGACTGCTCGTTTTCTTCTTCTTCTTCTCCTTCGGGCCACCACCAGCCTTCGCTCTCCTCACCCTTCAGCACCCCCACCAAGCAGCGCCTCACCTCTTCGTCTTCGTCTTCATCAGCCTTCGTATCTCCGCACTACACGCGATCGTCATACACGAATCTTCTGCTAGCCTCCTCAACTCCGACATCACCATCACCATCAACTCCAACACAATCACAACCACAATCACAGCCATCACAGCCACCAACGCCAACAGCTCCCGCTGCTGCTGCTGCGCCATCTTCGTCGGCAGCGACGGAAGCAGACGGACGACCGCACGAGCCGGTGGTGAGACACATTGTTTATAGCGAGGCGATCGGGGTCCTGGGCATAGTATTTACCGACGGGCGAGCGGCGCTGGTCTCTACGGAGAAGCAGCAGGGCGAAGGCAGCAAGCAGGTCATGCGCGGTCACTGGTTGCCCGCTGCCGAGCACGGGCAGGTGTTGCAAGGTAAATGTCATGTTTCACTTCCCAAACGTTGTTTGGTGCTTTGACTCTGTCCACTCACTTGCGCGCGTCGCTGCGCTTCAGCCGTGACGTTGCGATTCAACTGCTGCAATCGCTTTGCCGCTGTGGCCTACCAAAGGTACACGAGACACCGTTCTTTTATTGGCTCTGATTGGGCGCACATGAGCATGACGATGTGGGTAAACTGACCCACTTGGGCACTAATGCAGCGGTGAGGTCCGCCTGTTTGATATCTCGAGCCCGCGCTATCCCCTCTTCCTCCGAACAATGGCGCCCACGGACTTCGAGGGGTGCAAGCGAGGTATCGCACTCTGCTCCCCTCCTACACCATTATAGGCCGACATGGTGAAGCTTCCCTCACACACGTACACCACCGCACACATCAGATTTTGGTCCGGCCAGTGCGCTGGCCTGGACGCCAGACGGTCGTGCGCTCGCTGTGGGGTGGCTCGGTGGCGGGTTCGCCCTGTGGTCGTCCTACGGCTCGCGCCTCTGCATATCGCCGGCCAGGTACATAGTTGTGTGTCACCGTATCTCAAGTATTCTTGATTTATCGATTTCTCTTTGCGCAGTGAGAGTGCGCTCTGCGGCAAGGGCATCGCATCGTTGAGCTGGGGCCGAGAAGGCTATCGACTCTTCCTCACGTCTCCGCCCGACGATTCCACAGCTTCACCTGCCGGGTTCGAACAGATCAATTTTGTGAAGGCCGCTCACTTCGTCGAGATGCAGGCACGCGCGCGAACATGACACACGACACACACACACACACACACACACGAACCGACACTCACTTAGCCTTGCGTGCCGCGTCCCAACCCAAGGCCATGGAAGAAGAGCGGCTCGTGTTGTGGGGCGAGGCAGAGCTTCTGCTATACTGCCCGCACGAGCTCAACGAAACGATGAAGTGGCAACGCATTCAAGTACGTGCTTTTATTGTTGATTACTCCCACACTCCGCACTCTTTCTTTCTATTCTTGATGCGTGGGCTGGACTGATGTATGTTGTTTCTTCACCAACAGGTCCCGCAAACTTATATGACAGATAACTGGCCCATCATGGTACGTCAGGCGCATGTGCACGGTGTCTCCCACCACCGCACCACCGCACACCAAAGGTAATGATGTTGTTGGGTCCCGTAAGCATGTGGCTGTATCGCCCGAGTCGGGAGACGTAGCCGTCGCAGGCCGTCGAGGCGTGGCCATCTACTCCGCAGCTGTTCATCGCTGGCGCCTCTTTGGTGATCGCAGCGAGGTGCGTAGTGCCATGTGAAGCGCGCGTCGCCGAAACTTGACTTAACTCATTGCCCATCGACAGGAGCAAGAACTGGAGTGTCTCGGGATGGCCTGGTATCGGTCGTTGCTCGTGTTGGCCGTCAAGCGACATCCACACGAGTCCTACCAAGTACGGATTTTTTTGCATTTCTTATAACCTCAGGTGGTGTCTGCAGGGCGCCACTCACCACACGGCACACACACGCACACGCACACGGCACGCACGGCACGCACGACCAGATTTTGTTCTATCCGCGAAGGTATCTTTCCGCGCGTGCGCTCGTGCATCGGGTGAAGTTGTCTCCCAAGTGCGTGCCGCATCTGCTGGCCGTCAGGAACGACTCGCTCATCGTGCTCACGCGGTACGCTCGGCCTTTGCACACGTTACCGTCGACCGAGATCGTTCTCACCTCTCTCTCTCTCTCTCTCGTGTGTGTGTGTACGCCATGTATGAATACAGAGACGGCTTTGTACAGTGCTACCACCTCATGATCGAAGACGCGGAAACGATCAAGCCCTCGCTTTCGGCCACTCTCACGCAGACCATCGCCATGCCGGGTCTGACCGCCACGGCGCTGCCCTCTGCGCTCACCCTCATCCCACCGCCCTTCCTCACCACCCAGGTCTCCCCCTCCCCAAACCTGCACCCGATCTCGTCCGGCCCAACAACAGTCGCTCACCACTCACTACTGCGCACGACAGACCGGGGCTGCGCCTTCGGGGCCGGAACCGCTCTGGGCGCTGGTCAATTGCAGCGGCACGCTCCTGCTCACCAATCTGGCCTTTGGCATTCAGGTGAAGAGCACACCACCCGCACGCGCAACACTAACTTGAATGACACCGCTTTTGTTTTATATTTATTTATATATATATTTATTAATATCTCATTTATTCCTGTTGGGGGCAAAATCGACTCTTCTTATATTTTTTGCACTTCTAGTTTCTCACTGGCGAGTGGGCGCAGATTGAGATAGGTCAGCAGATCGAGGCGTATTGGTGGGTCACCTCACGCCACCTCCTGCCCCACATGGGCGACATGATTTGGACCCTAGGCCCCCATGGTCTTCAGGTGCGTGTCGTTGGTCGTGTGTCGTGTGTCGTGTGTCGTGTGCTTGCGTGCGTGCGTGCTTCCGTTGATGCGCCTCCTCCGCTCGTCCTGTGCTGCAGTACTCGTTTCCGTACAGCGAGGAGGGCATCATGCCGATCATCCGGCCGTGGCTTCCTCACAACGCCTCCGGGCCTTTGTCTCCCCGAAAAAACAGCGTCACGGTACTTTTTCTTTGTGATCTTTTCCCGCCGCGACCAAACGCTCACACACACACCACGCACACGCACCACGCACACGCACACACACACACACACCACGCACACGCACCACGCACACGCACACGCACACGCACAGGCGACCAAGGAGTACAAGCATGTGACGTTCGTTGGGTGGGAAGACGGAGTGTATCCGATCGCTGTGAGCAGCCACACGATGCTCGTGACCGCGCTCTCGCCCCAGTCCGGCTCCTCCTTCCTCAAGCCGTTGCCTTCCTTCAACTTTGAGACCAAGGCACCTACCCACATTCCTCGCTCGCACATTCCTTTCGCATTCCTTCGCTCAACTTTTCTATGTTCGGTTCAGACCCAGCCGTTCCTGCACAGCGTGGTGGCGTACCTGTTGCAGAGCGACAACTGTTCGCTTTACCAGGTCGACGCCAATGACGACGACGATGGCCACCCACCGGTCGACTTCCCCAAGGAGATCGCCGAAAGCAGCGATGATGACGATGACGATGACGACGACAACGACGACGACGACAAGGAGCATGATGGCGTTGACGCTGGCGACGTTGCTGGCAACGGCAACGATGTCGCGGCGAAGGCGAACGGAAGCAGCAACATCAACGGAAGTGGAAAGACGGCGACGATGAAGAGAAGCAGAAGCAGGATGAGGCGGCACGGGACGGAGGACCGGATGGAGCATGCCAAGAAGTACTACGCCCTCTACACGCTGTCCCGGCCCTACGACCGCCTGCCCCACTACAAGCACTCCCTCGAGCTCCTGCTCCACCAGGCTCTCCAGGTCAGCCCACACGCAACACCACAACACACACACACGACGCGCGCGCACACGCACACGCACACGCACACGCACCTTCTTGTCTGCTGATCGCAGGGCGCAGGAGGAGGAAGAGCGGGTCAAGGCTGAGAAGAAACGTCGGCGCAGGCTGAGCTTCGGCACGGCCGCCGCCAGCGCCACGACGCTGGCCAAGGTGGTGGATTTCCTGCGCGGCCTCGACGTGTTCCCCGAGGTCGTGGTCGGGTGCGCCCGGAAGATCGACCCGGCGTCGTGGGACCTCCTCTTCACCCACGTGGGCGACCCCGACCAGTTCTTCCACCACTGCATCGAGGCACGCCGCACCACCACCACCATGATGATGATGATGATGATGATGATGAGGATGATGATGACGACGACGACGACGATGACACACAGAGCGGTGCGCTGCACACGGCTGGCGGGCTGTTGCCGGTGGTGCGGTACGTGAGGGGGATGACCGCCGCGGCAATGGCCGCGCTGGCCTTGCTCGAGGCCACGCTCGAGTCGTGCGACATGCACCTCCTTCGCCACGTACGGACTCTATTCATGACACACGACACGCACGACACACATCAGGACGTGTGTTGGTTCTCATTTTTGATGGTCGTCCAGGTGGTTCGGTTTCTCAACATGCTGGTGTCGTGCAATCAAGAAGACGACGGGTATGGGGAGAGCAGCAGCGGCAGCGACACCATCAAAAACGACACAACTCACCCCAGGGATGACGCCAGCCTGCCGGGTACTCTACCAACCCAGAACCGTACACAAGACGCAACACCGATTGACCGTGTCGTGTGCCGTGTGTCGTGTGTCGTGTGTCGTGTGTCGTGTGCCGTGTGTCGTGTGGTCGTGTGGTCGTGTGTCGTGTGGTCGTGTGTCGTGTGTGTCGTGTGTGTCGTGTGTCGTGTCATGCGGACAGGCAAGGATGAGAAGACAGCGATGGAACTGTTGCTGGCCCGCTACGCACGCAAGCTGTTGATGAAGTACCGCATCCACGACCTCCACTACCTGTCCAAGGTGGTGCTGGGCAAGAAGATCGCCGACATCCTCCGCCGGGGCGTCAAGCGCACCCACTCCTCCGAACTCACCACCACCATCACAACTACCACCACCACGCCCACGGCCGCCCCACCGCCACCACCACCAACGCAGCCTATTGAGTCAACTCCGACAAGCACGCAGATCTCAACTCCGACGCCTTCGCGTTCGTCTTCGCTCTTTGCCTTCTTGTCGTTTGCCTCGCCGGCCCCTGCGCCGCCAGATCCGCCCGCCACGTCATCGCCACCGCCCGATGACGACGGAGAGCGAGAAAAGAGCGACGACGACGCCAGCTGCAAAGGCGAAGGCAGTGACGAAGGGGACGATCCAGAGGCCAACGGAAACGCAGAGGCGGCGGCAGCCGAAGAGGAGCCCCGGCCGGAGCCGCTGCGGAACATCATCAACTCGAACGACTTCAGATCGGCCCTGCTGGCGCTCCACCTGCAGTTCGGGGTGCCCTTCCCCCAGCGCTTCTCGCCGTCGCGCTACTTCACCCTCCTCTCGTCCCTCCACGCGGGCCTCGGCGAGGGCGGCATCGCCATGGGTACGCCGGCCTTCACCCCCCCCCTCTCGCTCACACCATCACTGACGCGTGCGCCGTGCGTGTCGTGTCGTGTGTGGCACTGCGTGTGTCGTGTCGTGTCGTGTCGCGTACAGAGCCGGTGCGGGACAGGGACCACATCGAGGTCCAGGTGGGGTACCAGAACGCCGTGGAAGACGCGATGATGCATCAGGTGCAGGACCTCCAGGCGCTCCTCGCGGTACACTGTCTTTTCTTCTCAGCCTTCTCCGACAGCCGACTCCAGCGCACTCACCGCACACGCACCACTGCACACGACACACGACACACACGACACGCGCAGGATCTCGAGGAGGCTGGGGTGGTCGAGTGGGCGGTGGTGGTGGCCACGGCGCTCCTCGACCTTCGGGCGGTCACGCGCCTGCTGCGCGAGTACCACGACCTGTGCCCGGCCTTCCACGCCATGCTCGCCTCGCTCACCTGGTCCGTCCCTACGTCCCCCCCCCTCTCCCCGTGCCCTCTCGTCCCCCCCCCACCCACGAGCTGGCCTACTCATCTATCGCGTCGCGTGCGTCGTGTGTGCTGTGTTGCGTGTTTTTTGCTGGCAAACTGGACACTATGCAGCAAGGGCTACGCAGAGTTTCTGAAGTGCGTCGACGCGGAACACGAGCCCATCTGCTCGTCGCTCCCGTCCGCGGACTCCTCACTCCTCTTCTCGCCGCAACCCTCGTCATCATCATCGTCGTCGTCGTCGTCGGCTTCATGATCGTCATTGCCGTCGTCGCCGTCGTCGGCCTAGTGGTACAGAGTGGCTAGTGGTCGTAGTTGACTAGTTGTCGAGGAGGGTGGCGCCGAACCGCTTGGCCTGCTCGAGGATGTTGTCGAGGGCCTTGTCCCGGTTGACGAACCCGCGAAACAGGACCACCTCGGTGTCGGACAGGACGAAGTGGAGCGATTTGCCGCCGCCCTTGCCCAGCTGGAAGATCTTCTCCTTGCGGACGTGCCTGACGTCCTTCAACCTGATGATCGTATCACCATCACCCTGTTGTTTATATTCATCCACCACCAACATCACATCACATCACAACACAACACAACACAACTTGTCATTACATCGCACACGCACACACAACAATACACGCACACACAACAATCGCACACGCACCACGGCACGTACCAGGATGCGGGAAAAGTGGGTGCCAAAGCAGAGGTAGTTGGGGGAGAGGTAGAGCTTGCCTCCCCGCATCTTCGAATCGAAACACGAATAACCTGGCATTGTCGTTCGTCGTCGTCGTCGTTGTCGTTGTTTGCGTGCATAACAAAAAGCGTAGTTGAGTGCCGTCGTCAGCCGAAGGTTTGTGTGGAGGTGGCGCACTTGCGATCAACGGCTCCGTGTCGGGAAGGCAGAATCGCTTCTGATAGAGCTGAGTGGAGTGGACGACACACGCGCACGTGTGAGACTGGTTGTGTGCACGCGTGTGAGGCGGTGCGTGTGACGGTTGGTCACCTGATCGTTTTCGTTGGCCTGTAGGCTGCGACTTGCTCGCACTGTGGATTGCTTGAGGTCGTCGACGGCCGAGTCGAGGTACTGGTTGAGCTTGAGCGCCTGCTCCTTCATCTTCTTGTTTTCGATCGACAGCTGTGGGCACAAGTGGGGTTCCGCTTCATCACGTCAATGCACGACGCCCACCACTGCACTGAACTCCAATGGTGTGTGCATTCACCTCGTTGTTGGATTCCTTGAGAAGCTCGTTCTCGTGCACGAGCTCCGCGATCTTTTCGTTGGACGCCACCAGCTCCTCGGTCAGCACCCGCCGGTCCTCCTGGATCAGCCCCAGCACTAGCGACAACAGTTGATTTGATATATTTTTCATTTAAATACTAATAATACTGATAATATCGAAAATGGGAAGCGAAAGCGAAAGCGAGAAAAGAGCGAAGAGTCAAAGGGGGGGGGGCGCACGTCTGACTTTGGCTTTGAGTTTGGAGAACTCGGCGAGCTGGCTCTGGAGTTGGGTGTGCTCCTCGCGCAGTTTGAGGAACTCCCGGCGGAGGACCTGCAGCTTCTGTTGGTCGCTCAGCCTCTCGCCTTCTCCCCCACAGGTGCCGCCTCCTCCACCTGCCGTGCCCTCCATCACCCCACACGAGGTTGGCAGCCTTCTGCAAGCCGTGAGAACACAAGCTTGAGTGGACCTAGCATCTTCGCCATTCGTCCATCTTTATGGCAATTAGGCACAGCCAATCAGCGTGCACTTCAGGCTCCCCGGCAGGATGTGAGGAATGTAGTGTTGTTGGTTGTTGTTGTGTACAATCGGAGGGGAACGGTCACCGTGACTGGCTCGGTTGACGCTCGCGCTTCCATTTGTTGATGGTGTCCCGCGCGATGTCGGGCGAGTCCGAGAAGATGATCTCCACCCCCATGTCCAAGCACTCTCTGCGCGCCATTTGTAAAAGAAGCGACTGAGTTGTGTGCGCGTGTGTGCGTGCGCGTGTGTGTGCGGCGCGTGCGCGTGCGCGTGTGCGGACGAACCTGATCAGGACAGGGTCGCTCATCTCCACGCCAAAGACGGCAAACATACGACCCGAGTGCCGCACGTCGCGGACCAGTCTGTTGTTTGGGCGCCCACCCACACATGAATACAGTAACGTTAATGTAATTGGTGAGCACAATTCAAGATGCGACCCATCGAGCCCCGGTGTCCATGGAGGCACGCGCACCGTTCATTGACGAGCCGGCCGCCACCGCCCAACAGCACGTACTCTGCCAGTCCCAGAAGCTTGCCCTTGATGCCTCTGAACGGAGCGTAGTGAGTGCCAGTTATGTGAGCGCGCGAGTGGCACGGAATGTATGGTATGCGTGCGTTGCATGCGTTGTGTGTGTTGTGTGCGGGGGGGGGAAGAGAGAGAGAGAGAGAGTGGCACCGTGGGGGTATGAAGGCGGACAGGGAGGCGGAGTGGATGATGCCCACAACTTCGTGCTTGTGCGGGTAGAGCCAGAACAGGCGCAGCCTCGACAGAAGGTTCATGAAGAGCACGGACACCACGTCCGGCCCCACAGGGATGCCCTCGGGCTTGAGTCGCCGCACCGCTTGATTCGGGCCAGGCGCCACCGACCCAAAAATAATCCTGAAGTGGTCTTGCGGATGAGCTCGACACGACACGACACGACACGACATGACCCGACACGAAAGGAAAAAAGGGACCTGTTCTCGAGCTTGCGCTCTTTGATGAGCTCGATCGTCTGCGCGACGGCGCCGGTGTCCTTCATGTCGAGGAAGAAGGTGACGTCCGCGCAGCCGGCGAATTCGTCAAAGACCTCCTCGAGCGTCGGAATCTGGAACAGTCGGGCTGCCCGAAGGGGGAAAAAAGAAATACATATACAATCGAAATAATAAATAATAAATATAAATATAATATCAAAACAATAAACGGAGGAGCGGGCAACGGTACGATCGTCCATGGAGCCGTCCGTAAGCGGCTGGATGGGAGTGTTGCGCTTGCGGAACTTGGCTCGGGCGTCGAGCTTCTTCAGCTCTTCGAGCGTGTATTCGCCGACCTACACACGACACGCACCACACACACACACACACAAGAAAGCTCTGTGAGTACGACTGATGTGCATGCGTGTGAGGTGTGGATGTCGGAGACGAAGACAGAGTTGACGAGAATACCAATCCCTGGCCGTTGGTCGTGCGATCGAGATGGGCGTCGTGCACCAGGACCAGTTGCTTGTCCTGATCCGAGTTCGGTAAGTGTGGGAGGTGACCAACGTGTAAAGGCGCATAGGCTTTAGATCGAACCTTGGTCAAGCGAACGTCGATCTCGAGTATGTGCGCTCCGCACTCATACACCGACCGGCGATAGCTGTAAAGCGTGTTCTCGGGTCCAAACGGATAGCCGCCCCTGCTCCACAGATGCCAGCCGTGAGTAATATCGGCGGTTTTATGTATTATTTATTGTTTAATTGATGAGAGGAATGAATGAAAACGAAGATTGAGCCTGCCGTACCCCCGGTGTGCAGCGACGACGGGCTTGTGGCGCTCTACCATGCTTAGGATACCCTCATTAATGTGCGGGCGCCATCTCCACCATCCATTTCTGGCGAGCAACACCACGACAAGCATCATCAGGCAAATCGCCGCAGCGACGAGGATGAGCCAGTGGACCATTGTGCGTTGTGTGTTGTACTGTGCTGTGCCTCTGTTTGCAGCTGCACCTTGCACGCGTGTGTTTTGGTGCCGTGCTGCTTGCGTGGCAGGCGCAATAACGCCCCGAGAAATGGGAAAAAAAGAAAAAAAGAATCAAACAGTACCTGCGTGCACGTGCGGTGGGTGGTGCTGGTGGCCGGCTCTGTGGGCAGTTGGTGCCGACCATCAGTATGCCAGCCCTGCGACGTCCATACTCACACGCCTCCCGCCTGAGCAGAGGCCACGTAGCCACCTTGCGTCACGCAACTTTTGCGCATGGCAGATAAAATGCATTTCCTCAACTCGGCGCAAAAGAAATAGAAAAGAAAATGGCCGAGATCCAAAAAATGCACGTGAAAAAGTCCGGCAACGTGAACCGAAGGAGCGGCTGTTTGTACTGTTGGTGTCGTCCTGGAGATCACGAGGTTGCATTGTTCGAGTTCGAACTTGCTAGCAAGGTAAATGATTTGAGCCCCTTCGGTTGAGCTTTCGTTTCGCAACGGCATACGGTGGAATGGGAGGGGGGCGAATCCTATCTGGGATCTATCGTAATTACACTTCATTTTTCTAATCTTCACACCTGTCCACTAGGTGATTGCCATTGGATCGAACGCGAAGTAAGCGAGGAAGCCTCCGAGATTCGATCACATCAGTAGCGCGGAGAATTTCAGGATAAAATGGAAAGCAGCCCAAAGGATTCGAAGAAGGCGACGCCAACACGCAAGCGCAGCAAGACCAACGATGCTGATTCCGCATCGCCTCTGAGCGATTCCGAAAAGGAGATCAACATAGCCGAAGATGGCGAAGCGAAGAAAGAAGAGGCGAAGAGTCCTTCCTCTCCCTCGGCCAAGAAAAAGAAATCATCCAAGAAGAAGGAGAAGACGCCTGCTGCGGCTCCCGTTGTCTTGGAAGACAAGGAAGAGAAGGAGGAGGTGCCAGCCGCGTCTATCGTGTCGCCTCGCAATGAAGAGAAACCAGCCAAGGAGCCCGCCGAGGCTCTCGTCTCGCCCAGGGGCTTCACGCGCAAGCGATCTGACACAGTGCTCAGCGATTTCGAGGATGTCTTAGATGTGGCCGACGAAGAAGGCCTCACGGACGACCAGGTACCCTCCTCTCCCCCCCCCCCTCTCCTCTCCACGATGCAACCTCTCGCCTCTGCAGCGCTTTCTACGAAGGCTGCCCTGCGGCTAAATGACCCACGGTCCTCGTGCACGCACAGGTCTACATCACGAAGGTGATGCGTGGTATCCGCAAGGGAGCTATGTACGGCGAGACGCTGGGCAAGCTCCAGAGAGATGAGAAGGAGCTCGAGATGATGAAGGACGAGGATCGCGAGCCCATGGGCGTCCTGGGCTTCATCCGTCGGGACTACAAGGACAAGGTGCACCTTCTTCCCCTCTTCAGCAGCGGATGACGTCGCTTGCCTGTAGCGTGCGGCTTACGCTCGTCTCTCTGTATGCTCCCATTCAGGTGATGTTCAAGTTTAACAGTCCTACGCCTGCCGGTTCGAGGATTCCGCTCATGAAGAAGGACAAGGTCGTCATCATGACCGACTACGCACCCAAGATCTTCAACAACATCAGGTTCGTTGAACACATACACTCCCCGCTTCGCTCTTTCCTTCGTGCTTGCTCTGTTTAGTGCGCAACACTGGTGCTTCCGTCATCTATTCGCTCATCGCGTTACGTTCGTTGCCAATCGAACAACAGAAAGAAGTGCAACGTGCCGACTGAGGACTACCTGAGGGCATGGACCTTCCCCAAGGACAACCTGCCCTCGCCCAACCTCGGCGCAGGTAGGAGCGGTTCGCTTTTTGTCAGCTCCTCCGACTCCCGCTTTATTTTCAAGGTGACCACCGACCTCCGCCTCGTCTTCTTGCTTCTCTCTTGTTCTGTATAACTGACGCAATCGTTTCCCTTCTTCAACAACCGACCAGACCATTCCCGAGTTTGAGGTCGAGACGCTGTTGGAGATTCTGCCCTCGATCCACCAACACTTTGTGGACCACCCCGAATCCAGAATCATCAGGTCAGTGATCTTCTGTCGCTACACTTCTGACTCACGCACTCACTCACTCACTCGTACTCTCTCGCTGCATCACAGGTTCCTCGGTCTGCACCACTTCTATGATACGATCACGAAGGAGGAGACCCACTGCATCGTGATGAACAACCTTTTGCTTCATCCCTCCTATGCCATTGACGAGAAGTGGGATCTCAAAGGCCGAATTCCCAAGCCTGGTACGCACTCGTGCTGGAAACCTGTGCTGCTGGCTGGCCAGCCGCACGTTTTTAGCTGCAAGTGTGCCTCACGCCGTTGTTGCTTCGCCTTTCAGGCAAGCAAGGCCGTTTTGCGGACAAGGTCGACAGATCGAAGAAGGTGCTCAAGGACAACGATCTCCTCGATCGGTACGCTGGACAGATCAAGAGCCCCTGCCATGGAGGATCATTGTACCACTTGAGCAACTCGAGCTAACGAGCACCTACTCAGGCGATTTCACCTCTCCGAAGAGGCCAGGGACGAGCTTCTCAGAACGCTGACTGCTGATGTCGAATTTTTGAAGGAGCACAACTGCATGGACTACAGGTGCGTCGCTCCGCTCCGTTCCTTCTTTTCTTGTAACGATTTCCTAAACAACCTCCCGTTCCTTCCCTGGTTTGGTGAAATGTCGCAGTTTGCTGGTGGGCGTTCATTTCCTGAGCGAGGCCGAGAATGCCGTTGAGGTGGCGCACGACAGCGCGGAACAAAAGGCCAAAGAGGAGAAGAAGGCCAAGAAGAGCAAGAAGGGAAAGAAGAAGAGCAAGAAGAACGTTGACGAGCGAGAGGCAGAGGCGGAGGAAGAGGAGCAACCGCAGCCGCAGAACGACGCACACCCGCTGTTGGAGGGCGTCATGGGACCCATTCACAGCGACCCCGCCTTCGTCAAGGAGATCTACTTTGTGGGCATCATCGATCCACTCTCGCGGTACAAGCTCAAGAAGAAGGTCGCCCACTTCCTCAAGGAGATCATCTGGGACGCCGACACCCTTTCTACCGTACGTTCACTTCTTTCTTCTCTCGCCCGCCCGCCTGCGCGTGTGTGGTGTGTGTGGCGTTGCGTGTGCGGTGCCGCCTGACGTTTTTTTCTTTTCTTTTATTTATTATTTAGGTGCCGGCCGATTATTACGCCGAGAGGTACACCCGGTACCTGGAGGAGATATTTGTACACCGCCAGCCGGGTGGCGAGGCCGTGGCTCCGGCTGCGGCCGCTGCCCCCGTGCCTGCCCCCGCCGAAGTCGTCGTCGCCGCCGCCAAGGACGAGAAGGAGGTCACCCCCAAGCCCGAGGCTTCGTCCGAGGAGAAGGAGAAGAAGGGAACGCTCAAGAAGAAGAAGGCCAAGAAGGACAAGGAGGACGCCGTCGCCGCGCCGGCCGCGGTGGTGGCCCCCGAGCCCGTCGTGGTGCTGGTCAAGGAGGACGCCGAGGAGGCGGCGCCGGCTGCTATCGTGGTCGACCCGACGGCCGCGGAAGTGGAGATCAAGATCGGCGAGGAGCCCTCTTCGCCCATCGTCGCCGCTGCCGCCAGCAACAAGGACGGCGGCAAGAAGAAGCCAAAGAAGTCGAAGAAGCCCAAGGCTGCTGCCGTCGTAGCGGCAGCGGAGAACGGAGAGAGTGTAACAACACCATCGTCATCGTCTTCACCTTCGTCTTCGAGCACGACGACGCCAACGACTGCGCCGGCGACGAGTAACGGCGGCGCGGGCGCGGAGGTGGAGATCAAGATTGAGGGTCCGCCCAAGAAGGAGAAGAAGAGCAAGCGGGACGGCACGCTCAAGAGGGAGAAGAAGAGCAAGTCCAAGGACCAGTAACGTAACAGAAAAACAAAAGTGTCTTCTTCTTTTTGCAACCCTTATTCAACACGTCAACACCATCAACATCTACACCAACACCATCATCAACGTGGTCTTAGCACCTCCCAAAATGGTTTTTGGAAGGATGACGTACAGCACCGTAGGAGCGTCACCTTAAGGTCTGCCAACCATGCTACCAACCAGGCCACAGTGTTTACGTAACAGCGAGTGAAGAGCATGCAACACTGAGGGGGGGGGGCTCTTGAGGGGCACAGCTACCCCACGACTACAACTAAGATTGCAAACCTCTCTGCCAGCGCTAAATAGAGTTTTGTCTAAATAGAGTTCTTCATTCGTGATCAATCTGCGGCAAGATTCGTGTAGTGGAGGACGAGGAGGTCATGGAGTGGACTGGCGGCTCCCCGAAGAAGCGGAAGGACGAGGCGACAGGCCTGGCCGTCGCTGCTGGGGTCATCGACCAGGTCGGTCTGGTCACGCTACACAAGAAGCCCCGGGTCAACGAGGCGCAGGTAACGACGCGTAAGAAGGTTGAGGAAGAAGGCGATGGCACCGAGAGCGTCACCACCGCCTTGTCGATGCAAGCGAGCACCCGCATCGACGCACCATCGCCACCTTCGCTGCAGCGACCACCTCGGCCAGAGGACGAAGCAAACGACGGAGGAGGCGCACGGGAAGTGGTGGAGGAGCTGACGACCGTGGCCGAGCTGGTGAAGAAGGGCGGCAGCGGGATGCTGGTGCGACGACCTGCGCTGGGCCATCGGCTCGCCGTCTTCTGGCGGTGCGACCGTCCCTACGTACTCAACGACGCCTGCCCGCACCGAGGAGGTACCATCATCGGAGTGTATCGTCGCGTTGATGAGTCTAGTGACGATGTGATGGTGTTGACACACAACAGCTCCGTTGAGCGAGGGCGATATCGAGGACCTGGTGGTGGACGACGAAGATGAAGATGAAGAAGACGAAGACGAGGACGAGGAGGAAGCGCGGGCGTGCCCGGCCCGACGAGGAGTTGAAAAGGTGGTGCCCCACGTTGTGTGCCCGCTGCACTACTACAAGTACGACCTTGCCAGCGGACGATGCCACGAAGGGTGCGTTCAGATGACCGGTGGTGCTGTGTGTCGGTGGAGTGTGTGCACGTGGAAAAAGGCTAACATGCTGACATGCTGTGCCGGAAAAGTGGTGATTGGAGCGAGTCGCTGAAGGTCTACGAGGCCTGGGTGGAGGGAGACAGAGTCATGGCCAAGCTGCCCTGCCTGCCGCCCATCAGCGATGACGACAACGACGACGAAAACGACGACGCTGAGCGTTGAAGAAAAGAAAATTCCACGCGTTCACACCTCGATATGGGAAGGTGCTGTAAATGTGGACAGATAACTAAAGGGACGCAGTCGCGTTGGAGGCTGTTCCTAGGTACGGATTCGGGCGAACTGGGCATGGCGCACGCCGATATGGTGATAATGGGAACATGCAGGTGGTCTGTACTATCGGTCTTGAAAAGGTGTGTGGCCAATCTCAATCACATAACTCAAGCCAGACCACGGTGAGTTTGCGCAGAGAGTATGAAGCCTCCCCCACCCCTCTGAGGTTTCGTGGGCTGTTGGGTATCTGGGCCGTCCTGCTGGCCGTGAGTTCGACCCTCACCATCGCCGACACCCGCAAGGGGTTCGCAGTCACCGGCACCGTTTCCGGCGCCTGCATTATTGTGCGCCACCCCCCTCATCCTTCTAAGAAAAGGAAGAAGAAGAAGAAGGCCACTCCACAGCATACACCTACTGTTTGTTTCTTCTTACCTCGTTCTCCTGCAGGCCGGCGGAGCCATCACACTTTTAGCCGAGCTGTTTCTGACCCGCACCTATAAAGTGCGCAGAGCTAAAGCCAACCTGATGAAGCGCCAAAAGATCATGATCTTCTCTACCCTCCCCATTATTGCCGGTGAACCATCATCAACAACCACCTTCTTCTTCTTCTTAAAACCTCTAGAGTACAGAATCCCCATGTGACCTGGTGGTTGGTGTTGATGGCGGTGGTGGTGGCGCAGGTGGGATCGTCTATACGGTCGGCTACGCGAGGAAGATACCCGACCCCGGTTCCAGGGGCGCCAGCATCATCGCCACCATCGGCGCGGCGCTGGTGCTGTACGGCCTGCTGATGCGGCTCTTCATCATCCAGAGCACCAAGAGCAAGGGCTCCACGGGGCGTTTCCTCAAGCTGACCTCCATCGACCTCTACGTGCTCGGCGCCGGCATGTTCGTCTTGACCAACGCCGTCTACATCGTCGGTATACGTCCACCTCCGCACACAACGAGACTTCATGAGTGGCTGACCCATCAATCATGCCCTGGCTCGCAGGAACGAGGAGCTCGCTCAGGTACGGAGGCACGTTCGGTGTGATCGCGGGCGGACTGTTCAGCGCGGCCTCGTTGTTGTTGGCCCTGGCCCTTCTCTACGACCTGTTCGCCCTGAGAAAGGGGGGCCTCCGGTCCCGGTTGAGGGCCGGTGAAGGCGAATCAGCTTAGTTTTGTGTGGCAACACAACGCAACCACCTTGCTTGAAGCCAACAACAACAACAACAATACTAAAAAAGGTGTTTTGTCAAGCTTGATTGATAGTTGATGATGACGATGATGACGGATGGTCATGGTGTAGAGGGATTGGAAGGTTCCTTGCTGAGAACCGGGTGCAAGCGAAAAGGTTCAGGCGTCGGCTCGGGCGCCATTGAGCAGCAGCTCCTTCTTCTCGGCATCCTTGGCCTTGACATTGTACAGCAGGTGAGCCTGCATAGGGATGCCACACATTGATAACGTGAGCATGTTTATTATTTATTATTTGTTGTATTAGTAATTAAAGCAAAAATGAAAGCGAAAGCGAAAGCGAACCTGGTTGGCGTGGGTGATGGTCACGGTGCCGACGGCCATCATCCAGGGCTCGCCGTCAACCTGGGCCGGCAGGGGATGTCTCACGGTCAGCGTGATCGACTTACCCTGCGCCAACCGGACACCCCTGATACACGCCGAACCCACATAAAAATGGGGTGGTCAGTCAGCCGCAGACCACCAGCATCAGCGAGGCGAAGTGGCAAGTCAGCCTGACGTACTTTCCAGCCGAGGTGTGCGTCTGGATGCGGGCGAGGTGGAGGGCACTCTTCAGGCCCAGCACCTCGATCACGCCGTCGTTGATCGCCGGGTCCTTATACTTTATTTAAAAGAATAATTGTTTTGTATTAGTACAATTAACAAAGAAATAAATACCCGTGCGTGTGCGTGTGCGGTGGCGCGTGTGCGGTCGTGCGTGTGAAAATATGGGATGGTACCTGGGCTTCCCTCTTGTTGCCCCATGGCTGGGTGCCGCTGGCGTAGGAGGGCATGTTGAGCACCAGGATGCCGCGGACCTTGCGCGGGATCTTGATCTCCTTCCCGTCCACCTCCAGCAGCACGGAGCGGCGGATGGCGCGGTGGGGCTTGAGGATCGTCTTGGCGCCGAGCGCGCTGTACCACCCTGCACAGTCATCGTATGAAAAAGAAAGGCGAAGCCCGGATTGGAGGCGTGATCAGTGTGACGCTTCGGAAGGAAATAATAATAAACAAAAATAAACAATATATATATATATATTATATAACACACACACAAAATACAAGTTCGCACCCTTGTTGACCAGCTGAGACTGGAAGAGCTTGGTGTTGGCCTCCCGCATCTTGTGGAACGACAGAGCAATCTCCGCATCGACGCCTGAAATAAAATAATCAATAATGTTAATAAGAAAAATAAAAATATATAAGAATATATAAAAAGTTGATGGGACCATCAAGGAGGGAAGTACCGATGGAGAAGTAGTTGTTCATGATGTGGGTCTGGGCCTTGGGTCCGTCCTTCAGGAGGTGGGTGAGGTCCACCTCCTCGGTGTCCGGCTCGGCCTCCTTGCCCTTGCCCGCCGACACCTCTTCGTCCTCGTCCTCATCATCCGAATCGTCTGACTCCGAATGGTCGCTGTTTAACGTTCCAATCACGTGCGGGGTCAGAACATGTTATAACATCATGAAATCAACATATAAAAATAGGAAAATAATATAATAAGATATAATTTCATGTAATGTAATATATATAGAGAGAGAAGAGTGTATTGAGGCAGTTTAGGTCAGAGGGGTGCGTTACGTCGAGTGGGCCTTGGCGATCTTGGCCTTGGTCTCGGTGTCCGACTCCTGGAGCGGCTGCACGTCGACGAGCCACCTAGGCACACGCCAAACGTGAGTGGAATGAACGCGTTCGAGTTCGAACTCGGCTTGCGTTGTGGGCGTACCTGTCGAGGAGCATGGTCTTGGCCTTGGCGAACTTCTTCATGAGCTTCTTGAGGTCTTCGCCGCTGTAGCCGCCGCCCCATCCGAACACGCGCGCCAGGTCGTTACCGGTGCCCAACGGAATCACGCCCACCTGCACACACCCGGCCGTGAGTGAGTGGATGTCCAACATTGCATTGCGCTGCGCCTTCTTGACATTGTCGCAACGCACGACACACAGCCAACCGCACACGCACACGCACACGCACGCAGCTTCGCAGCAAAGTCATACCACGGGAGGAGCGCTGTCGGTGAGCTTCTCGGCGACGGAGAGCACCCAGCCGACGGTGCCGTCACCGCCGCACACGACCAGCTTGTACCGCTCGGGGTCCTCGGCCCACTTCTGCACACTGCATTGCAACCCGTTGGTCGCACAGGGCCATCGTCACGTGTGTGAGCTATGTGCGGAATGCCGCACGTGCGGGCGCCACCGCAACGGGTGGGCCGTGGTAAGGGCCGGAGGAGACGCACGCTGCTTCGGGACCCTCGGGAATCAAACCGAAGACCTGGTCCTCGGGGAGGATCTTGTGCTCGGCGAACTGCCAAAAAATATGAATAAAATGAATAAATAAATGTAATATTATAATTAGATTATATAATTACTATTTTTTATTCTGGAATGTGCAACAGTTGCCCGGGGCGGTACCTTGGCGAGGAGTTCTTTGCCGCCTTGGCCGCCACTCTTGGTGTTGACGATGGCGATCCAGTCGGTTCCCGCTGGATACGAAGAGCCGCTGCTGGAGCTGTCCAGCAGCGCCTATCCAACACAACACATAACGTTAACATTCTGCAACTTCATAATTCTACATAAACGATGCAAAAAAGAGCAAAAAGAGGGACACACCTCGCCCTTCGTGTAAGATTCAATCTCCTTACCGCTCATCTTTTCTTGTATGCACACAACAGTTGCGCCTTGGTACGAGCTGTTGGCGTTGGTACGGTAGGAAAGCAGAATAAACTAATTTATCCGTCTCCCGCGGGTCGTCGGCCACGGCGGCCGTACGGCGGCAAAGTCGGCGAGGCTGACGTCAGCCCGGCGGCTTGGCTGCTGACGTAAGCAGCTCAGAAGCTTCAAGAATCATCCAAAGAGCAGCAACTTACCCCATCAATGAAGCCTCGATTAGCGGCAAATTTGTTCATTATTCTAATCGTGCTCAATGAGGTAAGCTTGCCTTGCGCAGGCGTTGTGTTTTGCTGGGTGGCAAGATAAAAACAAATCTAATCAAAATCGGATTGCAGCTGCTCTTCGTCTTCTTGACCCTGGGCAATCTGTTCATCTTCCTCGGGGACGATCATGACACCGCTGCAGAGGTCGTCTACATCGCCCGCATGCTCTGGACCAGTGTAGGGTAAGAACCTTGCCCCTCCTCATTTGAACCTATTCCTCTGCTGACTCTACTCCACCACCACCACCATCTCCATCTTCACTACCAGCCTCTCTTCGGTCATGTGCGTCGGCTTCCTCTTCGGCGACGTCAAGTTTGGCACCGGCCTGGTAGGACATCACCATCTTCTTCTTCAACAAAAGAGTCACACACACATGTCTCGCTCCGAAGCGCTAACTGCCACCACTGCTTCACAGTTCGCGCCGATGATGACGATGCTCGCCATTGGGATGCTCGCCAACGTGTGCATCGACATCACAGAAGTACGGAGCATCACAATGTCTCCAGCAGCAGCAGCAGCAGCTAGCGTCTTCCTTTCTCACTGCCTCTTCTCCAGTTGGCTGATGTGTGGCAGTATGACGCTGACGATGAGATCGCCGTAGCAGACTTCTTCCTGACTGACCTCCTGTCATTCACTTTCGTGGTGCGTAGAAACATGTCCCTCTCTCTCGCTTGGTCGCACCTACTACTCCGTTGGTCTTCTCACACTCTCACGCTCCACACCACCCACCCACCCACCCACCCACCACACCATCATCAGTCTCTTCTCGCCGTTTTCACCTACAAGAAGCAAGCAGAAGCCGAGGAAATCGTGGCCTTCTTATCCGGCTGCTCGTTTGGTACGCTACAACGAACGACGAGCTACCTCGAACAACAAAAACGACACACGACACACGACACACACGACACACACGACACACACCTCGGTCGATGAGCCGAGCTAATGAATGCATTGGTGCAGAGGATGCGTGGTCCTCTTGCGCTGATTGCTTCCGGCTTCGCTACGTCGAGCGCGTGCTGCCACCGCTGCCCTCCTCGGGCGACGAACCAAATGGTGAGCGCGGCGGACTGCGAAACCGATGGTCGCGCCTCGACGAGCGCGAAGCCAGCCGAGAGAACGTCCTCGAAGACGAAGACCAGGGCCTATGAAACCCTGTGGACCTTCCCCCCCCACTCCACCCGATGTACACACAATGTCACTTTCATAATAAGGAAATGAAGGAATGTCGCAAGCTCGAAATTTACTAAGCTGCCAGAGCGAGATTTCGCCGGAAGGACAATGAAGTCCAAGTCGTCGGCGGTCGGGCAGAACAGGCCGAGGGTCAGGCCGAGGGTCCGTCCGTTCTGGTGGCCCATTTCTTCTGTGGCCCATTTATCGAAACCAACAATCCCAAGCTCACACCACTCGAACAAACACCACCCAAACAGCCGAACAAGAACCGAGAGAACAGAAGAAGAGAACGAAAGCGATGGGTGGCTCGATGGCATGCTTGGCTTTGATGGTAGTGGTCCTACTGGTGACCACTGGCTTCGGAGCCAAGGGGCAGGCGACGGCTCAGGAACAGTTGTGCCCGGCCAACTGGACGCTGGTGCGGCTAGACGAGAACAGCTCCCTCCGGCTCGGGTCCAACATTCGCTTCGGCCCTGACAACGCACTCTCGAACTCCACGTACATTCACCCCCCCCCCCCAATCACCTCCTTTCAGGATTGGGAATTCACCAGGTCGTTGTTGAACCACGCAGTGCGTTGGGCGACGTGGTGGTGTTGGGGTCGAACAATACGGTGGCTCAGACGGCCATCGGCTCGTTTTCGATCGTGGGCAGCAGCAACTACATCGCCTGCTCCACACTTTCGTCTGGTACGGGCCTATTCCACAGCTGGTGCCACCAAGTGGAATGCTCACCTTTTTCGTTCTTTTTCGTTCACCTTTTCGAGCCCAGAGGCTCAGGTCGGCCAGGGCAACTCGCTCACTTCGGTCAGGTTAGGCGGCAAGTCTCTGCTCGGCAGCGACAACCGTCTCTCCAACTCTTCCTTTGGCAGGTAAAAAGTCACCACACGCACACGCACACGCACACGCACACGCACACGCACACGCACACGCACACGCACACGGCACGGGGCACGACACGACACGACACACTCGCTGACGTTTTGTCCGCATTCAGCCTGAACGTGCTACTGGATGGTAACGCCTTAGATTCAGCTCTGTTGAGGGACAGGAACGTGATCGGGGCCAACAACACGATCGCCCAGAACAGCCAGGTGCTGGATCGCAACACGATCGGCAACGCCAACGCGATCAATGCGACGGGGATAGGCCTCAAGAACCAGCTGGGCGACCACAACGCCCTCGCGCTTGCCACCCTTCTTCGCAACAACGTAATCGGAGCGCAGAACATCATCACTGGCGGCACCACCCTCAACGACACAAACATCGTGGGCGACGCCAACACCCTGACGGGCGCCACGTCGCTCGGCACCCGCAACAGGCTGGGCGCTCTCAACCGACTGAGCAACGCCACGCTGGGCCGGGCCAACTTTGTGTACAACGACAACGCGATCAACCAGTCGACGCTGATCGAGGCCAACACTCTGGGTTCGCGCAACGTGCTCAGCGGCAGCGCGCTTCTCGACACCCTCAACCGCATGGGCGACAGCAATACAATCCGAGCGACGCGGGCCGGGCAGGGCAACAAGATCGGTAGCGGCAACGCGCTGGCCGACTCGGTGCTGGGCGACAACAACGTCATCGGCGACTACAACGTGCTCGAGGGGGTGACTGTCGACCACAACGTCACCATCGGCAACGGCGACTCCATCCAGCGCGGCGCCACCATCGGAGCCGACGTATGCATCAAAACACGACACGCACGACACACGCGCACTCACGACACACAACTCACGGGGAGGAGGGGTCAGGTGGTGATCGGCGACTGCGTGACGGTGGGCGAGTCGGCGGTGATCGGAGCGGGCAGCGTGCTGGGCGACTGCGCGACGGTCGATGCCGGCGCTTCGTTGGCCGCCGACAGCCGGGTGGGCCTCAACGTCGCCAACTGCTCCTGCGCGCTGTCCGGCGCTAACTCGGGCGGCATCGGCATCTTCGAGCCGCCGGTGTCGGGCGCGGACTTCAACATGACAGACATCAGCTTTGGCGAGCCTCGGAGGTGAGAAGCAAAGAAGAAGGGAGACAAGTTGAAGTTGTGAGAGTCACAAAAGAGAGTTAAAGAAAACACATTGGACCGCACCGTGACGTGGCACAGCTCAGGCCAGGTCCTGCACTTTGTGGTTGGCGGCGAGCTTCTGGACGGCGGCGAGGCAACTGCGGCGGTCGGTGGCGGACGTGCCGAGGGTGGTGACCTTGGCCAAGCAGTACCAGCTGCACACCTTGAGCGCGTCCACGCGCAGCTTGCGGTTGATCACTTCCCGCAGTTCCTCCTTCTCGGCTTCGCTCTGTGCACGACACCACTGGAATGAGTGTTGCGCGTGTGTGTGTGTCGTGTGTGTGTCGTGTCGTGTGTGTCGTGTCGTGGGTAGTGCACAATCGGAAGTGGTGGTGAGGGGTGTACGGTGGCGAGGTCGATCTTGTGCGCGCACACGATGCCGACCAACCAGTGCAGATGAGCCTGCCCGGCAACGCCATGGAAGCGTTTGTAGATGTCCTCCATGCGCCTGTACTCTTCGTCGCTTCCAATCTCTCCATCTTGTGTGGTGTGCGCACAACATCAGTGTGTGCGTGTGCGGTGTGTGCGTGCGGGGAGGCAAGAAGGCAAGGTGCGCACTGAGGAACGGCCTTAACTCGGTCGAGTCGACCATGAAGACCATGCACGACACAGGTGCCCCATTGTAGTCCTTCCCAAACCACCCTAGCTCGATCAGTGAGTTCAACAGAGCAAGGTGAGCCAAAGAATCAACGAAGCAAGCCTTGCAGCACAGCTCGGGATAATCTGCGACTTACTGTTGGGGCGCCGCATCTCAAGAAGAGCCATCCGGCGGCCGTTGTTCAGTGTGACCACCACCACGTTGCAGCCTCCGTCCTCCACCTGCGACATTCAACGGAACGCATGGAATACAGGTAGCTACCACACACAACACACACGACGCCGACACACAGACGACACGACACTCACGGGGCAGGCCTGGGTCGATACGTGCTGATCGGGGGCGAGAGAGCGGAGGAAGTGGCTCTTGCCGCTCGACTTCATCCCGGCTACCACACCGCGCATCACCGAGTTCGCCGGTTTGGCCTTGGTGTTGCCGCCGGGCTGCGGCTCGCACCCGTACAGCCACCTGTAGCGCAGCAGGTAGTGCCGCAGGAAGACGGCTTTCCACGGCTTCACGATCGTCGGTTCGTCGTCGTGCTCCCCTTTGTGATCATCGTCGTTGTGGTGGTCTTCTTGGTGGGGCTGGACCTCGCCGCGATCCCAGATCTCATCGTAGGTCTGATCCTCCGCGTCGAAGTTGCGTGCAACCGCGTTTGCATTGTATACTGCCCCCTCCTGCTCACCATTCCACCATCAAGCGTGTGCGGTGTCGTGTCGTTGGTCGTGTCGTGTCGTGTCGTGTCATGTCGTGCATGCACAGTGGTGCGGTGGTGTGGCGTGTGTGCGTGCGTCACCGTACGGTGCGGGACGGCTGATAGAGTCGGGTGTCGAGGAGGAAGGTAGAAGTCCACTCGCCGTACTCGATGGATGTGCTCTCGTCGGCGCCCCACAACCTGTCCAGCGCCTGCCGTGGTGGTGGGTGGCAGGACACAACACGACACGACACGACACGACACGCACGCGTCGCACACGACGCACACAACACACGTGCCACACTCGGCTCAGCTGGTCACGTACCTGACGAACGGAAGTTGTGGAGCGCACAGCAGCGGCTGCGGTGTCGCCGAACTCGCGCACAAAGGCATTCTCCCACAGACCCACGTCGCTGGCTGCACGCCCCCCCCCGGGGGGGGGCGTGAGAAAACGAAAGCGACAAGAAAAAGAGAGAAAAAGGGGGTACCCAGGCGGTGCCAGCGAGAGCAGACTTGAGCCGCCCTCACGAGATCAGGCCAGCTCAGGCAAGCGAGCCACCGCAGTTCCACCTCCTCCGGCAGACCCACGTCCATCTCCGGTGACGAATAAAATAACAAATTTCTTGGCCATGCTGCTGTTTAATTTATTCGCACCAATCCTGATGACTCTTGTGACGGCGGAGAAAGTCTTCACTTGGCGTCTTCGCCGGTGAAGGAGTAGACCCTGAGAAGGGCATTGAACGCGCCCACAATGCGACCCTCGTCGAACTTGAGGCCGCTGCACCCCGGTCTGCGCGTGTCGTGTCGTGTCGTGTGTGTCGTGTCGTGTGATGTGCGTGAGCGCTCACGTCTGTGCGAGGAATAGGCGCGCGTGGGACAAGACAGTACCTGGAGGGGTGCGGCGGGTTGCCGGCGCGCTCCTGGAGGGACCCGCCCAGGAGCGAGTAGAGCCGCTTGCCGGTCTTGAGGTCCCACACCTTGATGGTGTTGTCGGCCGAGCACGAGACCAGGCGCTGCCCGTCGAGCTGGCAGCCGTTCACCGCCGCCGTGTGGTCGTTCAGGTTGGGCAGGCTCTGACGCTTCTTCTGGTCGAACACGCGCAGCTCGTTCGTGTTCGTGCCCACCACGATCGTGTCTCCATCCTGCACCAATGCACCATCGTCAGCCGGTCGTGTTGCGTGTGTCCGGTGCGTGGGGTGTGTGTGGCGTGACGTACGGCTTGGAGGCACGTCGGTTGGAGGCCCCAGCGGCCGGGGAAGTGATGAAGGCTCTGGCCCGTGGCAACGTTCCAGATGCGGACCGACCCGTCGTTCTCGGCCGTCACCAGCTCGTTGGGTCCGGCAGGCTGCGCGTGCATGACCGTGCCGGCCTGCAGGTGCCTCACGCAGGCGCCCGACCTGAAAGACCGCGAGGTCAGTGCGTGTGTGTGTGTGTGTGGTGTGTGTGTGTGTGTGTGTGTGTGTGCGGTGTGCGACGATGCGTGTGCGGTGCCGTACTTGATGTCCCAAACGCGGACGCCGTCGCCACCGCCGGAAATGAGACGGTCGCCGGCCAGGTCGACCATGAAGACCGCCTGCTGGTGGCCCGCGAGCGACCTCTGCGCCGTACCCGACCTCACGTCCCACAGTTTCACCTGTTGCACCCGCCACCCGCATCAGTACTCGCGTGTGCGAGTGCTGCGTGCGTGCCGTGTGTGTGGTGTGTGTGGTGTGTGTGGTGTGGCTCTTGAGAAGGCGTACAGTGCGATCGTCACCGCTGGAGATAATGGTGCTCTCATTGAACTGAAGGGTGCGGACGGTCCCGGTGTGGTTGAGGGTCAACGTGCTCGTGCCCGTGGTCGTGTCCCACACGCTGCACACGAACCGTTAGTTTTAATGCTTTTCTTGTTTTGTTTGTTTTTGCCATTTATGTTGTTCACCACATGAGAAACAAAAAAAACAGTATTATAGCCGTACCGGACGGTGTTGTCGGTGGCGCCGGAGACGATCCTGATTTCGTTGAACTTGACGGCCTCCACGACGCCGTTGTGTCCATTGAGGGCGTGGAGGGGCTTGGTCTGGGTCACATTCCAGATCTGTTCGCCCCACCCGTGTTGGTGTCCGCACACGCACACGCACACGCACACCGGCACACACGGCACACACCACACACTGCACACACACACCGCACACACGCAAAGAACGAACCTGAAGGGACGAATCGGCGGAGCCCGAGACGACGTTGTTGCGGTAGTAATCGAAGGCGCTGACGTAGTTCTTGTGGGCACGCAGGGGCGTCATCTTGAAGTCGCCGGGCCTGCCGCCCTCCCACCCGTTCTGCATCTTGTGGCGGGCCGCGTAGCAGCGCTTCCAGCTGTTGCCGTAGCGGCTCACCTGAACGAAGGGAAAGCGCTCCTTGCAGATCCCACGCCAGATCCAGTTGTCCTCTACACCGACACGCAACACGACACACGCACGACACGACACACGCACGACACGCGCGACACGACACACGCAACACGACCAACGACGCGACACCCGAGAGGTAAGGTACTACGGAGGTGATGGCAGGGCGGCACGGCGGCAGTGGTACCAGAGACGTCCTTGAAGAGGTGGCACACCAGGCCGAGACGGCCGAGATCGCGGGGCGGCAGCTGCATGAAGATGTCCGCCAGCACCTCGTTCGGCATGTCGAACCAGATCGACTGTACGTGCACACGCACACACGACACGCACGACACAAACGTGAGTTCGTGCAGTGTAACGCTTGTGTGAGTGTAGGAAGGTACCTCCTGCTCGATGTTGAGGCCGGTGTCCATGGTTCCACCGCCGCCGCCCTCCTGCTGCAACTTGTAGTTCGTCGCCAGGGTGGCAAGCTGCAGAGAGAGAGCAAGAGAGAGAGAGAGAGAGATCGTGGAGGACTGTGAGCAAGCGACACACAGAGAGAGACGCCAGTGTGGTGGGTCGTGTGCGGTGCCTGTTGGTTGACGCCGGGAATGGGCAGACCGAACTCGCGTCTACAGAAGGCGCATAGCGGGTTCTTCTTGTACAGCTTGATGCAACATTCCTTCGCGAAAGCAAAGATAAATGATTGAAATTATTATTAATAAAAAAATAAACAAGATTAGAGTACACATCCAGCAGATTTATTCAATAATAAGGAAAAAGTAAACGCAAGGGAAAATAAAAGAAAGGGAACCTTGCAAAAGGAGTGTCCACAGTTCAGCGTGACCGGTTCGTCGAACACTTCGAAGCAGATCCAACAGGTGACCTGATCCTCCAACTCGCCCAGGATAGATGAATCCGCTTCCATCGTCTTCTCTCTTGCGTTGTGCTTTTGTTGTTGGCAAAGTTGAAGGCCTGCCTTGGTTTCGCTGTGGTCACTCTTTTTCCTCCCTTTTCTGTTAGATTGCTTTTTGCCTGAACTCGCCGTGCACTGAACAACAGACTATTTTTTGTCGCCGCACACGGCACGCGCACGACACGCACACGACCCCAGCACAAAACAATAACTCTGACAAAATGGCTTATCAAATCATTTAGAAATACATCAGATTAAAAATAAATAAATAAATAATAAATAAAGGTGGACGCATGCAAAGTGGTCTGATCCATCAGTGGGAGCTGGTGCTGCACACGGCGGCCTCAATGGCGAACACCTCGTCCATCATCGTCTTCACCATCCCCCTGCGGATCAAAAATGGTACAAACATTGAGTCATTTTCCCCCACCAGTGTAAACAGCACGACACACACACACACAAACACGACACGACACGCACGACACGCAACACGACACGACACGACACGCACGACACCCAGCAGTACCCGAGCTTGGGCATCTGAGTCTGGTAGGTGATGTCGGGCACCTCGGGGCTGTCACGGTGAAAGAAAATAGAGAATAGAGAGGGAGGGAACGGGTTGAGTTGAGTTGAGTTGTCAGACTGGATCACAGGAGGAGACAAAGATGAGGGGGCACCTGCAGAGCGACGGGGAGAAGATGAGCGACAGATTGTGCGATGTCATCTTGGTCTGCTCGGCCGATTTGCTGTTTGTTGGGTGCGCATGGTTAGTCTTGGCGCTCTGGGGCTGGGTGGTGGGTGGTGAGCGGTGGGCACGTGAGGGTACCTGAGCTTGTTGCAGAACTTGAGGATGTAGAAGAGGAGGTCGAGGTTGGCTTTGGGCAGCTGCTTGAGCAGGGCCACCAGCGAGGCGAGGTACTCCTCGCGACACACCTCCTCTTCCTGCTCGGTCTTCTCTCGCCGCAAGCTCTCAAACGTGTCTGCACATTCGTTATGTGAGGCGCGTGCGTACGCGTGCGTGTACGGTGGTGTGCGCGGGTGCGTTACCTTGAAGAGCGATGTACGAGTTGTAGAGTTGGTAGGAAAGCGGAGGCTCGGGGAGCATTTGCAGGAACAACTTCAGCGTGCCCGCGACCTGCCACAAGGGGGGGAAGAGCGAAAACGAAAGCGAAAATGAGCGAAAGAACGAAAACGACATTTCCAGTTTCACGTCACCGTCAGACCAGTCAGCCCATGTGCGCACCTCGTGAATGCCGACGTTTTCGTCGTCGACGAGGCTGACGTCGTCTTCCTTGCCCTGGCCCGCAAAGTCGAATTCCTTGCGGAGGGCATCGATCGAGAGATTGCGCCCGGACTTGCGGAAGATGCCCTCGGTCTCAAACACCTCATGTTCCTCGAGATACTGCACCAGCCGCTCAACCACCCGTGGCACGGTGCGCGACGGATCCTTCTGATGGATCTCCTCCAGCGATACTCCAAACACTGCGCACCCATCACATCTGTTAATTTGTGCGTGTCGTGTGCGGTGTGTGTCGTGTGTGTCGTGTGTGTCGTGTGTCGTGTGTCGTGTGTTGTGTGTTGTGTGTTGTGTGTGTGTGTGTGTGTGGGTACCAGGATTCTGAGGAAGCTTCTTGTCGCCCTTCTTGCCGAGGCCGCGCGGGGTGATGGCCTTGGGGTCCTTGCCGGCCTGCATCTTTTCCTTTTCTTTTTCCTTGCGTTTCCTCTCCTTCTTGTCCTCCTTTTCCTTCCTCTCCTTTTCCTTGAGTTCCTTCTTTTCTTTCTTCAGCTGCTCGGCGTCTTCGGCGGGCATGGCCGAGAGGGAGCCCAGGAGCTTGGCCTTGGTCGTGCCCTTCAACAGCGGCAGCGCCGAGAACGACGGCGCTCGTTTCTGTCGCCCCAAAGTCAGAACACGCACCCGCACACACACACGCACGACACGCACGACACACACACGCAAGGGACAGGGACAAACCCTGGACTGCATGTTGGAGAGTTCTTCCATGAGTTGCAGCTCGTGCGTCTTGAGCTGCTCGATCTTGGAAATCAAGCTCATCTTTTCCTTCCCCAGGAGACTGTGGCCACACCACACCACACCACGCCGGCCATATGTCAGCGCTCAACGTACGTCGCAAAGAGTTTTGGTCGGTGGTTTGTTGGAGAGCACAGCAGAGGGAGTGTACCCATTCTTCTCGTGCTGGAGCTGTTCCTCGTACAGGAGGATCTTGGCTTGGGCCTTCTCCAGCTCGATCTCGCTCGTCTTGCTCTTCTTCTTCACCTCCTTGAGCTGCTTCTTCATCTTCTTCATCTCCTTGGCTGTTTTTCCCCATACAAGCGAAATTAGGACCAAAAGAACGAAAGCGACACTGGGCCGGGGGAGGAAGAGCGAAGACGAAGCGATGGGGGGGGACCTTTGTCTTCGACAAGCTTCATGACCTTGGCCAGCTGGATGCGGCCCTCCTCGACGGCCTTGGCCTTGGCCTCCTCCAGCTCCTTCTCCTTCTCGTCGAGCTGCTGACGAAGGGCCTCGAGGCCCTCGCCCTCCTCCATGCCGAGGATGAGCTGCGAGACGCGGTTGTTCATGCGCTGCCTGGTCCGGCGCAGCTGGTTGTCCTTCTCCTTGACCAGCTCCCGCAGCTCGTGCAGCTCTTGCTCGTTTCTGACGGACACCCACATCGATCAGGCATCGGCGATACACGATCGCACACACACGCACACGATCGCACACACGTATGGAGAGGGAAATCGTACGATTCCTTGAACCTGTCGGCCTCCTCCTCGGCTTCGTGGGCGCGCTTGACCTCGTCGCGCATTGCTTCGAGCAGCGTTTCGAGGTTGCCGATCTTGTGCTGCAGCTCGGCGAGCTCCTCCGCTGCCACGACCGAGACCGAAGCCTCCAAGGCGTCGCTGCTGCTCTCGCTCTCACGCCGTCGCTGCTCGCACGTCGCCTTCAACTTCTGCGCGGCGATCTCGAGCTCGTGCTCGAATCGTGCGCGCTGCTCGCGCTCCTGACTCAACAGCTGCTCGGCGCGCTCGACCGCGCGCCTGGCCTCGATCAGCTCTGCCTGTGCCTTAGCTGTCTCCTGCTCCTCGAGCTCGCCGCGCTGGCCAGCCCTGCAGGTCGCCGCGTCGAGCGATTCCCGCAGCTCAACGACCTTCTTGTCATGGTCGGCTGCCTCGCTTTGCGCGCGCTTCAGCTCAGCGACCAGCAGCTCCTGCTTCTCACGGGCTTCGACCACCGCTTGCTCCTTGGCGAGCAGTTCGCTCTGCAGCGCCGCCAGCTTCTGGCCCACGGCGTCGACGGATGCCTGCTTCTGCGCCTCCTGGGCGCGACTCTGTTCGAGCTCCTTCTCGAGCGCGGCCAGCTTGGCCTGCAGGTCGGCGCTCTTCGCTTTCTCCGCGTCGTGCTCGCGCGCCGCACTCTTCGCTCTTTCTTCGCTTTCACTCTTGTCGCTTTCGCTCTTGGCCCGCAGCCGGCCTACCTCCGCCTCGAGCTCCGTGGCTCGGCGGGCCTTCTGGTCGGCTTCGGCCTGGGCCGCGGCCAGCGCCTGGGCTTGGGCGGCGAGCCGGGCCTCGATCGCTGATGTCGCGCTCGCGCCGTGGCTCCTGGCCTCGTTGAGCTGGCCCTGCAGCTGGTCGACGGTGGCCTGCAGCGCGTGCGCCTTGGCTGACTCCTCGACGAGAGCCGCCCTCTTCTCTTCGGTCAGGCGCTGAGCGATCGATTGACTGTCGCGGCGCGCGCTGTCGAGATCCATCGTCATCGATTCGATCGTCTCCAGCGCGTCGTCCTTTCGCTTTCGCTCTTCGGCCAGCGCCGCGCGCAGCTCGTCCTCCCTGCGCATCCATTCGCGCTTCTCCTCCTGGCTCCTACGCTCGACCTCAGCGCTTCTTTCTTCGGCTTGGCGTCTCGCGGCTTCGCTTTCGCTCTTTGCTGTCTCGCGCTCCTTCTCCGCCGCAAGAAGCGAAGAGATGCGCTTCTCTCTTTCGTCGCTTTCGTTCTTTGCCTGGGTTAGCGCGCCGGCTGCCTGCGCCAGCTGGGCCTCGAGGGCCTTCGTCGCCTTCGCGACCTGCGCCCTTTCCTGCTCGAGCTCCGCCTGCAGTTGCGCTATCCTCTCGCGAAGCTGTCGCATCTGCTCCCCCTCCTCCTCGCCCCGCTGCGCCTTGGCCTCGGCCAGCTCGCGCTCGACACTCGCCAACTTTTGGAGGGCTTCCTGCCTCAGCCGCGCCTCCTCATCGATCTTGCGCGCGGCTTCGCTCTCCCTCCGCTGCCACTCGCGCTCCTTAGCTTCGCTTTCGCTCTTGACTTCGCTTTCCCTCTCGGCCGCCTTCGCGTTCAGCTCCGCCCGGATCGCGTGCTCCAGTTCGCGCTTCTCTCTTTGCGCGGCGTCGAGCTGCTGCGCGAGCGCCTGCAGCCTCTCTTCGCTCTTTGCGCGCTCTCTCTGCTCGAGCTCCGCCCTTTCCTGCAGCTCGGAGTTGAGCTTAGCTTCCTGCTCGCGGCGCACCCGCTCGGAGTCACGCGCGAGCGACCACTCGGCTTCGATGCGCTCGCTCTTGGCGCGCTCGTCTTCGACCATCTTGGCCAGCTCGGTAATGCGACTGCTGATCTCGGCCTTCTCGAGTACTTCCGCCTCGCGCTCGGCGCGGGCGCGCTCGAGCTGTTCGCCGCGCTCCTTTAGCTCGCGCTCGCGCTCGGCGACCTCCTTCTCGCGGGCCTCCAACTCCTCACGCCTGCTAACCTCCTGCACGTCGCCTGTGCCGGCTACCGCGTCGCGTCGCGAGTCGCGCCGGAGATCGGCCATCGACTTGGTGCTCTCCCGAATGTTGCGGAGCTTGCTTTGCAGCTGCTCTCTTCCCTTCTCATGACGCAATGAATTAGCATTTGCCACGCTTCTAACACGCGACACACGACACACGCACGACACACGACGGTACCTTGTTGGCTTTGGAGAGCTTGTCCTGGAGGGCGGCGACTTCGTCCTTCTTCTTGGCGAGTTCGGTCTGGAGTTGGACCTCGCGGTCGATCTTCTCCCTCTGTTTGCCGCGGTCCTTGCGGCGCTTTTCGGCCACCAGCTCTGCACGCAGGATGTCGGTCTCCCTGCGCAGCTCGCGCAGTTCCCTGTCCTTGGCCTCGGTGATCTCCTTCTTCATCAGCTCGATCCCGCGCTTGGTCTCCTCCCTCAGCTTGGCGAGTGATTGGATCTTCCACTTCTCGAGCAGCTTCCGAGGGTCCACCTCGGCATCGTCGGAGCTGGTCTCATCGTCGTCTTCGTCGTCAGTGGTGCCTTCCTTCTCCTTGCCCTTCGGGTCGTCTCCGGCCTGGCGCGGGCTCAGCTGTCCGCCTTCGCTTTCGCGCTTCCGGAGTTCGTGGCCGTTCACGGGCTGCTGCGCTTCGGCGGTGCGAGGCGTTGTCGGCCTGCTCCTCCTCTTGCCGCTGTCCGACACCGCGAGTGTCTCATCGCTTGTGTGCGGAGGAATGCGCACTGGACCCATACGACGAGTCAGCTACACCAACACGACACGACACGACACGACACGACATACGCGCGCATGCCAGACATGCGTACCTCTGTTCACGTTTGATGACGAGAACGCAGATGCGGTTTGTGCCAGGCATCGATGGCAATCCGTGCAAACTACACGCACGGCGTTGATTAGAGGAGGCACCAAGATGCGTTGATGAACCACTCGATGGGAGAACGGGGGAAGGGAGGCGTTACCCTCGGCGGGAGAGAGGGAGAGGTAGGGGATGGGCATCTTCTGAGGACTCAGCTCCTTGAAGCAAAAGTTTTTTCCGCACAAGTCGCAGTGGTACTGGTAATAGTAGGCAGACGTAAGCTAACTTTGGCGCTGGCCACAAAGCACACACACACACACACACACACACACACACACATCACAGCTCCGTACCCGCCAAGTGAACACCGAGAATCTGACTTTGCACTCAGCGCACCTGTGCGTGGGGACACAGAGGGTGAATGGGCAGCACAAAAAAAAAGGACTGTCATAACGTGAGAGCGGGTATGGTGGTTGTACCCCGGAGCGTCCTTGTCGGGAATCCAGTGCGCCTTGGGGTCAAACGACACGACGAGCTTCTGAGGTGCAAGGCGTTCGGAGAGCACCCGGATGGTGCGGAGGTAGTCCAATATGGCATCGCCACCGCCCGCGGCCACCTTGATGGGGATGCGGTAGTTGACTCGGCGCGTCACCTGGTCGAGCGAGAGGTATCTATGTTAGGCGTGTGCGCGTGCGTGTGCGATGTGTGCGGTCGTGTGTTGAGTGCGCCTTGACGAACCTTGAGAGATCTGAGTTCGGGAAACTGGTCGAAAAAGGGAAGCTCTTTGAGTTGGTCGTTGCCCTCGAACGTGAGCATCTTCAGCTTGCGCAGGCTGGCCATCTCCTCGGGCCATGCACTGTGACAGTCACCGCCGCCGCCGCCGCCCCATTGCAAGTGAGCTCACGTGGGCGACAGCATAAGCTGAACGCGTGCAATAAGGGGGCCAGCACTGAGCGTCGTACGTCAACTGATTGTTGTCGAGGTGCAGCGCCTCCAGGTTCTTGAGGTATCCGATTTCTGTTCACACCAAACCACGCGTCAGTCCCTCGCTCTCTTCTCTCTCTCTCTCCTCGCTTCGGTAACACATGAACGAAGAACGAAAGCGGAAAAAAGGAGAAAGAACGAAAGCGACAGACAAGAAGTAGGGAAGAGAGAGAAAGTGTCGTACCGGGAGGAAGCTGCCTGAGCTGATTGTTGCGGAGGGACAGCACGCGCACGCTGGCGGCAAAGGCTCCATCCTCGACCCACCGGGTGACCCACTCCGGGGGCACCTGCGTGTTGAACACACAAAAGAAAAGGAAACAATAAGTCAAATAAAAATCTTATAAAATCACGTTTTTCATCTTGGGGGCGGACCGCTTTCAGCTTCTTCTCGTCGAGCTTGATGGTGACGCTCAGGTCGTCATCGGTTCCTGCGGATGGGTTGGATGGATAAGATTGGTTAAAAAATCTCACGAATGAAGTCAATAAATCAGTACCTCCTACGACAAGGGTGCTAGGAGAGGTGGCGAGCGACCCGACAGGGGCCGACGGCGCCGCCTTCTTCATCCCTGCTGGCAACCTGTGCTACGCAATTGGGGATGATTTTTTTTCAATCTGTCGCACGTTGTTCAACGGCCTCCACGTACGCCCAACAACACAGTTCTATCCAACCAGCAATGTCCAACCAAAGCGACAAGCTGTATTAAATCCATGCTAATACTCCGTTTTATTAACATCAAAAATATCCTTTTATTTTGTTTTTAGGATTTTTTTCACCAGCCGTTGCGGTTTCGCGCCAAAAGTTAGCGTTCGATTTTTTTGGCTTGCAAGTGGCGCCAGGTGTTTCTTCCTCTACTGTTTCACTGTTCATCTATCCTACTGTTCTTTCATCCATTTTCATAAGGACGTCGTGTTCTTGGAGAACCGAGAGTCTTCTGTTTGTCTGTGCGTGTATTTGTGTTTGTTGTGACTTTTGATTTTGTTTCAAGGTACCCTTGCCATCTTCATACCTCTCATCTTCCATGCTTGTAACACACTCAACGTGGCCATGCCGCACTCGCCAGATGGAGACTCCATTGATTCGAACGCATGAAAACCTACAAACGATGGCGTCGCCTCTGCCGCCGATGGAGGCGCTCGATCTCGCTGAATTCGACCTCATCGACCTTCAGGCCGTGTCTTCGGCGACGACCGTTCAAGATGAGAAGCTCAAAACCACTGAACCCTCTTCTACTGCCTCCATCGACTCTTCACTACCCAAGCCCGAAGATGGCTTCCGATTCAGCGATCTCGACCTCGTTTCCGAAGCACGTACGATTCTTCATCTTTCTTCCGTGCGCAGCTGTGTTTCCTCTCTTTCTGTTCACCCTCCATCAGTTAGGTGCTTCATCTCGGATTTTTGTTGAGATTAAACCCGTCTCTGCTCAATAATCAGTGGTGCTCACCTCGTACGCGCGATTCAAGGGCCTCGTCAAGAAAGACAACAGCGAGGTACGATGCAACTCCTCTTCTCTCGTCATCTAGTGCGTGTGTGTCGCGTTCTGCAATAACACTTGGCGTCGTTTGTGCACTGTGGTCACAGCAATGGGAAGAGGTGAACGGCCTGGAGAAGCTGGAGGTGGGCTGCGGCTACCGCACGGAGAACAGCATCCCCATCCGCCGCCTCTCTCGCGACGAGCTCCTCATCGGAGGCAAGATCCGCATGCTGCTCGAGAGGCTGCCGCCGGGCTGCGCCTCGCCCGCCCGAGGCAAGTACCTTGCCACCTTGGTACGCGCCTCTACGCCGCTATGGCACACACCGTGTGCGACTGCGAGCGATGGCACGGCCGCACAGGAACTTACCGCGACGCGGGACTCTTCACTATATACGTGGCACACGCAGAGGGGCTACTTTGACAGGAGCACCGGCGTCATCGCCCTCGAGGCGCTCAGCCAGATGAAGTTTGAGAACGGCATCCCGCTGGCCCACTACAACCGTGGTATGATTTTTTTCGAGTCTCTGGCACCGCACACACGCACACACTCAAGAAGCTGATTGTTGATGGCAATGCGTACAGATGGTCCCTCGGATAAGTGCCTGCGCGTGCACAGCTTTGACAAGATCAGGATCGGCATCGCCTACATGGTGGCCTACACGGACGGCCTGCTCAAGTTCAAGCGTATCTCGCAGGGCGAGATCTACATTCACTACAAGCGACGCAGGGAGATGCTCGTCGTGCGGAGCCAGGAGATCAAGACCGGCAAAATCGAAGCCATCAAGTGCAAGAAGCGCACGCCCCTCGTGGTATGTGTACTCCCCGTACGCGTGCGCGTGCGTGTGTGTGCGGTTGGCGATATTAATGCTTACCGCGACCGCTCTCGCGTATAGGACGCCGACAAGGAGAACCTGCAGAACCTGGCCGTTCCGTTCCCCCGCGGCAAGGGCCGCAATGGCGGTCGGTCGCCCGTCAAGCGCCGCACGTCGATGGCCGCCTCCGGCCTCCACAAGTCGTCCACCGCGACCGCCGCCAAGGGCAAGAAGCCGACCGCGAGCACCGACGACAAGCCCAAGCGCGGCGGCTTCAGCATCTTCAGCTACTTCTTCTCGGCGCGCCCGTCGGCTTCGTCGGTGTCGCCGCCGGCTTCGCCCCTGCGTCGCTCGCCCGCACGCAAGGCCAACAACCGGCGTAAGAGCATGGGCGCCGCACTGTTCTCGGACAAGGAGAAGGAGGAAATCATGGCCTCGTCGGGCGGCGCGCCGCCGCCTCCGCCGCCTCCCGGCGCGCCCATGCCGCCCCCGCCCCCATTCGCCACCCCGCTCGCGCCGCCCCCGCCCGGCGGCCTTAGGCTCGGTGCCAAGCGCGGGCTGAGCCTCCAGGCCAACGGTGACTTTACCACGCCGACGCCCCGCAAGAAGATGCGCTCGCTCTACTGGAGCGTCATTCCCAAGGTACCGCCGCAATTAACAAGGCACACCTTCATACGCAAGACTGACTGTGTGTGCGGTGTCGTCGTGTGTCGTGCCGTGCGTGAACAGGACAAGCTGCAGCAGACAGTGTGGTGTTCGCAGGAGGTGCTGAGCAGCCCTTCGATCAACGTGGATGTTAGTCGGCTGGAGTCGCTCTTTTCGGTGTCGCCCGACAAGAAGACCAACAAGTTCACGCCCCGGTCGGGCAAGGAGGCCAACCAGTCGCCCCTGGTCGCCATCCTCACCCTGCCCCGCCTCAACAACATCGGTACGCCCACCGCCTTGACAATGCTCAGAAACGAAAGTCTCACACAACACACGCCACACACCGCACACGCACACAATGTGAGCGCAGCTATTCTTTTGTCGCGGTTCAAGATTAGTGAGGAGGAGATCAAGAGCGCTATCCTCGCGATGGACGACACGGTGCTCACTAGCGAGAACGTCAACGCGCTCCTCTACATCACCCCTAAGGACGACGAGGTGCGCGCCCTCCGCGCCTTCCGGGAGAAGATGGACCCCGCCCTTCCGCTGGGCAAGGTCGAGCGCTTCATTTTCACGGTACTCCCTGCACACGACGACACGACACGACACGACACACGCACGCATTGTCACTCACTTGGCGACAACAGATGATCGAGATCCCGCGGCTCGAGAAGCGACTGGAGATGTTCCAGTGGAAGCTGCAGCTGGAGCCCTCCGTCGCCGAACTGCGCAAGTCGCTCGCCGCGCTGGCGGCCGCGTGCGAGGAGGTCAAGTCCAGCAAGCGTCTCCCCGTGCTCCTCAAGGCCGTGCTGATCATCGGCCAAGTGCTAAACCGGGACTCGTACCTCTTCATCTCCGATGGCTTCCGCATCGAGTCACTCATGAAGGTGCGTACATCCGCGCGCGCGTCGTGTGTCGTGTGTCGTGTGCGGTGGTGCGTGCGCAATACCTTTGGATGCGCGCGCGATGAATTGATAAAGCTGACTCGACCGATCGGTTGGTTAGCTTACGGACACGAAGGGCAAAGACAACTCGACGACGCTCGACTACCTGGTCAAGGAGATCGAGGAGAAGATGGTGGACCTCATCACCTTTTCCGAGGATATCCCACACGTTGAGGCCGCGGCCAAGGTCCAAATGGACCACCTCACCTCCGAGCTCGCCAAGATGCGGGCTCACCTCACACAGGTTCGCGATAACACGCACACCGCACGACACACAACACGGCGCACGCGGTAACTGACACTCCATTTCGAACAGATGCAACACGAACTCAAGATCGTGTCGCTGCAGCAGCAGCTGGCCACCACCAGCACCGAGGCGGCCGAGCAGAAGCGGCGCATGTTTGAGTCCTACGGCGAAGTTGTCACCGTAAGCGCTCCTCTTTTTTCTTTCTCTTTCGCTCATTCGCTCTTCTTTGGGCTCTCGCTGACGTCTGCGCCGCCTTGGGGCTCTGGACTGGGTGGCATAGGCGCTGCACGACGAGGCCTCGGTGAAGGTGAAGGAGGTGAGCGACGCCATGGACGAGGCCACCGCCAAATGGAAGGAGCTCGCCCTCTTCTACGGCGAGGTACGCATTTCTCCCTGTGTGTCATGCGTGTCGTGTGTCGTGTCGTGTGTGGTGCTAATGCGCGTGTGCGGTGTGTGCGTTGGTAGGACGGGGAGAAGATGGCGCCGCAGCAGTTCTTTGGCATCCTGCACACCTTCGTGCAGCAGTTCAACAACGCCCGGACGGAGGGCATCAAGCGGCGGGCGCGGGCCGAGCAGGAGCGCCTGCGCAAGGAGAAGGAGGAGCGCGCCCGGCTGGCCAAGGAGGAGCGCGCCCGGCAGAAGCAGCAGGAAGCGGAGGAAGAGGAAGAGAGGAGGCGACAGCAGCAGCAGCAGCAACTCGAAGAGGAAGAGGAGGCGAAGCAGCAACAGCGCGAGAGCGCTGACAACAGCGACGTCGGCGAGGAGGAGAATGGCAACGAGAGAGATGATGAAGATGAAAAGGAAGAGGAAGATGATAAGGAGGAAGATGATGCTGGTGGGGCGGCGGAAGCTGGCACGGACGACAGCGGCCTGGACCAGGCCGAGGAGGCCGAAGCGGAGGCTCAGGAGGAACCTGCAGAGGAGGCGGAAGAAACGGAAAAGGAAGAAGAGGAAGAAGAGGTGGTCAAGGTCGCGCTCTCGGTGGAAGAGGCTGTGTCGGAGGACGAGGAAGAGGCCGAAGAGGAGTTTGCCAGTCTGCCCGAGATGAACGATTCAACGGAGGAGATCTCGCTCTACGACGATGATGCCAACGAAGATGCGGATGATTGAGCAAGCTTTCTGTGTCCATGAAACTTCCAAATGATAAATACATAATAACTTGAATCCAAGTGCAGGGGCTGTCATTGTACTCCTCCTCTTCGCCGTCTTGGCCGGCGCTCAGCAGGAAGGCACTCCCTCGCCCTCCGCCTCGCCGCCAACCACAGCTTCGCCCTCCCGCATCCCTAAGGCCGCGGAGGTGCCCTCGCCAGCCTATGCCTCCTCCGGCGGAGGGCACTCCCATGCTTTTGTGGCAACGGTTACGTGGTCGGTTACGTGGACAGGCACTTGCGCCACCGGAGTTCTCGGGTGCCGGCGATACGCCCGGGTTTGTGCCGAAACGGCTGGCCGCCTTCTCCGGTCCATGCGCTGGCTAAAAGGACGCACAGGAGGCAATCATGATCGTATCAACGGACGCTGCGGCCTCGCGCCGTGAGTACCCAGACGGAGATAAACTAGCCACTTCAGTGGAGCGGGCTGGCGCCTCGCTCTTGCCGCGCCGGCTTGCACGAGGCACTCCCCGCTTCCGGGCGCCAGTGGCGTTGGCACCACTCTCTCTCCTGCCCCCGCGGCCTGCCCACCCCCTGTGCGTTTCGTTACTCTCCGCTGAGGCTTAAAATATTGAAAGTTGGGCTGATGATAGTGGAGGTTACAAATGCGCTCAGCTTGACAGTGCGCTGCTTTTATTGAGAAGCCCGCGGGCTCGTAGGGGACATTTGTAGTTTTGAAGTTGCGAATAAATAAATATGAGTTATAAATTAGAGTATTTAGTTTGACATAGAGAAGGTTCTTAGAAGAGGAAGGAGAGGGCCTCGAGGAGGAAGCCGTTGAGCGACGAGGCCGACGAGGGCGCCACGGAGGCCTTGGGCGAGCGCGAGGGCGAGGCGGAAGCCACGGGGGAAGGCAGGGCCGAGGCGGAAGCCGAGGGCGTGGGGGTGGCCTGAGCGTCGGCGAAGACGGCGAAGGCGAAGAGGAGGGCCACGATGACGGCCACCAGTTGGATGAAGAACACGCGCGACATTGTTGATGAAGAGGAGTGGGGTGTTGAGGGTATCTAACCGGTGCGGTCGAGGTGGTAAGAGTGGTGTGTGCGACTAAGAGAGCAGTGAAGAAGAAAACGGGGCCGGAGGACCTGACCTTTATGAGGAGGGCCAGCCAATGGCCACTCCGCTACAACGCTCCGGAAAATGTCGACAGGCCAAATGTCGGAGTTTGAGGGACCGGGTTATGCGCAGGAGCTTCGCAGGGCCTCGAGGCACTCGTCCGGAAGTGGTGGTTTCTGGCACGGTAGTTGGCTCTCCGATGGGCAAAGGCAACTGACAGGAAGGGGAAACGCCGAGATAGCAAGCTCAGCTGGAACTGGCGAAACTTCGGCCCGGAAGGGACGCTGAGTGGCTCTTCTTTGTATTTTCCCGCCACTTAGGTCTTATTCATTAATTATACGCCCGTTACCAGAAGATAAGACCGCGACCCCGGTGTGCCCACATGCTCTCGTCCCGCCGGACCGCTTGGGCCGATCAGGGTAGGCAGGGACTCGCGCCACGACACCATGGGTCCGCCAGGTGGCGAGTGTGCTGCACGGACTTGTCGCACTGCTGCCCCTTGTCTCAGTGCTGCACTTCTAACCAGAATAAAAAGGAGAAAAAGAATTAGCAGAGGATGGTTTCGATCCATCGACCTGTGGGTTATGGGCCCACCACGCTTCCACTGCGCCACTCTGCTCTACGAAGCTCGACGACAAAAATCACAAAATGCAGCACGGTTTCCGGGTAGCCCACAGCACTACAACAGGCGCAGGTGTTTTGGCTTGGGATTTTTTTTAACGTTGAAATTGTTGTACATGTTTGCTTCATGTTGGTATGGCGGGATCCACCGGGGTGGTGTCTTCGGCGAGGTCGTTGGACACGACGAGGGCGTGATGCAGGAAGTAGGCCTCGAGCCAGCCCGCGGCGTACTCGGCCGCCAAATGCTGCTCGTCCATCAGCCCGCCCTCGCCCTCTCCGCCGTCTGCCGTCGCCCCGCCGTTGAGCGGTCGTCGGTAGTGCACTTCGTTCCACTCGCGCACCTTCCGCTCCATCCGCCGTTCCTCCTCCTGCACGCGACACACACACACACACATTCACACACACAACACACACACGACACACACACGACACACACACGACACACGAAACACACACTACCCTGGTCAGACCAGCAAGCCCACCCCAGCCAGTCATCTTTAAAAGAAGGCAGAGGAGCCAAACCTCGAACTCGCTGCTGCTGTCGTTCTCGACGAAGGCGGTCGTGAGCCAGTCGTCCATGTAGAGCGGCCGGACGTGCATGTAGATCTCCGATATGACCTTCATGTTGCCTGTTCGTTTGCACGCGACCGCCCTAAGTTAGCAACTGCCTTCATAGCACACCTGTGCGAGGGGAGAGAGAGAGAGAGAGAAGAGAATGGAATGAGTACTGGTGCGCCACTTGCGGCCGAGGAACTTGGTGAGGTTCTTGATCAGCTTGAGCCCGTAGAGGCGGATCCACGGGTTCTCAAAGCTCAGAAGTCGCTTCAATATCGCCTGTCGATTGCCGCCGCCAATCAGAACAATCGCACACGCACGCGCCACCGCCACCGCACACACCGCACCGCACACGCGGAAAAGAAAGCAGGAGGGAAGGGGACAAACCGGAGCCGAGAACTTGATAAGAAGGAGGCAGCGGTGGTGGTTATACTTAGCCAGCTTTTGGAGGACGCGCAGGAAATTGACCAGCGCGAAGAACTTGCGTTTCGAATAGCGCAGCGCGGCGCCGTTCCCGTCCAACCCGCCGTCCCCGAAGTCCTCCTCCACCAGCGCCTGCTGCTCGCTCTCCGCGACAAACAACCTGCGTGTCGGACACCACGTGAGGACACGTCAGCAAAAGATATATATATATATATATAGTATATAAAAGACCGGCAGCGAATGGGGGCAGAGTAGTACTCCATGGCGGGCAGGGTGGGCGAGGTGAGCAGCGGCGACTCGGGCTGGTTGATCAGCTTGAGTATGAGCAGCATCATCTTGGCCTCCACCAGCAACTGGCAATTGCAAACAACACGACCACAACACAACCCTCATTAATGACAATTGCTCACATTCCACTCATTGCTGTGTACTAATACAACTACTACGTACGGATTGTAGGTAGGCGGCCTGGATGGGGTGGTTGGCGCGGGTGTGCTTGAGCAGAAGGAGGAGCAGGCCGGAGATGGCCTTGACCACGATCTCCTCGTGACGCGCCCGCTCGGCCGCCTGGGCGACGGACCCCGCGTCGCCGATTTCGGCGTAGAGGTTGAAGGGCGGCGGCGCCCCGCGCTTGTCGGACGGGGCGAGCGCCAGCAGGAAGTTGAGGAGGTGGATGAACACCTGGTCACCGCGGTCGACGCGCGAGTGTTTGCGGGAGGGGAATGTCAGAAGCGCAACGCACTTACGTGTTTGTGTGGTGCGCGTGTCGTGTGCGTCGTGGATCAGATAAGATACCCTACGGAAGCGGGGAAGCATGGCGCGGTAGAACGCTTCCACGCTGCTGGTCGTGGGGCGCTGGCCCCGCGGCTGGTCGTCGTCCATCCCGTCTTCGCTTTGGCCTCCAGCGGTGTCGTCCTGCACACGATGGGGTGAGAGGGTGAGAGTTTCCCGAAATACTAAATGCTAAAGAATAAATTATAGGAATAATGACAAATAGCAAACCAACAAATAATAAAATGTAAAGAATAAATGGATAAGGGGATGGCTGACGTACGGAGTCGAAGGGGAAGTGGGCGGGGTGAGAGTAGGGGCTCAGCCCATGCTCCACCAGTCTCTGGGCCTCCCGCAGCGCCTATGCAGATATCACGAAGGTGAGGCGATCGCCATGTGGGAGTGAATATAAATATATAAATAAATTTACATATTAAAGAGATTCAGAGGGGGCGAGAAGGGGCCAACGCACAGCAGGCATGCCCGCGCTCGAGTAGACCGAGGCCTGCATGGCCAAGCGGGTGTGGGACCTGTGGGACACAGCGAGTGAGCCATGCGGAAGAGGCGAGATTGCGAGGGGGATCGGGGATCTGGTGTGCACACGCACTTGCGGAACTGTGAGACGTTTTGGCGGAGGGCCTGCAAGTGGGCGGGGCTGCTCTTGACGTCGAGGGGTCCCAGCGGGGGCAGCCCGCGGCGTCGTCGCTCCTCCTCCTTTCTGCGGCCGAGCGCAGCAGTGCCGCCCCAGCCATACAACACGCTTTTCCACAGCAGCAGCAAGACCTGTGCGCACACCGCACACGACACACGCAACACGCGCACGACACACAATGCGTTGAGCACCGCGGACATCCGTGTGACTGAAGCGAAGCTGTGCCAGCACCTTCTTGATGGGGTAGTGAGGGTGGCGGCGGTCGCCAAAGTCGACGAGGCAGTCGAACAGCACGTAGACCAGCCCCTGCGGCTGGCCGTTGCCGACTGTGCGCCGCACGGAATGTCAGCTCGCCCGCCCGAGGCCAGAGGGACGAGCCAGCAGGCCGCCCAAGAAAAGAAGGGAAACCGCGGGGAGGAGGGTACCCAGAAGGAGGGGCAGGTCGGGGTGGTCTGAGTTGGAGATGAGGAGCAGCAGGAGCAGGTTGGCATACACCCGCATATCCGCGTCGGCCGACGCTTCGCCCTGCGCCGATGTCGCCCCCTCTCCCGCGGCGCCTTCCCCCTGCTGCGGCTGTCCCGCCTCGACCGCCCTGCCGCCGCCGCCATTCCCCATTCAATTCGAACGTTCGTGAGCTGGTCCTGCGAAATGCGGGGGAGCGAGGTGGGGGCTACCTCTGGGCTGCGCAAAAGTAGTCGACGTAGACCTCGTACGCACCGCCATCTGCCCGCATGGATGATAGTAGTTTGTTAGGGCGCGCGGGGAATGTGGTGTGCAATCTGCATCTGTGAGGTGGGGGCATGTATGTACCCATGAGGACGCGGTTTGTGGCGAGGGCGCGCTGAAGCTGCCGCCGCTGCGGGTCCGCCTGGTGCTGGTGCTGCCGGCTCTCCGCTTCGGCCTCACCTGCAGCCCGCGGGTTAGGTTTGGGCGCCACACCCAACTGCGCCACACGGGGTGGTGGGTTGAAGCTGGCGGTACCGCCGAGGGCAAAGTGCAGGAGCGCGAGGGCCGTGTGGCGCAGGTCCTGGAGCGGCAACTCGGGCGAGTCCTGCTGCTGCTGTGCTCCAGCTGCGGCGGCCCGCAGGCGATCGAACAGCGCGCGCACCACCTCGCCGCGCGGCTGCGGCTGCTGCGGTCCCGCGCCGGATGCGAGGAGCGGCACCACGCGCCACGCGGCCTCGCGCGCATGGGCGGCCTCCCCGGCCGACAGCACCTCCGACAGCTCCTCGGCCAGGCTCCCCTCATCCTCGTACTCGCCCTCCACCGCCACCCGGGTCTGCCGCAGACAGCCGCCTAACGTAAGAAACGAAGGACAGGCGAGGGGAGGAAAAAACTGGGGGGGGGGGCTATGTAGCGGCACCTTCTTCTTTGGATGTGAAGAAGCGGCGGCCTGCAGCTCTTTGAGTTTTTCGAGGGTGAGGGGCAGGGTGGCGCGGCCCTGGGCGGAGCTCCTCTTCTTGTGCCGTGCGGCCACCTCCCCTTCAGAGACCGACATCTTGTTGCTCAGCATGTGTCAAGTTACCGTTGTTGGCTTTTTTTTTTTTTTTTGAATCTGTTTCAAATGGGATAAAGCGAAATTTGTTAGGATTAAAATCCTTTTAAAACAAATCGATCAGAACATGGAAGGCGAGGTCACTTCTGCCGTCCCGACTACAGAGCAGCCTGCGGCGCAGGGTGCCGGCTACCAGGGCGTGGTGCCCCGCAAGCGCATTGGAACGCAAGCCGATGTGCAGCGATTCCAGGCCAGCCCCACGTATAAGCTCCTGCAGACATGGCTGCACGCCCTCAACAAGGCCACACTACGGAAATCCAACACCGCTCCCGCTGTCCTCTGCCCCGTACGGCTCCATCGTGGATGAATGAAAACTTTTGCATCTTCCACATCAATCGCAGGTGGCTCACCTCGAGGCCATCATAATCATAGGCGGTCGAGGGCGCCCTGGCGCTGTTGGAGCAGGTGGACAAGCTGGTAGATGAAACGCCACCCGAAACCGGCGAGATGCGGTTCGGCAACAAGGCCTTCCGCACCTGGCACGCCAAGCTCGCCGCTGTACTACTTAGTCCTCTTTTTACCCCCCGTCTCTCTACATGATGAAGCTGGTGATGGTGCTGATGATGATGTTGATGATGGTGATGATGATGATGAAGGCTGCGGAGGAGCTGCACAAGCTGGTCCTGCCCGAGGAAAAGGCGGGAGCGACGCAGGAGCTGGTGGCCTACCTGCTCGACAGCTTCGGCAACGCGGTGCGCATCGACTACGGGACCGGGCACGAACTCCACTTCATCATCTGGATGTACTGCCTCCACGCCCTCGGGCTCGTCCAGCAGGAGCACCTCGCCGCTCTCGTCACCCGGGTCTTTGCCCGCTACCTCACCCTCGGTGCGCCTCTTCTTCTTCCTTCTTCTTCCTTCTTCTTCTCATGGTCGAGGTGCGTGCAGTGCGTAAGGTCCAGCAGACCTACGGGCAAGAGCCGGCGGGCTCGCGAGGCGTCTGGTGCCTCGACGACCACCAGTTCGTGCCCTTCATCTGGGGCGCGGCCCAGCTCATCGGTGAGCTCCGCGCTTTCCCCCTTTCAGCCTCCGCACGCCCACACCCACCACACACGCACTACGCACACACGCGCACGCACGCACGCACGCACACACACACACACACACAAGCATACGCCACCACACACGCACCACCGCACGCGTACTCACTTGTGTGGCGGCTGCGCCTATGCAGACAACCCGGATATCCAGCCGGGCTCGATCATGGACAAGGAGCTGGTGGCACGCCACGCCGACGAGTACCTCTACCTGGGCTGCATTCACTACATCCACATGGTACCTTATCACGCATCCAGCTTCTTTATTATTGAGATCACTCAGTGTTGGTTCGTGTTGCGTGTTGTGTCGTAAAAAGGTAAAGAAGGGTCCGTTCTTCGAGCACTCGCCCGATCTCTACAACATCAGCGGGGCGGCGTCGTGGGAGAAGATTAACAAGGGCATGTTCATGAAGTACAACCAGGACGTGCTCTCCAAGCTGCCCGTCCTCCAGCACATGCTCTTCGGCTCCCTCTTTCCCTACGCATAAAAAATAAACATTATTTACATTTCTGCAAATAAAATCTTATTTTCCCCATTAGGTACACTTTATCACTTCTTTGGGGAGGTGTTGGGACAACATATCAATGTGTCCCCAACAGCATGGACATTTAATTAAAGCGAGGAAGTGTCTGTCCCCTCCTCCGCCATTTCCGCTCGGCAAAGTGTCACTACCACCCTCCGTGATGTGCCACAGCAGAGGTATGGGCCTTGCACCGGTAGTGGTGGTGGTGGTATGCTGCCTGCTGGGCGTAATGCCTCAGCTGAGGCCGGTCACGGCAGCCACTTGCCCCAGCATGGTCTGGGAAACACCTGCCAATTTGGGTAACTCCTCGCTGCTGGGTCCCTTAACTTCCGATCTTGTTGTCGCCCAACGCATCAACGTCACCACCACTTGGGGCATTCGCTCGCTGACCTTCCAGCTCTTCAATTCTAATGCTTCCGGTATGTCGTTCAACTCTACTTCTTCTGCTCCCCACCACCTCGCAATCATTCGGAGTTAAAACTTGTTTGTAACAACTATACTGCATTACCGCTAGCGGGGCTCGTGGTGGGCGTGGGCATCTCTATGCTTGCCGGCACTTGGCTGCCACAGTGGGACTTCGGGCAGCGGTCGATCGTCGCCGGCACCACCTTCTATACCTTCAACTACTCTGCGGCCGAAGCCCTCAATCTCGTTCCCTCCGTTTACTTCATCACCCTGCGCAAGGTGACCGCCGACGGGGGCCAGAGCCTGATCGTGGGCGTGTCGGGTCCGCAACCCGGCGTTCTGATGCCCTTTGTCATGGTCGATCTGTCCACATCAAGCGATGGCAGCAATTTCGCGCAGCAGGGCACCGGGGTGCTGGGCCTGGGCGCCGAGACCTGCGTGAATCCATCGCCGTCCCCCACGGCCTACGTGTCCTATTCGCCGTCGGTCTCGCCCCAACCGCTCCGCTTCGTGGCCCTGACCACCAACGTGACGGCCGCCTTTGGCGTGGCCCAGCCCGCCATCAACATGTCCGCACCGCTTTTCGCCACTGGTACGCCGGACCTAAATTATGTTTTGTCGTGAGGCAGGCTTGTTGACTCACCGCTTTCGCTCTTTTCTCTTCCCATACTGTTCGCAGCAAGCAGCTGACGGCTGAGTTCAGCGAGGTGGCACTGGGCAATATGTCCGTGCCCGCATCTTCGATATATAGTATAAAATACTGACCAATGAGTGATGAGTGAGTGCTGACGTGGACATTACCACCCTACATACTCAGGATTCAACCGCACCAACGTCAATGCGACGTACAGCTACTCTGCCCAGGTGGACAACACCACGGTGCTCGACCAGGAGTTCACATTCCACAGGGACGCCGCCAGCGGCAACTTCTCGGGCCTCGCGTTTGCCATCGGCGCCGGCAACCTCAAGTGGTCCGTCCGCCTCAACTCGTCAGCGGCGGCCCCAGGACCCACCGTCGTGCGCTACCGGCTGTCGAGCTTCCTCAACGCCGGCGCCTACCAGTCGGTGCCCAACGCCCGGGTGCTGATCAAGCCGGGCCAGCCGCAGGCCCAGATGACCACCTACCTGCTGCCGCTGCTCCAACAGTCGACCGGCCTCAAGGTCTACGCCCGCGTCGAGCTGTTCGACTTCGCGCTGGCCAACAACAGCGCCGAGGCTGTGACAATCGAGCATGACATCATCGTACAACCACCATCATCATCAGAATCATCTTCGAGCGAGTACATGCTCGAGCTGAGCTTCCCGGCGTTCGAGGGCTCGCTGGAGTACGACCCAAGCATCGGAATGGGCGTGGTGCTGGGCCAGAACGATGACGGCGGCGGCGACACGAACGTGGGCCTGATCGTGGGCGTGGCGGTGGCGGTGCCCGTGGCCGTGGCGCTGGTGCTCGTGGTCATCGTGGGCGCCCTCATAATCGGCTGGCGGCGCAGGAAAGCCAACGCTGCCGGCGCCGTCCAGTTCGGCGAGCCACTCACGCACGACCAAGAAGAGCTGTAGAAATGTCGAACATGTTTGCAACATGTTTCTTTGCGATCGCAATTCAAAATCTATTTTTACATGAATTATTGGATGGCTTCGGAACTTCCATCGAAGCGCAGGCGCCAGCGACGGCGCAGGGCGGAGCCGACGATGATGCACAGCGGCCACACCATGACCACCAGCAGCGCGCCGAAGAACAGCACGTGCCACACCATCAAACACACCAACAACGCCGTGGCGTACCTGCATGTCGCCCACATCAGCGCCGATCGCACCACTGCGCGCACACAACATCACCGCACGCACACTACACACAATCGCACACGTGACTACGAACCATGCGGTGTCTAGCCCGAGGGCCTTTTCGACAAGCGAGTAGTCGGTGGCGAAGAAGGAGCTGAACTGCTCCTGGTTGCGCCAGGCGGTCTGGGCGATGAAGGTGAGCAGGATGGTGCCCAGGGCCGCCTCCTCTAGCGCGTTGTCGATCGGGCGCGTGAAGGGCCGGAAGCCGCGCTGGAGGGCGAACGCGGCGAGTAGCACCAGCACGACGGTGGTCACCCGGGCCATGGGCGCGGTCTCGGCCGGCAGCATGGCAACGATGGCGGCGATGGCCAGCCGTCGGGCGATGATGGCGGTCTCGTACCAGTGCATGGCCGGGCGGTAGCAGCGGTAGAGGTGGCCCAGCCAGTACCGCACGGCGGGCTCCTGGGCGCGGCGCCGGTGGACGATTAGGAGCACGGCCAACAGGAGCGGAATGCCAAGCACGTAGACCAGCGCGCCCGCCGTGCCCATCCACACCAGCGTGCCCCACTCCGTGGTCCTACATAGATCCACATGACAAGTCAACGCACACGCACACGCACACGCACACGCACACGCACACGCACACGCACACGCACACGCATGCACACCACCGCACACACGCACATAACGCGACAGACGAGGGTAGCGTACGGGACGCATCGGAGCCAGGGGAGGCTGGCCATGAAGCGCTCGGCTTCGACGGGCTCCTCGACGCACGAGAAGACCTCGAGGGTGCGGCTGGTGAGGCCAAAGTAGAGGAAGTAGACCATCCACAGCCACATGTACCGCCCCCACTCCCACGCACTCGCCTGCCAACCCTCCGCCGCCGCTTCCAACTCCAGCGCAGCGTCGTTGATCGACTCGAACGTCAGCAGTTGCTTGCGCTCTTCGTCTCCCTGTTGATGATAATCATTATCATCATCATCATCACTGTGATTGACAGGCGACAGGGCGGCGGGGTCGGTGACGAGGCGCTGATCGGAGGCGGACGATGGCGAGCGCGAGGCCGACGGCGCGGCAGTGAAACGCCAACCACGGAGCTGAGTCAGGGCCATGCGGCACAGGACGGCGGCGACGATGAGCGCGGAGAGGGCGACGGGGAGGAGGAGGTAGGCGAGCAGGTTCCAGCGCGGGTCGGCAAGGCGGCCGATCACGCACTCGAGGCCCGTGCCGCTGGTGCTCAGGTTGCTGACGCGGACCCACTTGATGCCGGTCTGATCGAGCGCCCACTGGGGCCAACCGCCGGCGACTGTGTTGAGCGCGGCCGTGATCTGAAGCCACACGACGGTGATCTTGAGCGTGCCGGAGTCGGACACCAGGGACACGGCAGCGCGCAGGCGTCGGTAGAGCGGCGGCCAGCGACAGGCGAGGGCGGCCCAGGCGACGAGCGCGGCGGCCAGGCAGGCGCCGAGAACGGTGGCCGCGGCGATGGTGGTCGACGTGTTGCACCGCACGCAGCGGCCGTCGCTGGAGAAGAAGCACTCGCCATCGGCCGCCGTGTCAACCGAACACAAGCAACGCGAACATAGTCGACCTGCGACATATTTTGTTTGACATATTCATTCATTCAGGGGAGATATTTGATTGGTATAAGTGAAGAAAAAGAAGTGAATGGGTGTACCGGTGGTGCCTGGAGCGCACAGCTGACAGGCTGGGAGGAAGGCGGAGCCCAGCTCGGCGCTGCAGTTGCCGTGGGGATTGCACGCGCTCAAGCCCGCCGCACCGTGCAATGTGTCCGTGCACGGCAGCACCGCCAGCACCTCACCTGTAGAGTAGTCGCCCGTCAGCTTTTGCTTCGTGTGTGTGCGTGTGTGTGCGTGGCGTGTGCGTGTGCGGGAGTATAGGAACGAACTGTCGTTGAAGATAGGGTAATAGCCGCGACTCCACGAAATGGCGTTGTGCCCGTAGCTGCAATTGCCGTGCGCTGGGCAGGGCCGGCAGTAATCGGGCGGCAAGCCGTAGTAGTTGGGCGCGCAGAAGCAGTGCTCGTAGTTGAGGTACTCGGGCGACGTCTCCAGCTATGCAGATTTTGGGCCGAACGCAGCCCACCAATCGTCAGCGCAACACAAATAACAATAGTATCCACATATGAATGAATAAAATGATGGGTGCGCGGCGTACGTGCAAGTAGGTTATGGGCCGGAGGCCGTAGCAGAAGAAGGAGTCGCCATTGGGCTTGTTGAATGTGCTTCGGTCGAATTCCAGCCACGTGGGCAATAATGGTCCCGCCATCCGCATCTTCAGATTACCTGTAAACGCGCACACGCACCGACGCCACGCACGCCACGCACACGCACACGACCAACGACACGACACGACTCCTGTGGTCAGAGATAGGAAAAGCAATAAAAATATAAATATAAATAAAGCTGAGCGTACCGACGATCGATAGATAGACCAGATTAGATGCTTCGACCAGTGCGGTCGAGAGTGGCCCCTCCAAGTCGTTGTGACTGACATCGATCAATGTTGCAGAGAGCGCCTGCGCCGCGGCGCGGAGTCAGAGTGTGCGATCGAGGCCTTCTCTCTACAAGGCAGGGCGAACGCACCATGTCGCCGACCAGGTGAAGCGGCCCAGTGAACCGGTTGTAAGCGGCATCAAAGACGCGGAGGTTGATGGCACGCGTGATTACCGGAATGGAGCCGGAGAGTTGGTTGTGCCGCAGGACCAGCGCGCTGAGCGCTTGACCGAAAATGCTCGGCGGAATGGGTCCTGCCAATAACGCGCCACGTCAGCATCGATGCGCTTCGCCACCGGAGCAGGGGTAGATCGGAAGGAGCCAGGAGTCAGGACACCTGTGAACCGGTTTCGGCTCAGGTCGATGATGTTGTGCTCCAATTGCGACATTCCACTCCAATTGCCGGGCAGATTGCCTGTGAGATTGTTGTTGGACAGCCCCTGTGTGTGCGTGTGCGGTGCGGTGTGTGCGGTGTGTGCGGTGTGTGCGTGTGGCTGAGTCTAACAAAACACAGCACAAGTCGCAGGGCAATCGGGGTCGACTACGCACGAGATGAAACAGGAAGGGCAAGCTGCCACCGAAGATGTCAGGCAGAGTGCCTGATAGGCCGCACTCGGTGAGATCGAGTATCCAGAGACTCGCGAGGTTCTTCATCCAGTCGGGAAAGCCACCGCCCAGAGGATTCAAACCGAGTGCGAGCCCGTGTAGGTTGGTCAGGTTACCTGCCATCCACCAGTTAGGCCCAGCCACACCAACAACACGCACGCGCACAACGGCACAGTACTTACCGAAGTGTGGTGGTAGGGCTGAGATGTTGTTGCGGGCGAGGTTGATGACCCAGATGTTGGGCAGTGGGTATTGGCCCAAGGCGGACACGCTTTGAATGTAGTTGTCTTCCAGTACCAGCGAATTGAGGGAGCACAGGCGGGCGAGCGAGTCAGGCAGGTGGCCAGTCAGGTTGTTCGAGGGCAGGAGGAGGGAGATCGTCTCCGGGGAGCCGCTCGTGTCCGCCGTGCAATCAACTCCATACCACTGACACACGCGCCCTGGGCCGAGCCAGCAGGAAGGGCTGCCGGGCGCATCGCCCGAAGCGCACTTGGCGGTCCAGTGCGGTCCGCCTGTGGCGTTGTAGAAGTCTTCAAGTACCGCACGCACCTGCTCCTCTACAACCAAGTTAGAAAAAAGAATGAAAGTGAAAAAAAAAAGAGCGAAAAGAGAAAAAGAACGAAAAATGGGAATGAGGAAGGCGAAGAAGTGCGTACCAGACCAGTCGCAGCCTTGGGCAGCTTTATGCGGACGCGGGAGCGAGCGCATAAGCTCACGACTTGAAGTCGCGGAGGCGTCGACCAAGACAAAGAGGAGCAGAACGACGAGGAAGTCCATCCAACCTCGCCTTCGGCCCTTCATGGCCTTAGTGGCTTGTGTTGTGCGTGATTGATGATTGAAAACGAGAGCCACTCGCCTCGTGGCCACAATTTTGTACACCAAAATCCGTGTGATTACAGCAAGCGTGTGATTGGCTAGCGAAGAAAGAAACCAGCAAAGCCAACCCACTTCACAAGAGGTCGGTCTTGGTGGTGGTCACCGTGAGCAGTCGGGTCGAGAGCGCGGGCCGTACCATGGTGATGATGAGCAGCGTCTGCCCCTCCTCGAACTTGGTCTTCGATTGGTCGAACCCTTGCGGCACCGCTACGAGCAACACCGCTCGCTCGCCGCTCTGCGCTTTCTTGCTTCGTTTCCCTGTGCACACAAACCATGCGTGATCAGAACCAACGGCAATGACCCACGTTGCAAGCACGCACGCACGACCCACTGACACACGACACAACGCCACACGCATTCTAATGGGGCATGAAGAGGCTGATACCGTTGGATGTCGGCATGGGATGGAGGAGTGGCAGGGTGAAGAGCGCGTTCTTGACCTCGGCGGCCTCGCGCAAGCGCACGTAGATCAGCTGGCCGTTGCGTTGGACCGTGACCGACAGGCCGAACAGGGAGATCTTCACCACCAGCGCGCCGTCCTTCTCGTTGGTCATCACGGCCGGGTAGCCCGGCGCGGTCTTCTTGGCCATGATCAGCGGCTGGCCCTCGAACGAGTACAGCGGCGCATACTCGTTCTGCTCCTCCTCCGCTTCGCTTTCGTCCGCTAGCCCAGGCAGAGGCCGAGGCTGCGGGGCCATCATCTGTCGGGCCAGCAGCTCGTTGGCCCGCCTCTCTTCCGCCGAAACGACCGCGATGGCACTCCCTGGCGTTGTGGCTGCAGCGGTGTCGACAGTAGGCGGGGGCTGAAATGCGGCGGGAGCGGGGATGGGCGGCTGCGCCAGCAGGTGATGTGGCATCG